TGCGCGCGTGCGTACGACGGGACGGAGAACCGCCAGATGGTTCCGCTGTCGTGCCGCGCTGCGTGTGCCGACCGTGTGCCGCCGCTGACCCATGAGTTGTGTGTGATGGTGTGTGTGATGGTGTGCGTGTGTGTGTGCGTGTGCGCCTGAGAGAGCAACGACGGGTGGTGACGAGCGCCGTGCAGCGGTGCGGTGCACGCGTCCACACGCCGACGATATTTCTTTATTATTATTATTATTATTATTTGTTTCGCCTGTTTTGATTGTTTCGATGCTTTCCCGTGCAGGCGGTCATTGTCATCAATGCCGCACTCCGTTTTCTGACTACTGTCATACCTATTACTACCACTTCTTGGAGGCCACGTTGTTGAGCTGTAACGACTGCGAGTAGTGTATCCCCCGCGATTGCTTGTGTTGTTGTGCGGCAGCCGTGCCGGCGTTGCAGCGCTGTGCGTGGCGCGCGCGCGCGGCAGATCGTAGCAGTTGCTCTGTGTCAGCGCGACGACTTACCGAGCCAGTGTTTTTGTCTCCGTGTGTCTCTGATTCTTCTCTGTAGCTCTTTTGCCGCTTTCGCGACTGTGGCGTGCCCTGCGTCGGTGAAACCGTGTGTCTCTAAGCATATATGCGCTTCAACGCGCGTGCTGATTTCCCCGCTTCCGCTTGTGATGCAGGCCTCCCCCGCCACACCGGTCCTGTGCGCTTCTGTGTGCTGCTTTCTGTGTTGCGCTGCAGCAGCGTGCACGGCCCTGCGAAGCCGCAATGAAACTATGTGGGTATCTTAGTGCCCTTGCGGTCATACCAGGAGGGGCGAAGCTGGTGTGAAGTCTCTGGCTGAGAGAGCGTTGGTGGGTAGCGGCGCTTGATGCCGCCTACTCGGTCACGAAATGCATCTTCTTTTCCGCTCGCATCCTCGGTGTCTTTGGCTCATATTCGCTCCCTTCGCCGCCCGTCATTGATCTCCTCTCACTGTTTACCTCCTGGCGACTTACTGACAAACGAACGCCTTCCTAACCTCTTTTCTATCCACTCCTGTGTGTCTGCCGTCTACTGGGGCCCAAAGCAACAATACAACGCCTTGTTCGCTAAGTTCCCCTTTCCAACACGATCTCTGCAGCGGCGCCTGAAGCGTTCACTAAACAGTCTCCTTTCCTTCTCTTTCCCTTCCCCCCTCGCTCTACTACAAACTCTGATAATGAGCCTTCCGACCCTCGAGACGTGCCGCCAGCTGTTCGGCGACGTGTTGCGCGCTGCCGTTGCTGTGCAGATGCTGGACGCGGAGTCGCACGGGCACTCGCACGCAGACTCGCACGGGCACTCGCACACGGACTCACATGCGGCCGGCGGTGATGACGGACATGGCCACGCGCACGGCGACGGCGACGGTGACGGCGATCACGGCCACAGTCACGGGGATCATGACCACAGTCACGGCGATCACGGCCACAGCCACGGGTGCGCGAGCATGGAGGGCGAGTATGCGCTGGGGCTGCACATTGCTGCGATCTTCATCATCCTCGCCGCGTCGCTGCTCGGCACGCTGATCCCGCTGGTGGGCAAGCGCGTGCCTGCGCTGCGTCTGCATCCGTACGTGTACGCTGTGGGCAAGTCCACCGCGACCGGCGTTGTGCTTGCTGTCGCGATGATCCACATGATCAACCACGCTGCTGTTGTTTTCGCTGCAGAATGTGTGCCCGAGAACTTCCGCGAGATGTACGAGGGGTGGGCGTTCCTGTTTGCGATGATCGCTGCGGTGCTGATGCACGCCGTGGACGGGACCATTGTATGGGTAGCGGAGCGCTGGAGCAAGCGTGCCGCTGTGCGCGCCGGTGCGACGGAGCCGTGCAACGACTCGCTGTGCAAGGAGTGCCCTGAGCGCGAGGCGGAGGCCCGGCAGCGTGGCGCCGACAAGCCGGACAGCCGACAGGACAGTGGTGAGGGCGACGAGATGGCTGCAGTTGTACTGAGCCCCGACGGTGCGGATGGCAAGCGCGACGTCGACGAGGTGGCGTGCCACGGCCACCAGCACGGTGTGGCGGTGCCGTCGGACATGCCGCTTGTGCAGCGCGTTGTTGCCGCGATCTGCATGGAGTTCGGTGTGACGCTGCACAGCGTGTTCGTGGGCCTTGCACTCGCCGTGTCCAACGGGAGCGACCTGCGCGCACTGATCATTGCGCTTGTGTTCCACCAGATGTTCGAGGGCCTCGCGATGGGAGCCCGTCTCGCGGATGCTTCTTTCAAGCTGTCGCTGGAGATTCTTCTGATGCTCGTGTTCTCGTTCTCCGCGCCGATCGGCATTGCCGCTGGCACCGGCGCCGTGGTTGCGTCGCGCGACGCGTTCTCGGGCCCGTCGTACGCGATCGTGAGCGCCGTGCTGGACTCGATCTGCGGCGGCATCATGCTGTACATCGCCTTCAACCTGCTGTTCGTGGACTTCGCGTTCGACATCTGCACGCACTGCAGCGCTGGCCGCCCTTACGCCATCATCAAGCGCATGGGACTGTACGCGGGTCTGTGGGTTGGCGCCGGCGTGATGGCCGGGATCGGTAAGTGGCTGTAGGCGCCCGCACTGCGGAGGGTGCGCGCGTCGCGGCTCGGCGTGTGCTGCGGTTCGGCGGCGAGCCGTTACACACCGTCGCCGTTTCTGCTGCGTGCTGCGACGACTCTCGCCCATCTTTTATTGCTTTATTTTTCTATGTCGTTGTGCTAACTGACGCCGTTTGTACGGCGCCGCGTGCTAAGCTGCGTAACGCTCGCTTCTCTTCTCTTTCTCTCCGCCTCTTCTCCTGTTTCAAAGAGTCCAGAAGTAGTGCACGCGTCGGTAGCGACATCGTCTTTTTTTTCTGTTCAACCCCTTTATAACGTGTGTCGCTGCTGCATAAGCGCCCTTTTTTTTTCTCTCTCTCTCTCTCTCTGTTTCTATCTCTCTCTCTCTTGTACTATTGTTTGATGAGTTAGCGTTCCACCCTGATAGATTCGCTTTCTTGTCTTTCACTAATTATAACGCTCAGCAGATGAGCCTGCGAAGGAAGAGTTGCTTGCCAAAGAACACGGGCAATCACCTTCGAAAGAGTGTGTCGGTGTCCAGGTAAAGAAACGGTCCACGCCACCCAATCAGATGCGCTGCGCTGCTCGCTCAGTATGGAAGCATCCCTCTGGCGAGAGTGCGCAGACACACGTCTGAGCTGATGCCTGCGCGCTGCGTGGTGTGGTGTGACCGAGCGAGACCCGAGCACTCCGTGTTCGTTTCCTCCTCTTGCTTTTTGTTTTGTAATGCCAGTGCGCTTAAAAAGGCGTCTGATGCTCTTCTCTCTCAATTTCCCCTTATTTTGTTTTTCTTCAGCGAACCTAAGTGCTTCTAACTGTACCGTTTATTTTTGTTTTCTGGCTTCTTTACTTGTGTGGCCCTATTTTCTCTGCTGTAGCTGTGTATGTAAGTAACGCTGTCGCCGGAGACGGTGCTCGCGCTGTTGATGTGTAGAGGGCGCGGGCTCGTACGCGGCGTGCGTTGCTGTGCGAGCGGAATATAAGGGCACGTAGCGATTCAGTGGCCGCGTGTGCGTCGAGGCGCGCACGTGTGTCCGCATGAGTTGAGCGGAGACGGACGCTGTGGAGCTGCCGTGGTGATGTGTGTGAGTGTGGACGCGGGGTGTGGCGGTGTGCGTTGCCGCTCCTCTACCCCCCCCGCTGCCCCTCTCCCACTGGCCTGTGCCCTCCCCTGCTGTGCGTCTCCGCGTGAGTTTGCGCGCTGATCCACGTAGTTCTCTCTCCGCGGAGAGAGTGTAGGCAGATGTATGAAATGTGTCTGTGTGGTGTGCCCGTGGGGCACGCGAGTAGAGAGTTGTGTGTGCGCCTGTGTGACGGCGCTGCGCTGTGCTGCCGGGGTGATGTGGCGCCAGCGCTAGGTAAGGTAAATGGGGTGGTTTAAACCCGAAGAGTATGAACCGAATAAATAGCATTTAGCGCCAAATCGGATGTGCTGAAGTGTATTAACGGGGCGCCCGAACCCCGCCGAGTATCCGAGGCCGACGGACGTGCGCGTTGAGCGCTGCGTGTGTGTGGACTGCGCGCGTGCGTACGACGGGACGGAGAACCGCCAGATGGTTCCGCTGTCGTGCCGCGCTGCGTGTGCCGACCGTGTGCCGCCGCTGACCCATGAGTTGTGTGTGATGGTGTGTGTGATGGTGTGCGTGTGTGTGTGCGTGTGCGCCTGAGAGAGCAACGACGGGTGGTGACGAGCGCCGTGCAGCGGTGCGGTGCACGCGTCCACACGCCGACGATATTTCTTTATTATTATTATTATTATTATTTGTTTCGCCTGTTTTGATTGTTTCGATGCTTTCCCGTGCAGGCGGTCATTGTCATCAATGCCGCACTCCGTTTTCTGACTACTGTCATACCTATTACTACCACTTCTTGGAGGCCACGTTGTTGAGCTGTAACGACTGCGAGTAGTGTATCCCCCGCGATTGCTTGTGTTGTTGTGCGGCAGCCGTGCCGGCGTTGCAGCGCTGTGCGTGGCGCGCGCGCGCGGCAGATCGTAGCAGTTGCTCTGTGTCAGCGCGACGACTTACCGAGCCAGTGTTTTTGTCTCCGTGTGTCTCTGATTCTTCTCTGTAGCTCTTTTGCCGCTTTCGCGACTGTGGCGTGCCCTGCGTCGGTGAAACCGTGTGTCTCTAAGCATATATGCGCTTTTCCTCGCCTTATGTTGTGCACTGACGGTCGCCGGAAGGCGAGGTGCGTTTTCTCGCTTTGCGAATCTGCCCGTTGTTAACAATGTGTTACGTGATTCGTTGCCCCATCTGTTCGTTTTCTAATGGGTGGCTTCGCGATCATGTATGGATGGAAAAGGTCGTGATGCGTTGAGTTGGTTCACTCGGTGTTCTGATGTGTGCTGAAAGTAGCTACTTTTGTATGTGTGCTGTTGTGGGCGCGCGATTATCTGGCATTCAAACTCTTCTTTTCCGCTTCTCTCTTGCTCCATCCATGGTGAGCCATTTATCAGGAGAATTGTAGCGGGTGCCGCTGTATTGTTAGCTTTTTTTTTGAGAACCGTGCTTCATCGTTGCTCTCTTTTTTTCCGCGGCTCCGACTGCTTGTTTATTCTCTGTGGAACAGAGACAGCGTGGGACTGTTGCCAGCGCAGCGCAACCCACTTTCATAAAGGACGGTTCACCCGCGCAACACTCTTTACCTCTTCAAAATTCTCGCCTCAGGATTCGTTCGTCATGCCAACCGTTTCTGCTAACGGCCCCACTGCACAGGTGGGCTTCAAACTAAATGGGCAGAACTCGAAGGAGTTCTGGAATGCTGCGTGGGAGCACGATGCGACAGGCTGGCGCCAGGCGGAGCAGCGGCCAGTTTTTACTCGCAACCTCTACGTGTGGGCGTGCAACTCCTCTGACGCATCGGATGTGCAGGTCATTCCGCGGCCATGCGTGATTGACAAGGCGGACTACGATGCGGACCTCTACAACGGCCCTACGGAAGAGGCAGTGGTGACGGCATTCCTGCAGGGGAAGTCGGTGCTGGTTCCTCTGTGCGGGGACACCGCCGCTGTGCGGTACATGGCGGACCACGGTGCGACCCTCGTGGTGGGCGCGGACCTCGCCCCTGAAGCACTGCGTCGCCAGCGTGAAACGCACCTTGGCGATGTCCGCTTTGTCGTCACGTCCCTTCCTCTGCCGGGCAGCTCCGGCTCCGTGACGGTCTACGAAGGCGTCAAGGGCGGGTGCACCATTCGCCTCTTCGAGGGAGACTTTCTGGCGCTCGCAGGGGTGGAGGTATTCTGCAACGCGAAGATCGACTTCGTGTACGATCGCGCGTCGATGATGGCGATGCACCCGAGCATGCGCAGTGCGTACGTGGCGACGATTGCGGCGTGCCTGACACCGGAGGCTGGGCTGATGGTGGAGCGCCCGGTCCGTGACGAAGGTGATGTGGCCGGCCCGCCGTTCACGTTTTCTCCCGTCCAGGTTCTTTCCCTTTATAATTCTGCCACGGGCCGTTCCTACGATGTTGAGACGGTGCTGGTGAGCCGCTGGTACGGCAACCCTGATCCAGGTAACGTTCATTACTTCGACTTTCTGCGCGTGTTTCCGAAGAAGACGTAGAGAAACCACAGCCAGGGATATCAAAAGTGAGAGAACTTGCTCGAGCGCACCGTTCTACCTCCCATCACCGTGCATTACCTTGTTTTGAGCTGGTTTGCTAAATAGATATTAATATCGCTCTTTATTTTTGGTTCATTCTTTCGACGTCTGATCGATCGAATTCTCCCTTCACGATAGTAACCCGGTAAAGGTGTCAATGAGTCCTCCACGTCAGCGCCACTTTTGTTTTTTCTCGCTTGCGAATTACAAGGACTGCCTTCGTTTGTTGTTGTAACCGGCTTTTGCGAATCGTGCAGTCATGTGTTCTCCTCTATGCGACGACCTTACAGATGAACAGCATTGACTTCTGCATCATATTTATTTTGTTTTTCTTTGGTGTAGATAAAAAGCCCAAACTTCCGTTGTCTTGTGCGGTAGAGAACACGGCGACTCTCCCAACCCCTCTCTCTTCGTACGGCATCGTACAGCCAGAACTGAAGTACTTCACTCTTAACATTACTATCGAACCGTTGTCTTCGTTACTTCCGTTAGCACTGGCTTGAACGCGGTATGATCAAGTCGTGTTCGTTGAACCGAAAACGCCTTTTTATGGAAAGCGCGGCCCTGCAAAGCCGGCTTTCGATCGTCAAAGAACAATGTCAATACAACAACAACTGGAGGTACACAATGCACGGGTGTTGAGCACCGTTAGACACTTGTTGCCAAGGGGCGTAAGAGGTTTGATTCCCACGGAAATGAGGCGGTACCATGTGCTCCAGAAGATAAATGCACAGATTCCCGTACGGCCGCCGACGTTGCTCTTTGTTGAGCCCTCTATAGCTTTTGGTTGTATCGCATCCTGGATGCCAACGTTGCTCTGCTCCGCACGGTCTCTTTTCACACCGGTGTGCTCATTGGTCAGTATTTCTTCTTGTGTTTTTTTTTTTTTGGGTTTAGCGAGACCTTCCAGCAGCATACCCCCAACATACACACACACACACCAAAGTGGAGACTTCGCGTACGAGGGGGTAGCATCTTCTGCACAACCTCACACAGCAGCGAAAAGCAAAAACACAACAACAATGTCGCGCGTACCCATCTCGGAAGAACAGGCGCAGCAGATGATGGCCAAGCAGCAGGCCCAGGAGGAGCGCATGGCGGCCTTCACGGAGCAGAAGGAGAATATGATGCGCGCCTTCGTCAGCGCCGAGGGTCGTGAGCGCCTTCAGCGTATTGCGCAGGTGAAGCCGGAGCGCGCGCAGGCCGTCGAGATGCACATCATCCAGGCTGTGCAGAAGGGAAAGATGCAGCCCCCCGTCTCGGACGATACGGTGCGGGAGCTTTTAGGGCAGATGGCGAGTCAGGAGTCGGAGGCCAAGTCGCACATCACCATTGTTCGCAAGCGCACGGATGATGACTGGTAAAAAAAAAAAAGAAAATAAACACACCCAAAGTCAACCGGAACATGGTGATTTGTGGAAGAGCCCCGTGCTGCTGTGGACGACAAAGGTTCTAAGGAATAAGCACGCACACACTATGTAGAAGAGAACCACGTTGATGTTGTGCCAAGAAACAAGAACGCCAATAAGAACAGGAGCCACAGGTTGTTTGGGAAAGCATGGAAGACGTTGATGTAGTGAACGCGACCTGTACGTCAGAAATAAACAACCTATTTTCACTTCACTTCGTTGGAGCTTTCGGGGTAGTGGTCGGCTGCCCTAACCACGCCTGGGACACGTCGCTGACGCACCGCGAGGATGTACTCGAGGACTATCAGCGCGGCGTGAGATACGTGTTTTGATCATCAGCAGGAAAGGAAAGAAAAACACGAAGAAAAACAACAACCATCACCACCACATTGCATGCCGTGAGTTTTCCTGTCAATGCAGGCCCGCATGCGATGTCGATCGACGCCCCTCTTTATACTGACCACTCTGCATTAATTTCGCATCCTTGCCAATCCGACTCGGTCTTTTCTTCTCATTTGCCTGTGCCTCTCTCGATATTCTAGCTGAGGAGGAGGCGATCGTTTCTCGTGTTTTTTTTGTTTTTCAAACCGTCATACGTATCCTTTCACGACACACTCACTGGCCCCTCTAACTCACATCCAACACCACCGCCAGCACCAATTCAAACAAACTCAACCAACCTTTTCTTTTTTTCATCCGATAGCTACTTCATCTTCTCGTAGTTCTACGTCATGCCGAAGCGTCACCGTCAGCCGGAGCCGATTGATATCCAGAGCACCGCACACCACAGCCACCATACCGCCAACGCATCTCCACACAACAAGAACTCCTTTACGCAGTCCAGCACCACCTCCGATGTATCGTCCTCGCTAAAGTCCACGAGCAGCGCTGTGGACGGGTCGCGTGACGACCCCCTTTACTCCCCACAGGAGCAGAAGCTGGTGGAGGAGACGCGCAGTAAGGCGGTAGACTTCCCTGCCACGCCCGAAACGCTGGCGCGCCACCGCCGCCGGCAGGAGGCGGTCGCTAAGCGGCGGCGTGCGTCGTACGACCGCGATGGCCAGCCCCTGAGCAAGGACGACGCCGCGGTCTCCACCGACAGCCGGAGAGGTACACTACGCACCGCGAAGGGTCAACGAGGCTCGACCCTTCTCCCCTCTTCCTCTCCGGCTGCAAACGGCTCTGACCCCGCCAGCGACGACGACGACGGCGGTGTGGATGACGATGACGCCAGCGAACTCAGCTCGAATGACTACGTTGGCGACGATGGCAACCAACCGAGCACCGACTCCGAACTCGACAGCGAGAAGGAGGACGACGAGGCAGAGTTGCGAGGGCTGCACAAGGCCATGGCGGCGGCGGCGGCGCAGCGTCGTCGTGCCGGTGCGAAGGACAACCGAAACCCGGAGTCCAGCGACAGTGCGGATGAAAATGGTAGCAGCAGCAGCAGCAATTCGGAGACGCATGAAAGTGGTGATGGCTTTGATGACCCGTCGGACGAGGATGAAGAGGGGGCTAGCGACGATGTTGATAATGCAGAAGAAAGCTCGAGCGACGGTGACTTCTCCGTGCAGGACGAAGAGGCTGTCGAAGAGGCAGACAGGGCGGAGCAGCGCCATAGCGACGGCGACGACGAGGAGGAAGACGGCCCCGACGGTGGCGGCCTCATCACGATCGACTTTGGTGTTTTTGAAATGGAAGCGTCGAACGTTGACGGCCTCATCCACCTGATGGATCAACTGTGCCCAGACAAGATGAACGAGGTGGACCGCGACGGTCTCGGCCTGGCCCTGCTCGAGAGCCCCTTCACCAGCGTGGTGCGCCTGCAAAACAACGGAGACGACGCCACCGGTGATGAGGCGCAGGAGTTCTACGGACTCTCCTCGGTGCTTGACGTCGCGCATGGGCAGCAGCTGTACCCGACGGCGCTGCGGCCCTTGTGTGAGCTGTTGCAGCAGCACGTGTGGCGCCATGCCGCCGCTGGCATCCCGCCGACGGACATCCTCACCAGCGTCGTGGACGACGACGAGCACGTTTCGATGTCGCGCGCAAAGTGCCTATTGCTCATCTCGGAGTACATCCGCAACATCCCGCTGGAGCTGACGGTGCAAATTCTGGAAGACGTCTTGAACCGCCTCGATGCAACGGGCAGCGCGGAAAACAAGCAGAAGCAGCAAACCGGGGCCACGCACGAGAGCCCCATTTTTTCCACGCAGCCCAGTATGCTTGCGGTGCTGGCCAAGGTGCAACGCCCGACGGATGCGCCGGTGACACTGCCGAAAGGCGGAAAGCAACAGCTGGCGAGCCCCGCCGTTTCTGGAGATGCTGGGGAGTCGTCGTCATCCTCGCCGTCCACCGCAGCTTCTTCCAAGAGGCATCACCACGGAAAGAAAACTGAGAAGCCGACGGGCACGAGCAGTGGCACCATGGCTGCTCCCGAGGCCCCGCTTGACCTCGCGAACTTCATTTTCTGGCGTGAGGAGGACAGCATCCTGTACGACTATCGCGACAAGCGTGTCGCTGCACTCGTCTATCGCTGCCGCCCGCAGTACGACGGACAGGCGGAGCATGAGATTCCGCTGTCGGTTCTTTTTGTGTTGCAGTACGGCGCGGCGCGGCAGGCGGTGGAGGAGATGAAGCGGCGACAGACCGCCAACACGGTTATTGAGCGGTATTAAACGATGTTGAATGCGCGTCCTTTTTTTTTGTCTGCTCGTGCCACCTAAAAGGAAAAGAGGAGAAATGCGTTTTCACGCTTCGTGTGCTTTCATTTGTGTTTTCTCTTGTGATGGAATGTACGCTGCTTTATTCCTTGTCGCGTTGCTTTCACTCGTGTTGGGGTGATGCACACGGAAGTGGTGTTGTTTCGCTGCTAGGGTGCTCAATGGAGTGAGGGAGGAGGCGAATCATGAGAAAGAAAAAGGCGAATGCGATACCTGCAAAGAAGTGCCGAACTCGGCTCTTTGTTTATATGTTTATATATACTCTTGCGGTGCCGCGCCTGTGCGAAGCGCGTAGCCTGTGTTGGAAATGTTGGTGACTATTCGCGAGCTATTTCTTTAGGAGCCGCCTAAAAGAAAAGCGCTCGACAAGGAGCCACGACTAAATAGTTAATGACGCTCTGCAAAGGCTAGGACGAGGAGGACAGTGGTGTTGTGAATGCGAAATGAAGGCACTTGCGGAAACTGTTGGAAATCGGAGAATTTTTTCTACATTCAAAGTAAAAAAAACTCACAGGATAGAATTTATCTCTTTCATGCATAGTTGCTTGGGAGAAGCAGACAGCACCAGTGGCGCTCTCGACGCCTGCCGCTTTCTTCCAAGGGCGACACGACTCATCACAATCCGCTGTTACCGCTCTTCGTGAGCTGTTTTGTTTTGTAGAGGTTTTTGCCCGCCAGAGCAGAATAGCAGCAACAAATGAGCAGTAACATCCGAGCTCTTGTTTTTCTTTTTGGAGACTGGCAGACGTTCAGGTTCCTGCTTCTTTCCTCTTTGTGACTCGGTGACTTCTTCAGCACAGCGATGAGGCTAAACACGGGTGGCATGTTCTTCTCTTTCTTCGTCACTGCCTATTTCGTTCCTTGACAACCTTCTACTGTCATGCCTGCACGTCTGAATTCGTTTTCGCATTGACTGCCAAACACACACGCGTGCATGTCCTTGCTTCTCCTTTGTGTTCCGGAACAGAACCATCATCAAACACATAAAGAAGTGTGCTACTGCCTCATCTTTAGAATGGACGAGGAGAGGATAGTTGTCCTTGCTCGCAGCACTGTCAATCAATTCAACACTATTGGTTTCCTTTTTCCGTGACGATAATTCTGATGAACTCTTTCGTCATCGCCAACGATGTCTTGACGAGCGCTAGCTACGCGGACAGTGATGTGACGCAGTGGATCCTGCGCATTTGGCGCGATTCCACCAGCCAATCCGCACAACAAGCATCGTCTTCAACGGTGCTAGCCCACGCCAACACACACATCAATTCTTCTGCGCTTCGCATGGCGGCTGTGCAACTGTTTGGCGACAGATCTACCGTGTCGCGTGAGAACCTCAGCCCCGTCGAAGGCTGCCTCCGCATAACGGACACCACGTCGCTGAGGCGCCGATATCGTCAAATTGCCCTTCGCGTGCACCCCGATAAAAACACTTCCCCCCACGCAGCCGAAGCTTTCCAGTTGGTGCAGAGCTGCTTCGAGTATGCGGTGTCTGCTGGCAGCGGCGTGACCGCATGGACGTGGCGTCCAGTCGTGAGGAGGTCTACGGGAATTGAGGAACGAGCGGAGAAGGACGCGGACGACAACCGCGTTGGCAGCGCCGCCTCCGTGCCTTCCTCCCTCTTCTCTTCGTCGACGTCTTCCGCGTCTTTCACGTCCCACTCCGCACGGACTTCGCCTTTTTCGTCTTCTTCCTCGTCTCACAGCAGCCGTGGCGGCAGCAGGGGTGCGTCGAGCTGCGGGGACGAAGCACAAGGACAAACAGCGCGGTCGTCACACTACGGCACGTACGCGTCGTCGCTGTCACCGCCCGTGTGCGGGAAAAAAGCAGGTGCGACGGGAGCAGCGCCACCAACGATGGAGACTGCGGTGCCGGAGCCCCCGACGGTGCTTTTTGCGGCCAACGCGGCGTCACCCACCCTTGAAACGAATACTCCAGAAACGGAGTCTAACGGGATTCAAAGGAGGCGGAGGAGCTCGAGGCAGGCACCACAATCTCCGCCACCGCCGCCGCTTGTCTTTGGCGTGGAGGACCACAACGAAGGCGTGGAGAACATTCTCAGCGAGTGCGCCGTGCCGTCGCCTCCCATGGCTTGCAACGATGCGCGAGGCTCCCCACCTCATCACCCACGGATGTCAGAAGCTTCTCGTGATCCGTCGCACAACGCCACGGATCCGTGTCACTTCCTCCATCGAATCGGTGTTCCCTGGGAGGAAAGCACAAAATCACGGCACAAGCCGAAAGCGTCTGCTCGCGGGAGCGTGTTGGAGGGGAGCGATTCTTCTTCCGCTGTGCCGCCGCCGCCTTCCGTGTTTGACCGCCCGCCGTCGCCACCGTTCACTGCAGGCGGCCGCCAAACACACTCGGATTCATCCACCGTGAGAGCGGCCCAGCGGCACCGCTGGCAGCCTGAACTCCCCACCTTGGCGGAGTTGCTGGCGCGATTAGATGAGGAAGACGACGTAGAAGACAGGGCTGAACAGCAGAATGCTTCGTCCCACTTTTACGGGTCATCGGTGCGTGCGGCCCAAACGCGAACAGCAGACGCGTCGCTGTATTTCGATGTAGCACCTTTAGGCGGTACGCCGGAGGCAGCGCGGACATCGTCCGGCGGACACGCTCGTCCTTCACGCGCGAAGGCACGCGACGCTGTTCACGCACCTCGCGCCGGAAAGAGCGCTGCTGATTCTTTTGAGAAGTATGACTCCTCAAGAAGCGGTCGCTTACCGGGTTCAAAACCACACCCTGACGTTCTGGCAGCAGCGCAATTGCTGGCTTCGAACGGAGCTTCAGCTCACGCGACACCGTTTGAAAAGATGTACCCAGGAGATGATGCGTTTGCGCGTCTCACTACACGTGGTGCTGAGGGCGACAAATGCCCGGTGGAGCCGTCGAAGTTGCGCAGCCGAAGGGCGGGTGGTGGTGCCGGGGCGAGAGGTGTTGGAAGTTCACGGAACACAAATTCCGCCGTGGCGGTGGAGCGCTGCGCTTGTGGGAAGGCACGCAAAGGTCAGTGCTTTTTGTGCGAGTGAGTGGCAGGCGCGCACACGGCGGAGTGCACATTTTTGTTGCTTTTTTTTTCTTGGAGGTGCTCTTCAGAGGGAGCACACTGCTCCCTTTTTTTTCTTCCTCCATTTTTTTATTCTTCGTGGTTCTCGACCCTGGCTCGGTTCAGGCGGACGAAGAGGAGTAGAAACGAAACAACCGACGGCATTACACCGCAGTGCAGGTTGGTGGAATCAACTCTGTTGCTACTCGCACGTGCACAAGCAACGACTGGCTAATTTGGTGTGCATCGACACATACGCTGAACGGCTTCATATTTATGAGATGGAGAATCGACTGCTGCGCTGATAAGATATTTCTTTTTTGTTGTTGTTCAGTACAGCTTCAAGGAACAACGAAAAGCCGTTGAGAGCTTCTGCGGCGCGGCCGTTCATGCAGGCGGCCGTGACGGTCGCTTCCCTCTATTTCCACCTCCTCTTTCTTCCTACTCGCCTTCTTCAAAACTGGTTCTCTCAACGCGGTTTTAGCATATAATTACGACCCTCTCTTTCGCACTTCGTTGTTCCTCAACTGCGCTTTTTTTTTGGTGTGTTGTTCTCTTCTCGTCTACTTCCTTATAAAAGAGCCGGCTTTCAGGGAGCCCATTCAGCGGAGCATCCTTTCTTTTCTTCTATTGTTTCAGACTCTCTTCTTTTTTGGTTCTATCGCAAGTGCTTCTTCGCCTTTTTTTTTGCTGTTGACCCTCAGACTTTTCTGTGCTTAAAGAGCGTAGTGTTACGCTCTTTTTCTCGCGATAAGCTGCTCTGCCCACCGGTCTACCTCAGCGGTGTATCGATACAAAAATATATATATATATATATTCAGGTCCGTCGTGCTTTCGTCCGTAAGCGCCGATAGCATCGAGACTTCTTCCTCTGCTAGAAATCCGCCGTTGTGTTTCTTTTAACGTAGGTTCTCTGACTCTTTTGTTTTCTTCGTTTTCTCCTCTTCTCTTTTTTCCTCCTCACAAAATGGGCGGCGAAATCAGCCGACTCAGGGCTCTACCACTTTCGAAAGGAAGCGGTAGCGAAGGACTCGCGGCTCTTGAAGCCCTCTACCGGCAGGACCTCGATTTTCTAAATCTGCCCGTCAAGCAGTGGACCACCGCGCGGACCACCGCCGACGGGCAGCCCCTCGTGGACGTCTTGATCGTGGGCGGCGGCATGGCTGGAGTGACGCTCGCCATCGCCCTGAAGCACCTCGGCGTGGCGGTGCGTCTGCTCGATGAGGCACCCGCCGGCTACGAAGGCCCGTGGGACACTACCGCGCGCATGGAGACGCTGCGGTCCTCCAAGCAGCTGGTGGGGCCGGCGCTGGGCTTTGCAAATTTAACTTTCCGGGCGTACTTCGTTGCGCAGTTCGGCACCGCCGCGTGGGACGCGCTGGACAAGATCCCACGCGTGCAGTGGATGGGACTACCTTCGCTGGCTGAGGCAGGTGAACGAGTTGGATGTGCTGAACGACAGCAAAGTCACCCTCGTGCAGCCTGGCGCAGACGGCGTGGCGACGGTGGAGGTGCAGCGGAACGCCGCGGCGATGGACGGGGACGCGGCAGCAATGCCACAGTGTGAAAAACTGTACTCGCGTCATGTGGTGCTGGTGACGGGCCGCGGAGGCCTCGGCGGGCAGAAGCTGCCGGAGTGGGCCCAGCGGATTCCCGCTGAAAAGCGCGTGCACAGCTCCGATGTATGGAGCGGTGACGCACTCGCCGGCAAGCACGTCCTCGTGATCGGCGGCAGCTCCTCGGCGATGGACTGCGCCGGCACGGCTCTCGAGCACGGTGCGACGGAGGTGCATCTCCTCATCCGCCGGCCCGACCTGCCCCGCGTGAACAAGAGTAAGGCGGCGGTGGGTCCCGGGATCACACACGGTTATCTGACCTTCAAGGATGCGTGGAAGTGGCAGTACCGGCATTACATGAACCTGCACATCCCTCCGCCGCACGGCAGCGTCTTGCGCGTGTCGCGTCACGCCAACGCGTTTTTCCACTTCGGCGCCGCAGTGGAGAAGGTGTCAGTGCGCGACGACGGCAGGGTGCGCGTGGAGACTACAAAGGGGCTCATGGCGACGGACTTCGTTATTTTCGCCACGGGCTACGCGGTGGATTGGCAGCAGCGGCCTGAGTTCGCGCCCTTCGCCTCGCACGTGCTGCAGTGGAAGGACGTGTACAGCCCACCAGAAGGTCTCCCCAGCAAGGACATGAGCCAGTTTCCGTACCTGGGGCCGAGTTTCGAGTTTCGTGAGAAGGTAGAGGGTGGATGCCCAGGGCTGCATCACATCCACTGCTTCTGCTACCCCGCGACAGTGTCGTTTGGGGCGGTGTCGGGCGACATTCCGCAGATCACGGATGGTGCCCGCATGCTGGCACAGCGCCTTACAGGGGATCTCTACAGAGAGGACGTCGCGGCTCACATGAAGGAGGTGGAGGCTTTTGAGGACGCGGAGCTGGACGGCACGGAGTGGGCCCCATCGGAGTGGCCTGAGTACAAGGAGTAGCTACGCCTGTGCTGGATTGCTGCAGGAAAGCCGCCACTTATGCGGTTAAAGCAACAAATTGCAGTCCTTCAGTATTTACCTGGAAAAGAAAGTTTCTTTTCTTTCTACTGCGTCTCGTAAGAGTTTCAACGTAGTTGTAAGTACGTTTTTTTTTTCTGTTCTGTTGTGATGACCTCACTCATTCTGTTGTACCCACTCTTCTTAAACTATTTTCTACAGCTCTCCCTCTTTATTCCACAGCGCGTGTGCGCGGTGAGTTTTCTTAGGTGCACGGAGTGGAATAAGCCTCAATCCACCCAATCTATTCTTCGAAAAGAAAGGTCGAAGGTGTTCATATACATCCTTGCAAGGAAAGAAGTTGATGAGAAGCTATACAACATTTTTTTTTTGTTTTGAGCGTTGCTTCTTTTTCCGCTGAATGTCGTTGAAGGCGAGAAGCAGTCACCTCAATACCGGGAAGAGAAAGGACAGAAAATTGCGGTGATGTTTGTCAGCATATTGGCGACGAACCAATAACAGCCGTGGAGCTCGTGGAGAAAAAAAATGTGGATGCAGTCGGGCTTGCCATGTGGACGATCCTCAGTGGTACGTTTCTAATCGCGGCTTTCGGTGTTGCGTAGTTAATTCACGTTTTGGATTCTTCGTTTTTCTCTTTCACAACCACCGTCTTCTCCGCTCTTCTCTTTTGCTCTGCTTACTAAAATACAAATATATGTATGTAAGTATGTATGTATGTATTGCTAGCTGTGTGCAGAGATTTTGCAGCAGGGAAGAAGCGGCCGACACACGCGTAAATAGTACCGCCGGCGTGGCCTCCAGGGCGTCACATTAGATCTTTTAAGTGTTGTTACTATTCTCTTTGGCGTATAGCTGCATCGACAGAGGTTTCTGTTTGCCAACCTGCCCATCATCACATGCGCTTCACAGTTTGGGTTTCACACCTTGATCACCACAACGTGTTCTCACTTCTTGCAAAAAAAAAAACCCGCACGGGTTTTTCAAGTGAAGGTCAGCAACTGCCCCCCCCCTCCCCAGCGTTTTCACCTGCGGTGAGAGAGACGGGATCCCTTTTTTTTGGTTGCTGCTGGCTTTCACGCTGGCAACTGTGTGGTGGAGAAGCTTTCTTCGTTTGCTTTCTTCTTCTTTGTTTTTTCTTCGTAACCGCTGTTATCCAATACCGCGGTAGGACCCTTTCTCTTTCTCTTCTTCCTGTTGTGTTGCTGCATTGCGGCGACCTTGAAACCACGACCGTCTTCCTCGCGAATGGTGGCACTTAGTTCACCCGGACCAACGTGGTACACAGCTACGACCATCGCTTCATTAACTTGTCCTTGCCGTAGAGAGGCGGCTTCTCTGCCTCGGCTTATTCGCGCAGTCTCTTTCGATAAGGACTAAGTCCGCCCCAACGTCTCTTCGTTGGCAAATCCGACACTGCAGCGCAGTTCGTTCTTTCTCGCTTGAAAGCTTTTTTTTTTAGTTTTATTCCGCTAATGACGCTGTCAACGCACCCCGCCGTCAAGGGCACGACGTACGCCGTTGTGTGCCCGCTGTGCTACAACCCAATGAACTTTGAATGCGTCAGTGAGAGAATGTACGGCGTGCGATGCGACACCTGCAGCGCTATGATTGACCTGCGCAACCCGACTGAGACGCTGGCCGACAACGACGGCGGCGTCAATGACGACTCCGCCCGCCAGAGCGAGCCCGTCTACTACGCTGGTGATGTGGAAGTCTCGACGGGGCTCTCTGCGAGTGCGCAAGTGATCCAGCTGGTGCGGAACGTGGAGGCGGAGAAGCGGAAGGTGATGCCGACGCAGATGACGGGCGAAACGACGCAGGCCTTTGCGGCGCAACGCAACCAAGCCCTCGCGGAAAAGTTCTCCTTCTTCTACCCCGTTACGTATGCTATTGAGTACCTCGTGTTTGGTCGCACGCCGTACGCGAAACTTGGCCACGTGCGGATTTTCCGAAAGAGGATTCCGTTCTACGGCTACGTGAACTTCTGTGCCCCACGCACCACCACGTCGTACGCAGCGCCGTTCACCTTCACGTCGACGGTGTTCATCCTCTTCAACTGGTTCTGTGCCCACATGCAGCTGGACTGGATGCCGTTGTATCTATACACGGAGTGGGTGCTCGTGTTTCTCTTTTTTTTTCTAATGTTCCGCCTCGCCTACAGCGACCCTGGGTACATCAAACCTGGATATATGGAAGATTCCACACAAGACGGCAACGGTGTCTCCGGTGCCAACGGCGAACTGACGCTCCGTGACATCGAGAGCAACCAGAAAGACAGCATTTGGGAGATGGTAGACGGCGTTCCCATGGAGCGCAAGTGGTGCGCCAGCTGCGCCATGCATCGCCCGGTGCGGGCGGCGCATTGCTACATCTGCGGGCTCTGCTGCTACGACCACGATCACCACTGCAGCGTCATCGGCGTGTGCGTCGGCCGTCGCCGAGTGGAGATGTTCTCCTGCTTTGTCGCGATCGCCGCCACGGCGTGCTTGCTGCCCACCGTGGTGATTCTGTATGCGGTGTACACGCACCCGGAGCGCATTACGACGACGTTGCAGATGCTCACCTGCGCCTTTCTCGTCGTGCCGGTGACGTTCTTTGCGGCGCTGCTCTCCGCCACCGCGGTGGGGATGTGCCTCTCCTGCGTGCAGGAGACCACCACGCGCGAGCGCATTCAGCGCGTGTATGTGCAGAAGCGCAACCCGTTTAACCGCGGTGTGCTGAGGAATCTGCAGTACCACCTGCTGCAGCGCCGTGTGGCGCCGTCCATCTTCGATGACGAGTTTGTGAAGGAGTGTGCGCGGCATACGGAGGAGCGCGAGTTGGGGACGGCCGTGACGGTCACGTGTGTGTGAAGCAGACAGGCCGGAAATGCCACCAATGCCGCTGCCGGTTCTCTTTCTTATTTTTTATCGATGGGGCTTGAGAGATGGATCTCCTGTGGTACCGCCTGGCGCTTTGGTTTCTGTTTTTCTAAAATTGCGTGTCTCACGTACGGTGGCTCGCCGGCACGGCAGCTGCACACATCACCATTTGCGTTAATCAGCTCCTACACCTACGAGTGCGACCACTCAGTCGATGATGGACGTACATCAAAATAATAATAGTAGTGGTGTTCCATGAAAAGATGACAATGATGTATGCTTCCCTTTCGCGATGTCGGCGTACAGCTGCGAAGCTATTTCCGCTTGTATCTTCAATTGATTCATTTAAGCTGGATTTCGGTGAACGGAGAAACGAACACGTGCGTTTGCTGTGCCGGGTCTTTTATGGTTGTTGTTGTTTTCTACGTTCGCTGATTCACTCCGTCAGATGTCGGAATGAGCGGTGGCTCTGGGGATGTGGGGGAGGTTCCCAGTAACGAAAAGGTTCTGTTCGATGCTACATCACCGCCATCCTTCTTCTTCCCTCTTCGTTCTCCTCTTTTCACTATTAAATTGGCGACGTTTCGTTCTGGTTTCGTCAACTGTGTATGGTCAGTTTACAGCACAACTTTGACTGCCTCCACAGCAGAGCAGTCAGCGTGTTGTGTTGCGAGATCCAGAGCAGGAGCAGGCAAAACAGGCGGAGGGACCTTTCGGGCACCACTTGCACTTCTGCGCCTCTCCAAGAGAGGCACACTGGACGTCGACCGATTGTTGTGTTTACCTCTTTCTATTTTTTTTCTTTCTAATTTTTATTCCCCACGTGTAATCATGGACGAGCCACAGAAGAACAAGACACACAAGAACAAGACCGTCGGCAACAAGGCCGCGAAGAAAGATGCGGTGCGCAAAAAGCGCTCGGGCATCGACCTCGAGCCGAACCGCGGCAGCAATGTGAAGGCCTTCCAAGGCGTCAGCGCTGGTAGCCACAAGGCGCAGAAGTTCTTCCGCTCCATCGAGAAGAAAGAGACGGCGCTGCATGTGCCGACGATGGACAAGACGCTGCGCCACATCGTGGCGGAGCCGCCGCTGCTGGTGGCGGTGGTCGGCCCTCCAGGCGTGGGGAAGACGACCCTGATCCGCTCCATGGTGAAGTTTTATGCGAACCGCAACTTAACTACGGTGCGCGGCCCCATCACCGTCATCGCCGGCCGCTCCCGCCGCATCACGTTTATGGAGTGCCCGAACACGCTGTCCTCGATGTGTGATGTGGCGAAGGTGGCGGATTTGGTGCTGCTCATGGTGGACGGCAGCTACGGCTTCGAGATGGAGACGTTCGAGTTCCTGAACATTTCGCAGGTGCACGGCTTTCCAAAAATGTACGGCGTCGTCTCCCACCTGGACCTGCTCAAGTCGGGCAAGTCGCTAAAGAAGCGCAAGAAGTTCTTGCGGCATCGCTTCTGGCACGAGGTCGCTGCCGGGGCGAAGCTGATCTGCCTCTCTCCGATGGTGCGTGGGGTGTACCGGCCGACGGACGTGCTGAACCTGCACCGCCTTCTGATCTGTGTCGAGCCGAAGATTCAGGCCTGGCGTAACACCCACAGCTGCGTTGTGATGGACCGCATGGAGGACATCACAGACCCGGACGTTGTGGCCGCCGCCCCGCTCCACGCCCGCAGCGTCGCTTTCTACGGCTACGCGCGTGGCAAGCCGATGAAGCCCGGGCAACTGGTCCACGTCCCGGGTCTGGGCGACTTTCCAGTGGAGCACCTCTCCTACCAGGAGGACCCCTGCCAACTGGACAAGTTTAGCGCCGACGGCAAGGAGGGCGGCAACCACCGTATGCGCCACCTGAGCCTGAAACAGAAAAAGCTGTACGCGCCGTACTGCGACGTGGGTGGGGTCAGCTACGATGATGACGCCATCTACATCCAGGAAGACGGTGAGAAGGGCGCGATTGAACGCAGCGGTGAGGGCTTGCAGCTGCTGCGTGAGCTCCAGCACGTGCGGCACCCCATGGATGCTGCGCAGACCCAACTGCGCGTTGTGCAACGTCGTCCAGTGAATTTCCGCGACGAGGACACAATGGAGCTAGAGGTGGACGACGTGAACATGCCGTCAGACGCGGAGGATCACGACGATGACGAGGACTGGTCGTCTGCCGATGAAGCGGACCGCAACGATGTCGTGGTCGCACTGGGCGAGGACGAGGCGGATCCTTCCCGCCGTCCCGGGAGCCCGAAGTTGTCGGACTTTGGTGTCTCGGTCGGAGAGAACGCTGCGGAGAAGGGCGCGATGGGCGAGAGCAGTGACAGCGGCGAAGACGGCGGTGCGGCGTTGGCCCCGCGCCTGCTGAACGACCTCGATGCGATTCGCCTCAACACGATCCGCTACAACTGGGACGACCCGGCCACCTTACGCTCCTTGAAGGACTTGTGCGTGACGGGGAACTGGGAGGCAGGGGCAGACGGCGAGGACGAGGAGAAGGACGAGGAGGGGAGCAAGGGCTACGACAGCAACGACGACGACTTTGACATGAAGGCACGTGGCGAGAAACCCATCCGTCACTCTCGCGGCGGCGGCCCCACCTCGTCGCACGGGTCCGGCGGGGAGGAGGAGACGGAGGGCAACGAGAGTGTTGATGGCGACGACGAGGATGACGACATCGGCTTGTGCAGCAAGAGCACGAAGGGTGGCGGTAACATGGCCGCCCCGAGGCGAGCGAACGCGCTCGCGTCCATTGGGTACGGTACGAGTGGCGCTAGCGGTGGTGGCGGCTCCAGCAATGGGCGGCACTACGGTCTCTCCACCGCTGCATCGCCTGGCGACACGGACGCCGACGACCCCTACGCGGGCTTCAACATCCTCGAAGACAACAACGATGAGGACGCCGACGACGAGGGCGGCGAGGTGGCGAACCACCGCAGCGGAGATCAGGAGATGGACAACCTTGTTTCGAGCTTTCTCAGCCGCAATAAGACGTCGAATAGTAGCAGCGGTGGCGGTGGCGGCGCATCGCCGTTCTCATCCTCTGTCACCGGGGCGCTGGCGGGTCTGCAGGGCGATGACGGCATTGCCTTCTTCGACGAGGCGCACCGCTACGACCGCGACGAGACGGAGGGCGACGCGGCACGTCGGCCCCGCCGCAGCGGCCGCAACGTGAACGCCGAAGCGGAGCGACTGGCCGCCGCCGACGCCGAAGCGGAGGCCGCCGTGCAGCACGGCGCCAGCTTAACCGAGGAGCAGGAGCGCCTGCTGCAGAAGAAGATGGCGAAGAAGAACGCCTTCAACAGCGCGTATGACACCGGCGACGCCGAGGGCGGCAAGAACACCACCTTCAGCTACTACCACAAGCTGAATCGTCAGGTGGAGGAGAAGAGGGAGCGCATCAACGAGGCGCTGGACGAGGTCGGCGATGACGTGGACAAGAAGATTCAGCTGGTCGGTTACTTCAGCGGGTTGTACGTGCGCATGGTGCTGAAGAACATCCCCGTGGAGTTTCTCACGAACTTCGATCCCACCGTGCCCCTCATCGCTGGTGGCGTCAATGCGGGCGAGGATGAGTTCCGCATCGTCCAGGCTCGCATCAAGCGTCATCGGTGGTACCCGAAGATTCTGAAGGCGCAGGATCCGCTGCTGCTCTCGATGGGCTGGCGCCGCTTCCAGACACAGCCGATCTTTTCGACCGAGGATCCGAATGGGCGGTGCCGGTACCTCAAGTACACCCCGTTGCACATGCACTGCCTCGCTGCCTTCTACGCCCCTGTGGCGCCACCGAACACCGGTTTCCTCGCCATCCCCGTGCGCGACCCGCGTGTGGCGTCATTCCGCATCCCCTGCACCGGCTACACCATCGGCAACGACGTCTCCACTTCTATTGTCAAGAAGCTGAAGCTGACCGGCACGCCCGCCAAGATCGAGAAGACGACTGCGTTTGTTAAAGGCATGTTTAGCAGCGACCTGGAGGCGGCGAAGTTTATCGGGGCGAAGGTCAAGGCGGTGTCTGGCATCCGCGGTATCATCAAGTCTGTGCTGAAGGGCAAGAACGGACTGGTGCGCGCCACCTTCGAGGATAAGATCTTTCCGTCTGACATCGTCTTTATTCGTGCGTGGAAGTCCGTGGAGCCGCCGCGGTACTGCAGCATGCAGCGCAACTTGGTGGATCCTCAGTGGGTGGGCATGCGCACCATGCGCCAGCTGCGCCTGGATTACAACGTGCCACAGCCCGTCAATCCCGACTCCGAGTACCGCGAGATCAAACGTCGCCACCGCGTCGCTGAGGAGGACGAGGACCCGGAGAAGCAGAAGGTCCTGCTCTCCCGCAATCTCAAGATGCAGCTGCCCTACGATATGAAGGAGGACTTCATCCCCATCAGCAAGAGCACGGCGCTGCAGGAGCGCATTAAAGGAGCCACAACGGTCGCCCCCGAGCCGCGGGAGCAGCGTCGACAGGCCCTCCTCGACACCTTCGCGGATCGTGCCGACGCCATGACGCAGAAGAAGGACGCGGCGAAGAAAAGGGCGCGGGAGCGGGCGGCAAAGGAGATGGCGAAGGAGCAAGAGGTGTACCTGCAGGGGCTTAAGAAGGCGAAGAAGGATACGGCACGCATTCGCGAGTTCAGCACCCAACACAAGTCACGCAAGTAAAAGGAAAAGAAAGAAATGAGATAGCGGTAGCGTAGCACCCATCCGACGAGTATTTCTCCGCACCGCCACATCATTTTTTGTTTGCGTTTTGTTTTGATTGATGAAGTGCGTCAGTCGTCGGGTGGAGCGGCCGATTTTCATTCAGCCATTTGTGCTTCTCTCTCCTTCTCCTTCTCCTTCTCTTTCTCTTTCGTCCTGGCCGATAATGACACAGTAACTACGTTAAACGCGAATAACAGTAAAGCAGTCTTTTCTTGTACGCTTGTAAAGCTCTTTTTGTCCTCACTGTTGTTGTGGGACCAAGTGCTCTAAATTTTGGGGTTTCCCTTTTTTGTTTTCGTATAAGCTTTTGAAGAAGAATTATTAAAAAAGGGAAAAGGTTGCATCGTTTTTTGCGTCAACCACCGGAGGAAACGAAGCGACCAGCTTGGGAGCAAAACAATCAGGGCGTACTGGATGTCAACCAGCAATGCACCTTTCGTCGTTGTTGCCGTTGTCCTCCCGTGTGCGTTGCTCTGGCAAACGCTGCGAAAGAGTTGTACGGCAACACAACGACGTTGGCCGCGCCCCAAGCTGTCTTCTATCACCAGCTGATCAGCTGTCATGGAATACCTAAATTCCACGACAAGCGGGGCTGCACGCTTGCTGTTGTTTGAGAAGTCGTTTAGGCGATCTCTGGAACGCGGACGTTTATCTTTCTTACACCTTGTTCGATGCCGTATCACCTCTGGCGTTTGCACCATTTATTCAACCTCTGTTGTTCGTCTTGTCGCCTCCTTGTCTCCACAGAGTGTTTCACCACTCTCTCCCTTATCACAACGGCAAACCTTTGCTCTTGGTCTCTCACATACAGCTAGTCTCATTCTGCTGCTACTACAGAGAGCGAGAAAGAAATACTCTGGCGTAATAATCTAGCCCACACGAGGAAACGTGTGCGCAGTTCTCTCTCCCTTTTTCTTTTCCCGTGTGCCGTTGTATATGGCACAACGCTCCTCGGTTTCGTCTACCTGCCATAGCTAAGCACCATCTTGCGGCAATCTCTCTTTCTCTCCTTCCTTACCTTTTGTAGCTGAAACGCTCTCCAAAACACTTTTTTCTTTCGCCCTGTCAATTCCCTTTTCGTTTTTGTACATTTTTTTCTTGTTTCTTCTTGCTTGTTTGGCGTTCGCTATCGCTTCTACTGTTTGATCGATTGTTATCATCTGCTTCCAGATTCCGCATCCGGAAACAGACGACAAACCGAGCGGTGGGAACGGTGCTTCCGTATCACTGTTCATCCTCTCTGCCGTGCGTGCGCAGTCAAGATAAACGTGAAGGGGTCCTTTTTCTAAAGAGAAACTTATTTTCGCTGATATCATTTGTCGTTTTCTTCTTTTTTTTCCTTTATACTGTTCTCCTCTTTCTCTCTCTCTCTCTGTGCGGTGTTATTTGATGTAGCTCAGTTTTTGCACTTCGCTTTGTTCTCTAAACAACACCAGTAACAACGGCGACAACAGCTGCGGTTTGGTAGCGAGTTCCCACCACCTTTTTTCTCTGGCTTTTGATTGCGTCGAACGTTTTTTTTTTTTGGAAAAGCTCTCGCAACGTAAAGCACCGACTTTTTAATTCTGTTCTTTACTCTTTTTGCTTGTGCTTTGTCGTACGATTCAGCTGCCAACGTCGGTTTCGTGTAATTATTTTTCTTTCTTTCTTGTTTTTTTTTATTCCCACTACTGTTTTTCATCTTGCGGAAAGTAGCGCCGAGCAGTCACTCTCCACAAACCCAGTCCCTCTTTCTTTCTCCTTTTCGGTTTGTGGAGAAGCGAAACCTACTGACGTGCTTACCATTGCCCCTCCCTCCCCAAAAAGGAAACCCTTTAAACCGGGGTCTTGGCATCCAGCAGAACGAAAAGGCAAGGGCACAGATTTCAGGAGGACTGTTCTCACCCTCGCGCCCGTTTCACTGTCCTTCCTTTGCGAAGACAACATACACCATTGCCGTCGCGGAGCTTCATCGTTTTCCTTTGTCGTGTGTTACTATTCCTTTGTTCTTTTCTCCTTTCTTTTCTTTTTTACGGACCCTTGATAGATAAAGTTCCTAACTATTCTCCTTTTGGTTTTTCTTCTCGCGTGCTTTCTTCAGTTCTTTGAGCGTTGTTTTTCTCTCTTTCTGCTCAAACCCCTCTGTGGTTAAAGAAAGGAGTTTCAATCCACACATCTTCAAAACCCTTTTTGCGGTGGTTGGCGGAGTAGCTATTGTTTCTTTACGTCTTCTCTCGCGTCGCTTCGGGCCATCGAAGCTGCCACGTGATTGTCTGCGTTCGAAGTTTCTGTTCCTCTAACTTCGTATCTGCAAGACTGCCCCTCCCTCCCCTCCAAAATAATAATAATAATAACTGGTGTAATTGTCCTTCAGTACGCGAAACACGTTCTTGTTCGCTCCGCTTACGTTTCTCGTACACGGAAAAATAAGAAATAGGAAAGGCGGGGAGTAGATAACACCTGAAACTCAATTGCGAGAAGTCATACAGTAATATAACGGCCCGTTGATTTGCTTACGTCCCCGGCCTTGTCAGCGAGTAGACGCATTGGGATTGTGCTTCCCTTCGCTCGCTCTCATTTATCGACCTTCCGCGCCTGAACGCTGCTGTGGCGAAGACGGAAAAGATGGATCGGCTTCCCCCCATCGCCCCGGCTTTCCGCACCTACGACTACAGCTACCCGCGCTCACTTATTCTGTATCTGCAGTGTGCCCCTCACAATGTCGTGCTGACTGCTTTCCAGGCGGATTGTGAGAGCCGTGACGTTTCCTGGTGCAGCGCACGTGCGCAGGAGCTCGCGGTGGAGTGGTTCCTGCAGCACCCCGTGGCCCGCAAGTACCCTCCGCGACGACGCATGCTGCGCGCCCTGTTGAAGGCGTACATCACGTCCATTGAAGAGCACTGCGTAGCGGAGCGCGCCTACGCCGCGGAGTCGGCAGAGAGCGAGACGGTGCAGCTGGAGCTGATGCAGGCGTACATTGAGCTGAGCGTGTCGGGCGGCGAGTACATGCGGGACACGGAGATGAGCTTCAAGACCTTCTTCAACCCGTACGTTGGCGGACCCGATTCACCGCCGATGTACGCCTGCGGTGCCCCTGTCCCGGCACCACCAACCACGTCGTCGCTGATGCACCTGACCGCCAACCACTCCTCACCCTCGCAGCTCAACCCGCCGGCCGGTGGATATAAGCTGGCGACCACCTCTGAAGGGGACGTGCGCGTTGCAGCGGCGGCGGCTACCGCTGCGACGTACTCCGCCCCCCGAGCTTTGAGCGAACCCTCGCATCCCATCACACCGCCGCGGGTCACCGCCGGGCCGGACTGCGACGACTTGCTGCCGATGCTAAATATACGGGCCACATCACCCAGCTCACCGGCGCGGTCGCCCTTTGGAAGCTCCCACACACAGCCGCAGCCGCAGCCGCCGCCACCGCCGCCGCTGTCATTGGATAAAATACTCGAGCAGTTCAGCGCGATGCGCGTCTCTAGCGAGCAATTCGCCAACGTGGGCCTCTCTCTCTGGCCCGCGGGCTTTGTGATGGCGCAGCTGCTCGCGCAAGAGTTCAAAGGTCAGACACACCTGCTGACAGACATGCTGGGCCTGCCGCGGCCGCTAAGTAGCGTGCTTGGCAACAGCAGCAACTCCGTGCCCGCTCTGGCCGCACCACACAAGGTGTTCTCCGCGCAAATACCGACTCCGCCGTCCAGCCCACCTGCGGGCGGGCGCGGCATGCGTAGCAGCGTCGGCAGCGCATCAGCAGCCAGTAAGCCGTACAGCAGTCAACTGCGCATCTTGGAGCTCGGCGCTGGTGTCGGTCTCACGCCGATCTTTTTGCACCACATGGAGGAGTACCGCCAGCACGTCGCCACCTTTCTGATCACCGACTACCAAGACTCCATCTTAGACAACATCAGGTATAACTTTAAAGAAAACGGCATTACACCGGTGGTGGACTTTACGGCGGCGAAGCGGGGCCTCGAGGGCGCGCATACACCGCCGTTTCACCGTGTCGCCAAGCTGGACTGGACGAACCACCTCGATAACGAGGGGATATTTATGGAGAATGGCGTGGACGTCGTTTTGGCAGCGGACTGCATCTACGACGTCGAGGCGATCCCCGCGTTGGTGGACACCATTCACCTCGCCCTCACAGCGGATGATATCTCCTCGTACCTGACCACCTGCGCACGGGCTTCCCCGGCCAGGGCTGACCTCGGCGGCTCCATCTTCTCCCACGGCAACAGCAGCACCAATGGCAGCAGCAGCGCAAGTGGATCGCTCCCTCCCATTTCGCAGAAGCGGCGCTGTTGCGTTGTGGTGCAGACGCACCGGCAGAACTCCACGATGCAGGTCTTCTTCTCTGCGGTGCGCAAGTTCGGCCATGTGAGGAGCTACACCCTTGTGCGTCAGCCGATTGGCACGCTAAACGTGAGCGCAGACGGCAGCGGGAGCGACGGCGGCTGCGTGCCGCTGGGCAGCTGGGACAAGCAATCTGCCTTGCTGAACCCCGATCGTGTTGTCTGCGCTCTCCGGCGCGATGTTGTACGGGAGGACGGATCGCTGAGCTCCATGGCGAAGCGCTCCGTCAATCAAAAGGGCCGCAACAACAGCCTCGCCAGCAACCCGATCGGGTCGTCGCTTGGTGGGACAGGTAAGACCCACTCACGGACCTCAGCCCCAACTGCGCCACTCAGCTTATCCTCGGGTAACTTTGCCAAGGACGTTGCTTTCTTCGCGCCTCTGCACTCGAGCCGCTCGAACAACAGCGCGGACTCGCACATGTCCTTCAGCCGCAACTCGTCGTCGGCCGTGATGGAGGCGGCGGAGTCGCTGCTGGCGGACGAGATGATCGGTCCGTTCTACACTACCATGGTGGGCCTTGTCGGCGTTCACGTGATTACTTTGAAGTCAAGCAAGAAAGTGACTCGATAAAGGAAAAAGGACAAAACTCAGGTGAAGAGCAGGTCCAGGCATCAACTTGGTAGGTCAACGCTTTTCTGCTTCTCAATGAAACGAACCAAGGTCCACATCAGCAGAAGTAGGTGTTTCAATGTAAAGATAAACAAATGGCCTTTTTTTTTCTTTGGCCTCCCTTGCTCTGGAAACGGAAGCTCGAAAGCCGCAACGTTCAAGTTGCATCTAATAATACGCCAAACGCTGGAAAAGAAACCCCCTTTTTTTGTTCCGTCTTCTTTTCTGCTTGTTGTTGTTAACTGTTGACGTTTCTCTCCGTTTTGTGCTTTTAGCGTCTCGACTACTTTCTAATTATTATTTTTTTTTTGCTTTGCTTTTTAAACCGCCGTGTGTGTCATTCTTTCTCCACTTTCCTCTCTTGCGGACCTCCGTATTTTTCTTTAGGTTTACCACTCTCTCTTGCTCTTTCTTTTTATTCTGCGTCACGCAATGTGGGCGTTGTCGTCTTCACTTGTGTCTTCAGTGTTCGGCGTTGCAGTGTGTTTCATCGGTCAGCGAAATAGCGAGAGGTACGAAACGAAATACATCAGCGTTGATAGGCGGTGTAGTAACTGCGCAGAGGAAAGAAAAAAAAAGAAACAAGTATCCACCATCAGGCGTCGTTGTGGGAAACCTACTTTCACGCGTTTGGGGGCGGTACGTACCGTACCAACGGGCCACCGTAACGCCCCATTGCTGTGGACGTGGATTTTCGTCACGATAAAAATAGACCGTCTCAAAAACAGGATCAGCATTCTTTTGCCTCTCGCACTTATCCGCTTGCTGTTATCTTCCTTGTACAGTTAATTTTCGTCTCTGTTATTTCTTAACGTTCTGCAACACTTTTGTTGTTGCGTTCGTGCGAGTTGACGAGATGATGAACGCGGAACACTGTTGTTGGACGCGCGGCAACTTCTACGCATTTGTAGTGACACTGTCGTCTAATAGCCTTTAGCTTCTTCTTCTTTTTTTTCTGTCAGTATGTCCTTTTTAACTGGACAGTGCACAAGCTTTTTAACTTTCGTTTACAACCGTATTTGCTCCCCCGCATACACACACGCACACACGGGCGTCATCTTGACCTCTGAATTCGTGTCTTTTATTTTCTTCTCACTGTTTCCTTCGCGAGTTTATCGAATTGCCTCCATGAAAGGCAGTATGCGCATTTCCGTGGATCTATCTGTTGCCGCACGCAGTTCAGTAGTTCGTACTTTTATATGTTAGTGCTGTTCAACGTCTGCAGCGGTGCGCCCGAACGGAAAGTGGCGACTCCGAGCGCTACCAGTTTCCACTTTAGCTCTTTTTCTCTCTTTTTCTCTCCTTTTTACTTACTCTGGAGAGGTGTCAGTTCGATTCTTGTTGCATTCAATCTTTTTTTCCCTTTGAAGTGGCCAAGGCACCTTTTTTTTTTCTCTTCTCCTCTCTTTATAGTTAAGGTTTTTTTAGTGTTGCATAGAGCTCAATCACGTTCACACACTACGTACAAGGCTGCGTTCCTTGCTTCCTTTGCTATCTTTTTGTTTTTAGTTCTCCCTTCTTTCCTTCTTCAATTTCTTTATTGTTCATAATTGCCTTGTTTGTGTACCATTACATGCGTATTCGTTGTCGATTCTCTTCTCTTTCTCTCGTTCTCTTCTAGTCGATGTACCTACTAGCAAGTTTGTTTCGCAGACGACTGCGCAACGAAGAAGTTCTTCTTCCGCGCCATCGTTAAACGATGGATTGTCTTTGTGCGAATCCACCGCCGTGTGACACGTGCCAGATCAAAAGAAGCAGTAGTACTAGAGTAGCGAAAACAACGCATAGGTGACGTTTTCACTTATCCTACTTTTGTTTTGGGTATTTCTGCAGGGCTTGTTTGCGTTGTCACATAGCCGGAGTTTCTTTTGTGTTTGCCTTCCCCCGCTGTGCAAGACCGTTTTCCTTTGTCTTCTGAAAGAAAAGAAAAAAATAGTTCTCAATTCGCGTTCGACAGCAAAACGGTTCCATCGTGTTCGGCTCTACGAATGCTGGTTGATTTTCTTTGTGTGTGTGTGTGTGTTTGCGTTTTTGTTTTTCACGCTTCTGTCCCTCGGTTTGCTACCGTAGATCCTTTGTGGTTTTCGTCTCTTTCCATGCATTCGGTTCTTCTTCAAAAAGGTAGCTCACAGCTATGGACATTAATGCATGGAGACAAAGTTGCACGCGTCTTGAAAGGCCGAAAATTTTTTTTGTTGTTGTTTAGCTTGGTTGATGCCGTTTACTTCTGCGTTTTGCGGCTTCGTTGCTCCGCAAAGAAATGGGAAGCGTTATAGCTTATTATTATTATTATCATCCCTTTGTGTGTGTGCTTGTAGAACTCAACTTAAGCGTGTTTCTCTCTCCCTCTCTTCGTATAAACACGAAAAATTGATGGTCTGAAACGCCAAAGAAAAGCTCTATTTTCCTCTTTAAAAAGTTTCCTTTTGTGTGGTGGTGTTTTGAAAGGTGACGAGTGGTTTTAAATGCTTTTTTTTTACTTCTATGTTAGTACTAGTATTATTTGCTGGAAGAACGTGTTCTCTACTTGATCTTTTTTTTCCCCAATTGCGATGGTTCACTTCGTATCTGTTTGAAAAGCGTTTCTCGTTTTAGTTTTTTTTTTCGCGTGTGTTTGTGTGCTTGCTATCAAAAGGTGTAAATAAATATATGTATATATGTACATATAGAGGTACAATAACTGCTCTGCTCGCTTGACGACTCTCTCCGAGTTTCTAATCGTGACGATCGTAGCGTGAAGTCGGTCTCCGGTTGGTGCGGAGATGGGTGGTGCACGTCTTTGCGTATATCCATACATTAACCCGAGACGGCCAGAACACATTCTGCACACTGGCGCACGCTTCATTTCAGATTGCGCATCCCATCCGTCGGAGATAAACGGCGCAGTTCAGAAAATCGTGTGTGCGTAACCGTCAAATAACTTCCTTCAGTCGGGGGGAGGGACGGGGCCAAAAGGCAGGTGCGATCTCTGTCTGCGTTCTCTACCTCTCGTTTCAGTTCCACCTTCTTCCTTCTCTGTATCCATTTGTATCTCTTCCACCGTGCGCGCGGACATTCTTTCCTGAGATGTTAAAAAGAGTTAATTTGCTCTCTCTCTCCTCGTGAACGGCTGTCCACATTGTTTCGCGTGTGATCGGCGATTTCAACTGAGTGGGCGTATGTACATGTACTTGCTGTAAAACTCTTCTGCTTTCTCTTGTTTTTCATTACATTGTCTCCGGCGCAGAAGACACATTTGGGCCCGCCTTCTTCCGAGCCGTACGCACCGCTGTACACAGCTCTGCAACTTTGCTAGTGTACATCCCGCTGGTCAGAAAACAGGTCAAGTCAACCGGACAGTTACTTTCCCTTTTCTCCCCTTCTTAGAGTTTTTGGTTTTCAACTCCTCCACAAAGAAAAAGGTCCATTTGGGTTTTGCGCTATCAAATTTCGCTGCGTGCAGCACCGGCTGACTTCATTGCGACCCGCCCGACGAAATGGTCTTCTCCATCCCGTCGTACCTTGGCGTTGGGGACAGGTACAAGCGGCCAATCGACGCGAGAGCCCAGGGCGCCACTTTCCTCGTCTCGCGCCCCAAGACCGGCACCAACCCCGATGCCCTCATTGACAAAGAGTTCCACTACCTGTGGAACGGTGAACGCGGTGGCGACGCAGAGACGCTGCGGCAGCGCGAGTTGCACGAGAGCAACAAGAAGAACCTGACGCCTAACGGCTTCGTCTTCACCGGGCCATCGCCGCAACCGGCGGGGCTCGGCTCCTACTTTGGATGCTTCCAGTCGACGCCGTACCAGCACATGCCGGAGCACCCGGAGAGGCATGACCAGGCGGTAGCGCACCCACAGCCGGCACCGCGTGGCTTCTTCACGTCGCCTGCGCCGAAAGGCTCTGGCTACGGCTACGCCAACGTCACCATCTCCAATTTGGGCAACGACTACATCGCCACCATCTACGATCAGCCGCGCATCAACGAGCGAATGGAGCGGGAGGCCTGGAAGCGGAAGATGCCCGCAGAGCCGTTCCGACCGGGGGGTCGTGAGGGCTACACCTTCGACGAAAGCACCGCCACAGGGACGTCTCGGTGCTACATAATGACGGTGCCGTTCCAGGAGAAGCGCCCCCAGCCGGCCTTTGCACACTTCCGTATTGATCAGCCATGGAGACCTGGCGGCTACGTGGAGGACAAGCCGACGGCGATGGAGTATTGGGAGGACCCGTACCGCGGCTACGACCCACGCAAGGAGCCGAAGGAATACGTGAAAAAGCCGTCCAACGCCGTCTTCTTACCCAGCTCGCGCAACGACGGCTTCTGGTACACGCAGAGTGTTGTGTTCAAGCGCATCTAAGCTAAGCTGATGCTGCGTTCGCTGTTTGCCTATAGGAGAGAAAACAGGCAAGAAAAACAACCAAATAGTCTCTTATAAAGTCACCCCACGTCCATGTATAAAACGTTTCCTTCTTGCGCACCTATTTTACGTCGCCATTTTCTTTTTCCCCCTTGTTGTTTATGGTAGTGAGTGTTGTACACAAGAAACAAGCAATGCATACTAAACCCAAAAAGAATGCGAACGTCTGAGGCGTTCGTTTTCCTTCCTTAAAGGTGCTCCACGACGACGACGAAGGAGAGAGAGTGTGTGTGTTTGCGAAGGATGCGTTCACGTCGGCTTCAATGTCAATCAAGGTCCAAACCAAAATGTATGCTAGCTGTCATTACATAGAGACTTCGTTGACTGTGACCCTTGTAGGTGGGAACTCGAATACGTGTGAGTAGCACCTCTTTTCTGTAATAGCAGTTTAAAATATTGAAAACGCTATCCTTTGCCTTCATGATGAGGGGAAAAAACAATTTGCTTCTTTCTACTGCCGTTTAGACCTTGTTATCTCCTGTTCTGTGCTTTCTCCGTCGTTTCATAGCGCTTCCTTTCCAACGGTTGCGGCTGTGAACGCTGGGGGTTAACGTTTTCTGTCTTTTTTTTTGTTTATTTCTATATATATTGGCGGCAAAAGCGTGCTGAAGAACTTCTCGTGAAGAGCGACGGTGTGTGTGTGTGTGTGTGTGTGTGTGTGTGTGTTCAGAGTGCCGCTTTCCGGGGCGGTGTTGTTTTTCCCCCTTTTTCAGACGTATATTACCGTTCTCACATACGCGCACATGTGTCGCCCGCTCAAGGGACACACACACGCTCTTATACGTTTCTATTACGGAAATTTGTTTTGCCTCGCTTTCAGTTACGTTCTCCTCTTGTATCGACAGAGCTAAGGTGTTGATAATTAGATGGCGTTTGATTTTCCTTAACTCATTTTCCTTCTTAGATTCTCGCACAATTCGTAGACCACTGTAGAGGAGAGGGAAAAAAAGCAAAGGCGGTCCCTCGTAACTCGCGGCACCTCGTGTCTTTCCCGAAATTTGTCTGTTGGACACGTGTGGGTTCACATGTCTTCAAATGACCGAAAACGTGCGAGGAGTGACGGCGCGGCACAAGAGCAGGATGGCAGCGCGGCGAATACCGTCTCTGCTGCCACGCATTCGACGGCCGGTCCTCTCCGTCCACGCACCGTGAACACCGCTCAAGCCGTTCTCAACTGCGAGGGTGCGCAAGGGACGCGTCTTCAAGCTGTGCTCCAGAGGAGCGACGCCTGTATTGGGACTGCGACGACGCACGACGCACAAATCAGCAGCGACTATGCTGCTCAGCCTGGCAGCATGTCTCAGTCGCACGCTGCGCCGTCAGTCCGCGGTAAGCCACAACGGCCCTTCCGTCCTGCCCAGAGCTCAGTGACAGTCTTCCCCCCTTCCTCCTCTTCTGTCGTATCAGCGTCTCGTGATTTCACGGCTGCTACGTCGAATGCTGTCCATCACGCTGGAACGGCCAATGCGCGGCACAACGGATTCTCCGCGAATCAAATCCGTGAAGGTCATTCTGGCACGACAACAACGTCCGTTGCTGCGACTCCTACGCATGACGTGGACGCAGAGTTGCACGCCACGTGGAAGGCCAAGCGTGACGGCCTTGAAGAGGAGGTGCGCTTCCTGGAAGCGCAGTCCACGCAGCTCACGGAAGAAACACACGCCGTCGAGGACGCCATTGAGCGCATGTTGACGGAGTTTGAAGAGGATAAACGCTTGGCCCAGGTGCGCCACGCCAACACCGTCGCGCGATTCCACAGTTTTATGAAGGCGCTGCGTGCGCGGGAAGACTTGTGTCTCGCGGCGAAGCAGCGTGCCTTGAACAACATCGACGCTTCTGTGGAAACCGTTCGACAGCTGTGCGCAGATCAGGCAACGACACAGGAGGCGATCGTGTTGACAGCGGATCAATGCGAAACCCTCGATGGACAGCTGACAAGACTGCAGGCAACGGTGGCGGAGCGGAGAGGGTTTTTGCAGCAGCTCCAAGGTGAAGAGGAACGCATGAAGGACGCCGCCTACGGCCTGAGCGGAGAGGTGCGGGAACTCGTTCTCGAAATGGAGCAACTCAAAGTCGAAAAACGAAAAACAGAAGTGTCGGCGATGCAGACGGAGGTGGCGCGGCGGGAGCTGTACTCACTGTGCGAGGCGCTGAAGGGCTCCATTCGCGTCTACTGTCGTGTGAAGGGAGCAGTGAACGTTGACGTGCCCGCAGCAGCGGAGCCACTCCCGCCGGCCACCACCACCGTATCCGCACTAGAAGCGGATACTGACGTCGCGGAAGGCACGACACGTCTGCCGTCCCCGGCGAAGACCGGCCGCGGCGGATCGGTGGAGTCGTCGGTGTCCGTCGGCGTGCGATCCACCGCGGGGGCTGTGGCCGCTGGGGCAGCCCACCGGCCGGGCCTTGCTGGCGGTGGTCACCGCAGTGGGCGGTCCACCACTCGCTCAAGCGTAACGACAGCCGCGATGACGGCGGAGGCGGAGGCAGCTCCTGAGAAGGACGGCGACGGCGACGCGGAGCGGCCTCTCTTTTCCTATCCAGATCGCACTAACGCTACAGCGGTGGATGTGAAGGAGGAGGAGGAGGTGAAAACGCCCTCGACGGCCGACTTCTTGGCAAATAGGGAAGCAAAGCTGTCTGCTACCACGGCTACGGCAGCAGCTGGTTCGTCGCCATCGTGCGCGACGTTTGAAGGTCCCGAAGCCGCGAGCGGCGCGGAGGCGGGCCTGCCCTGCAGCAGTGGACGGACCATCACGATTCACCTCACCCGCTCCAACGCCACTTCCACCGGCGTGAACAACACAGAGGAAGGCTTCACCTACGATCGTGTTTTCCCGGGCAGTGCGCATCAGGAGGAGGTGTACCGCGACGTGGAGCCGCTCGTGCGCAACGCCGTCGACGGCTATCGTGTGTGCGTCTTTGCGTACGGCCAGACAGGCAGCGGGAAGACGTTTACGATGGAGGGCGACCTGCGTCACACGCCGGCGGCTTACGGAGTAACGCCGCGTGCACTGCGGACGATCCTCCAGCGTCAAGACGAACTCGCCAGGGAGGGTTGGTCCTACGAGCTGTCCTGCACCTTCATCGAAATCTACAACGACGTCATTCGCGATCTGCTGCAGAGTGGCTCGGCACGGTACGAGACGGCGATGCAGCAAAGCGGAAACCCGGCCACCTACCACACCATCAAGCACTCCGGCGACACCACGCAGATCACCAACGTCAACGAGGAACGCATTCGAAACATGGAGGACTTTTTCAAGCTGTACACGCACGCTGTCGAGCAGCGCAGCACGGCCAAGACAGATTTGAATGACAAGTCTTCCCGGTCTCACTGCATCTTTACATTGCGCATTACCGGCGTAAATGCCACTATCCGTCAGCGAAGCGAGGGCGTGCTGTGCCTTGTCGATCTTGCCGGCAGCGAGCGCGTCAACGAGAGTGGTGCGCAAGGGAAGCAGTTTAAAGAGGCGGTGAACATTAACCGATCTCTGTTGGATCTTGGCAAGTGCATCCGTGCCTTGCGGAGTGGTGCCGTCGTACCGTGGCGCAACTGTAAGCTGACGTACCTGCTACAAAATCATCTGGGTGCGAAGGGCGGGAAGATGCTCATGATCGTGACCGTTTCGAACCTGCGGCAGCACGCTGCGGAGAGCATCAACTCGCTGCGCTTCGCGGCGCGCGTGCAGGAGACGTTCGTCGGCACTTCGGTCAAACGCGTTGTGAACATGATGTGAAGGCGGTTATGTTTTTGTTTTGAGACATACACAGGACAGTTATGGCGAAGAGGGACGTCTACGTGTTTCTGTTTTCTGTTTCCTTGAACAGCTGGCGGTTCATTGGCGCGGAAGTGTGTGAAGCTTCCCCTTTTTTTTAAAACACCACCCCGTACTCGTACGTTTTCATACTTGCTGTTGCGTTAGAATTATTACCTTTTTTTTTCTATCCTGCATCTTTCTCAGGCATTGCTCTCTCTCTCTCTCTTTCTCGCTGTATGGGCACAGGTAACGAACGAATGCAAAGTGTCTTGAGCTGGAGATGAAAGGATCTACTTTTTCAGACGCGACACGCAATGGGCTGAAAGAGAACAGCACGGTTATCCAAATCCTTTCGAGTCCAAAGTCTCGTATGTGAAATGATAGTGGTGTGTTATGCTGCAACGAAGCGGATGCTTTGCACCCGGCTCTTCTTTTCCTTTTCGGAACCAAAACCATTTTCGTTGGAATTTCGATTTCGCGAAACGGAAGAGATTCGTATCGTTGCCCCGTGTGTTCGTTTCTCTACTGTCTCCTCCTCCCTTCTCTTGCTATTACGCCTCCCATTGCACCAGAACAACAGCGGCGAGGGATCCATTGCAAAACGAACCAGTTGTTGGAACTCACTTTCCTTTTCTGACCTCGAAAACAGTCGATACGTATATATATCTTTTTTTCTGTATAGCGCATCACCATGTCCGTCGTCCTTTCCGAGTCGCATCCAGAGCACCCCTTCAACCTCATCCCCGAGCTCTGTAGGAAGTTTTTCGACCTCGGTTGGGCCACCGGCACCGGCGGTGGCATCTCGATCAAAATGGGCGACAAGTACTACGTCGCCCCGAGCGGGGTGCAGAAGGAACGCATTCGCCCTGATGAGATTTTCATCCTCGACGCGGAGCAGGAGGTCGTCGAGGAGCCCCGCACAACGGAGAAGAAGCTGAAGATGTCGGAGTGCACGCCGCTATTCTTCAACGCCTACCGCATGCGCAACGCCGGCGCCTGCCTACACACCCACTCGCAGAGCTGTGTGCTGATCAGCCTGCTGTGCGACAAGGAGTTTCGCATCTCGCACATCGAGATGATCAAGGGCGTCAGCAACAACGTCACGAAGAAGGCGTTGGGCTTCCGCAACTCCCTGGTGGTACCAATTATCGAGAACACCGACTTCGAGGCGGACTTGACCTCCTCCATGGCGGAGTGCATGAAGAAGTACCCCGAGTCGTGTGCCGTGCTGGTGCGCCGCCATGGCATGTACGTGTGGGGTGACACATGGCAGAAGGCGAAGGGTGCGGTGGAGTGCATTGACTACCTCATGGAGCTCGCGATTCGCATGAAGTCTTTGGGGCTCGAGTGGGAGCCGCAGCCGAAGAGCGTGCCCTGAAGCTGAATGATGAGCCGCAGTTGAAGGGAGGCGCGGAGGGAAGGGGCGGAACTCCTCAAGACTGCGCTTTGCTGCTTTCTTTCGTTCGCCTTGCACGCCTAGTGCTAGTATTACTACCTGTCCTCACCGCATGTGTTCGCTTCTATGTACAAGCGGGGCGACGTCGGTCGGCGGCGTGGCGGCATGCAAAAAAGCGAAAGAAGTCACACAAACGAGTTGCCGTACGCCGCGCCTTTGGGGTTCGCTCGCCAGACCGGTAACAGTTTGACGAAGCGCGTGCGTGTGTGCGGGTGTGCCGCTGTTGCTACTCACACTTGGTTCTAACAATTAAAAAAACAACGAAGGTGTCTTCCTTCCTCTCTTAAATTATTTTTGTTAGACATTAACGCTTATACCTGAGTCTTCTTTCATGAGGCCTGTAAATACATAAATACATGCAAGAAGAAGAAAGAAAAGCAGAGAGCGAGCCAGTAGGCACATTTGGACGCACATTCTTCTCGGCGCCCTTCTCCTTAGGCTTCGTATACATTGGTGATCTTGGGAGTACATTTCCGCGGTTTTCTTTCACGCAAGCGGTCCCCCTTTACCTCTCTCTCTCTCTGTCCCTTTCACCGCTGCCTGGTATTTGTGACGCGACGTGCTTGCACTGCGACGCGCAAAAGGGCAATATATCGCAGATTTTTTTTTGGCATTCACAACCAAATGCTCTTGCTATAGTAATGCTGCTCTTCAGATCTTATCCGTCTCTCTCGTTCTCTTACCTCTTCTGTTTTTCTGTTTTTCTCTGGAAAAGTGAAAAGTGTGGGATGACCGCTTACGTGCGTTCTATATGAACCCTTTGTGCCCCATCGCGAACTTAGACTCCTGCGTACAGTTTGAAGAAGAGGAAGAGCCCTGCCTTCATTTGTTTATGTTGTATGATAATACTTCCACACGAAGTGAATTCCGTACTGCGTCGCTTTACGGTTCATCCGCGGTGTAGCAGTCGAAAAGATTGCCCTATTTGTTTTACCTTTCTATTTGTCTACTCGTATGATTTTGACACCTAGATTAGAACCTGTGCGTAAAGATCATTTGCTCCTCTGCTCAAAGCCTCGCCCACCGCTTTCGCTGTCAGACGAACGTATTCTGATACTCAAAGGAGAAGGACCGTTTCGTAGCAGTTTAACTAATTGGTTTCTTTATTTTAGTGCGTTTGCGTTAAAGCCATGGATGATGTGGACGCTTTCTTAGCCAGCTTGGACCGTTTCTCCTCGCCCACCATCGACGCCGGCATTGAGCACCAGCTGAGTCAACAAGCGCCATCACAACCCCCAGCCGCCGCCCCCCGACAGGGAGAAGGTAGCAGCAACGGTGCACCGTCTTCCCTGCCCCGACGTCGTTCACGCAAAGACAGCACAGAACGTGTCGAACAGCAGCCACTACAGGGACAGTCGCAGCTGCCACTGCAGCCCCAGCGGCAACGGCAGCGTACCACCACCGATGCGGAATGGCCTGCCTACGCAGCGATCGATGTGGACTCTCCAACGGGCGCGTCGGACGCGGCGGCGTCGCCCGGCTCCGTCCCGACGTGGTGGTGTGTCCGTTGCAGCGCGGAGAACTCGACGTACATGCAAAGCTGCGCTATTTGCCATCACCGACGACAGAGAGCGGAGGGGCCCCGACCACACTTTACCGTGTCCCCGTCACAGCAACCCGCACCGCAGTCTAGCACAACAGGTCCGACCTCGTTCGTCCATTTACCTAATAGTACCAGTGTGTACGCGTTGAACTGCGAACCCGCTGTCATGGTGGCCCCAGGCGAGGTGTCGTGTCCCCGCTGCACCTTTATCAACTCACCGTCTCGCCACACATGTGAGATGTGTGACGGACCCCTTCCGCTTCCACCTCCACATCTCCCTACAACTATCAACGGCTCATCCACCAGCTCTTCAGCTCCGTGTGCGGCTGTGGCGACGGCGGTGGTGCCTTCCGTGACTCTTCCAGGTGTGGGCGGCAGCGGGGCTACGAGGCCATCCGCCAACGCCAGATCGGGTACACCACCCCCATACCAAACGCGTTCGATGCCCACGAGCATTGCTGGGGAACACAGCACGGGTACCACTAGCGCTACCGTGGCAAATGGCGCCGTCGCACTTGGACAGAGGCCGCCGGTGATGCAAGGAGCTGCCCGTGAGACGCTGTCACTTTCTCCGGTGGTGCTCAGCCGTTGCGACGACACCAACGCTGGTGATGCGTCCAGCGACAGCGAGAGCTCATCTTCCGACGCGAGCGACCACGACTCGGACTGGGACGGACAGCAGACGTCGCAGCACGAGGCACAAGACCATCGCGAGCTAGTGCGCTTTCTCGAAACGCTGCAGTCCGTGCAGTTTGATGATCTCCCTTTTGCAGCGGTGCCGGCGTCGATGCGGGCTAGGGCGGAGCTGCGACCGTTTCAACTGCAGGCCCTGTACTGGCTCCTGACACGCGAGCAGCAATCAGCGTCCCAGGACAAGGAAGCTTTCGATGACGACAGCGACACTCGGGCAGCGAAGCCACTTAAAGAAAGCGGCTTTCAAGGCGCATCGGGGCAAGCAAAGGCGGGCGGTGCCGAATGGAGGGGCGGGTTTGGGTCTTCCGACGGGCTCCGCCATGTCCCTAACTCGTCCCCAGCCATCCCCCCGGACACGTCATCCACCGTGCAGGGTGGGGTCTTTGCAGACTTCATGGGCCTCGGCAAAACGCGCACCCTCATCGCCCTGTGCGAAGCCGCACGTGCCCCACGCGTTGACCGGGTGACGGGGTCGCTGGTGGAGTCCACCGCCACCTTGGTCGTGTGCCCCACTTCCCTCCTCACACAGTGGGTCGAAGAGCTTCAGCGGTGTGTGGAGCGTCCCCCGTCTGCACCACTGCGCGTTCTCGTCTACTACGGTGCGCGCAAACGCCGACTTACTTTGTTTCAGATCGCGCAGTCGTACGACTATGTCATCACGACCTACCAGACACTGGCACACGAGCCGCCGCCGCGGCTGCTCTCGGTTACCACTGGCAGTGATGATGGCGGAAGGTCTGGTTGGACGTCCAGGCTGCCGCAGAGCAGCGGCGGTTCTTTTTTCGATGCGGATCCCTACGACTGCGCAGACGAATTCACCGCGGACGGCACGGAGAGCTATGATGTTGACCGTCATCTGCAGACGGAGGTGGGGAAACTGTTCATGATCCGCTGGGCCCGCATTATCCTCGACGAGGCGCACTACATCCGCAACATGCGCACCCGACAGAGCCGGTCCTGCATGCGGCTCTCTGGCGTGTTCAGGTGGGTCGTGACGGCGACACCGGTGCAAAATAGCCTCAATGACTTGTACCCGCTTCTTCGCTTTCTCGGGGTGCCTCACTTCAGCTCGCTGCAGTGGTGGAACGACGAGATTGTGCGATACTACAATCAGGATCCGCGCCACCCGCGGCCGGTCACTGCCCTCTCGATTCTTTTCCGCTCGATTCTGCTCCGTCGCACGCCGGAATCACTGGTGGCCGGGAGGCCTCTTCTGGACCTTCCACCGAAGCAGGTGGTGACGCACACCGTCGCCTTGTCGCGCGAGGAGACACAGTTTTACAAGGCCATTCACACGAATGCCACCGAGAAACTCAACGCGCTACGGCAGCGCGACACTTTCACGCCGTCCAGCCCGCTTGCCACCTTCACGACTGCCTTTGAGATGCTCGTGCGGTGTCGGCAGACTTGCTTGCACCCTTACATCGTGGTGGCGGCGCTGCGCAAGTGTCATGGCCTTCCTGGTGACGTAGACGCCGGTAAGACAGCGACGCAACGCGCCGCATCCACTTCGCGCAGTGCTGCCCTCGCACAATCGCAACGAGAGGAACAACAACGACAAGAGGCAGAGGAGCAGGTGGCGCGTGCGTTAGACCACTTTATTCAAAGCGTTGTGCTGCGTCGGCTGCACACCACAAAAGCCAGTGAGTTTGTGCAGTTGCTTGTCAGCGAAATCAAGCGGCAGAAGTTAGAGGCGAGAGAGTGCATCATCTGCCTCGATACGGTGAACCGACCGGCGATTCTGCCCTGCGCACACGTCTTCTGCGAGGAGTGCATCACACACGCGCTGGAGGCAACGCGACGGTGCCCGCTATGCAAACGCGCCACCAAAAACGGTGAGATGTTGCTGGTCCCTGTGGAACTGCTGGACTCCGCGCAGCATCCCACGGCGTCTGGATCTGATTCGAGTGGTGCTGTCGCAGGAGGTTCAATTGGCCAAGAAAGAGGCAGAACTGTTAGAAGTGAAGAAGCTGATCCACCGCCTGAAGTACCGGCCGATTTGGACCTCACAAACGTCGCGAACTGGGGCCTGAGGCTCAGCTCGAAAACGCAGTACCTCATCGACATCATTCAACGTGTTCCCGCGGTGGACAAAGTGGTGGTTTTTAGCAGCTTCCTGACCTACCTTCGCTACGCACAGCATTGGCTGGAGGACAGCGGCATCACGTGTGCGATTTACAGCGGGTCCATGACGATGCGGCAGAAGCAGCTGCTGCTCGATAAGTTTCGTGACGCCGCGCAACCCGACTCACCGCGCGTGCTTCTGGCCACCATAAGTAGCTGCGGTGTGGGACTGAACCTCACATGTGCAAACCACTGCTTTCTCATGGAGCCGTCGTGGAACCCCAGCACGGAAGATCAGGCCCTCAATCGTATTCACCGCATCGGCCAGGCGAAACCGGTGACGGTGACGAAGCTGATTGCGGGCGGCACCGTCGAGGAGAACATCCGTCAGCTGTGCGAGCGGAAGCGGGCGCTGAGTGGGTACTGCTTCGGTGACGGCGGTGCTGGCGGAGGTGGCGGTGGGCGTCTTCGCACGGCGGATCTGCTGGCGCTTTTTGCCCCGGAAGACGAGGAATCGAGTGAGGAAGGCAGCGACGACGACGGGAGCGATGAGGAGGAGGAGAGTGATTGAAACAGGGAAAGAGGGGTGAGGGTTTTTTCCCCGCAAGCGAAATTGACGGCAGCAACAGCATCCGTAGCGACAACAACTGTAATGAACAGCGACGGATTACCATCTGGTCTGTAATGAGACGAAGCGGTTATGTATGACGTAGACGTTTTTGTTTTTGTTTTTTCTTGCAATTCACCCTCATCGGCGACTCGTTTTAAACCCGTGTCGAGTTCACTGAAGTGACGATATATGTGGGCAGACGTGCACCTCGACCGATGCGGCGCATTGCCATTATTTTTTTTGTTTGACCGCCTTTTTCTTTTCGAATGCTCTCTTGTCCCCTCTCGCATCTTTCCTCTGCTCCACGAGCTTCTTTTTTTCTTGTTATTGATGACTTGGTGTAAACACGACAACACCGCCTTTTCCTCACGTTCACCATAAACCAGATTTTGTTACTGTGGTTTCACACTTGCGCTTCATCAAACAGACACAACACTTTTCGTGGTTGCATACCATTGCCGTCTTCACCGACCGCGCAACGATACGCGTGCTTTTTTCTTACCCATAAACTGCCACGGAAGGGGCGCCGTTTAGTCTGTTCCTGATACTTATATATATACACGTTAGAGATATACGCACACACTGGCAGCCAGCACGCACACTGCACACAGAGGCCATATCCAATCTTATTTTAACAAAAGAAGAAAAAGGGGCTGGCGTACTTCCCATCCATAGAACAGAAAAAGATATACATACATATATAGTGAGAGTTTTCCATTCTCTTTCCACCCCACTTTCCACACACACACACACACACACACCCTTGTTCTTCTTCGTTGTTTCGGCTTTCATACGGAGCAAAAAGGAAAAGAAAGAAACCTTTCTACCCCACAAACTCTCCGTCCAGCTAATTGAACCTCCGATAGCAAAAAAACAACAACATCCCTAACACAATAAAGAAAATGCAGCAGCCCGGCAGTCACCAGATTCAGCCCATCGACTCCCTCACCCCGTTTCTCGGCGGGAAGTGGTGGATTCGGGCGCGCGTGGCGGACAAGAGCGACATACGCACCTGGAACAAGCCGACGTCGCAGGGCAAGCTCTTCTCCTTCACCCTCATCGACGAGTCCGCTGCGATCCGCGCCACTGTCTTCAACGACGCCGTCGACACCTTCGAACCGCTCATCGTGAATGGCCAGGTGTACTACTTCAGCGGTGGTCAGGTCAAGAACGCGAACCGCCGCTTTAGCAACGTGAACAACGACTACGAGCTCACCTTCGATCGGTCGTCGGAGATTATGCTGGCGCGCCAGGACTCGTCGACGGCGGTCTTGCCCATGCAGCGCTACAACTTTGTGCCGATTGAACTGCTGAAGCAGCGCGAGGTCGGCTCGCTGGTGGACGTGCTGGGCGTCGTGCTGAAGGTGGATGAGGTCTCCTCCATCACGCAGAAGTCGACGGGGCGGGAGCTCATCAAACGTAACGCCAAGCTGGGCGACATGACCGCCGCGGTGGAGGTCACCTTCTGGAACGATGAGGCGAAGGCATGGAACTACCCGGCGGGCACGGTGGTGGCGCTCCGGCAACTGAAGGTGGGCAGCTACAATGGCGTCACGCTCTCCTCCACCTACCAGACGAAGATCGACGTGAACCCGTCGGACCTGCCAGATGTGAAGAAGCTGTCGACGTGGTACGTCTCCACCGGCGGCGCGAACGTGGTGTCTTTGTCCTCGCAGGACGTCGGCGCGGGCGGCGGGGCAAACGGCGAGGGCAACCGCGGACGCAAGTACCTGGACGAGATCCAGTCGGAGGGCATCGGCCGCGGCCCGAAGCCCGAGTACGTCGACGTGCGTTGCGTCCCCATCTACTTCAAGCAGGACGCGCAGTGGTACGACGCGTGCCCGACGTGCAACAAGAAGGTAACGGAGGAGGGTGCGCAGGGGGATCGCTTTCGCTGCGAGAAGTGCGACGCCACCGTCGTCCCGACGCAGCGCTATCTCGTTTCCATCCAGGTCACCGACAACGTGTCGCAGGTGTGGCTGACGCTGTTTAACGAGGCCGGTGTGGAGTTCTTCGGGATGGAGGCGTCTGAGCTGAAGCGCCGTGCCCAGGAGGATCCGCTCTACATCGCAAAGCTGGCACAGGGCCGCATGAACCGCCCCGTGGTGATGCGGCTGCGCGTGAAGGAGGAGACGAACGCGAACGCCATGACCGGCGAGGAGTCGGATCGGCTGCGAATGTCGGTGGTCCGCATTTCGGAGTTCATGCCCATCGCCGGCACATCGGAGGAGACGCGGCGCCGTCTCGCGCAGAACCTCCGCGCTGAGTGCGACGACATCCTCCGCTGCATCGAGGCCTACGTGTAAAGCGCGCGGGAGAGGTGGATCGCACACGCAGGCGTCCAGGAAGACATCTGTGCGAGCATGACGTGACGTTCGACGAGTTTTTTTTTGCTTGTAAAAGCCCACGGCGGGAAACAGAGGGCGAGGAAATCGCTGCCGCGCTTTCTATAAAGATATATATTAGCGCCTGCGGAGAAAATGAATGAGAAAATGAGCAACGCATTTAAATAGAAGAGCCACATATTAGCTTCGCTGAAGCATCGTGCATATACAGTATTTTTGGCGGCAGAGTTCTTTTTTGATCTTTTGTTAGTGTTAAGAAGCAAGAGCACATGCTTTTTTTTTGGTGGTGTTTGGTTTCTCTTGGAAACGTATAATTTTGTAAGAACAAAGGAGGGAGAATAAGTTCGATTGCCACAGGAATGATGGTTGTAAGCGTGTTACATACACGATCCTCTATCAAACGGCGTTCTACGGTTATTGGGACCGTTATCCGTCTCGTCGGTATAGCTGCCCCCTCTGTGTCTCTCTCTCTCCCCCAAAACCCAGCTGACCTGACGATCTGTTGTTATACGCGATGATCAACAATCAAGCGGGAGAGGAGCAATTTGTGGCTGCAGGGACGGGAAGCGCTCAGAACTGTGGGTGCAATTGGGCCGCCAACCTCGTACGTTTCTCCCATCTTACGCATTCATCTTGTCTATCTTTTTTTTTCTTGGTTTCTATTTTCATTTCCCAGGGGCAGAAAGCCTTGAAGTGAGGACAACACGCTTCGTATCGTCTTATTTTCAAACACCTTCCGCTACCCTGTTTGCGGACTCTATCGTCGCCGTACCATGTTCCGCAAAATCGCGACGCCTGCCTTGACGGGTGTGTCAAGTGCTTACACGCGTGCAGTCCCCTCTGTCTTTATCACGGAGAGCAACGGGACCGCAACCAATTCTGTACGCGCCGCGGTGTCGGTGTCTTTTCTTTCGAATAATCGCAGCAGCCGCGGAATGTGCTCGCTTTGTACGTCGCAGCGCTGCTACATTCACACCTCGCGTCTGGCCCGCGATGACGCAGCGCAGCAAGCACCGCCGTCCTCGGACAACGCGACGGCAGCACCTGCAGCACCCGCGCCGGGTGCCGCATCGGCCACGAACGAAAGCGCTCTCGATGTTGCGATGCGCGTGAACAAGCTGAAGAAGACGCACCAGACAGGCGGGGCTGGGTCAAACAAACAGGAGGTTGAGCAAGAGGCATGGCAGGCGCTGAACTCGCTGACAGAGGATCAGATCAACAACGCGGAGGGGAAGGCGGTGTCGCTGCTGCTGAATTCGTGGGCGTACTTCGCCAAATTCTGGGCGAAGGGAAAGGACGGACCACTGTAAAAGATAAAGTAACGAAAGAACGAGCGAGCGGGAAGCTGCACATTGTGAAGAGGAGCACTGAATATTCACGGGAGAGGAGAAGAAACGTCGTCTACAAGGCACAAGAGATGTTTCGCACGCTCTGCCTGAGGGGCGTAACGAAGGTCTGCAATGCAAGAAAGGAAAGTTACCTTGCGGTACGGAGCTTATTGTTTTGTTTTGTTTTGGATGAGGGGGTGTGAGAGAGAAAACAAGGGGTATGCTGATGATTCTCCTTTTCTTACATATTACGTCCAGATTGGCTTGATTGGTTGATTGACTGATTGAGTGATTCAGCGGTTGAGGCTGGAAGGAGTGCAACGGTTGCTGATGAGAAAACTGTGTAGTGCGGTTTGCGCACCCCGCCGCGTTTTTTTTTGTTTCTTCCGTTTCTTGATCTTGCGTTTTATTACTATTTCTTTTTTCCTTCCGATCAGAGACAGTATGACACGTTCGAGAAGTCAAATACGTATCCACGATGCTCGCCGGGCCTCCGTTCCTGCGCTCCAGCTCTCAGACGTCGTGGTAGCAGATCCGATTTCCTTCTTCCAGCGTGTTTTCTTCACGTGATTTGATCTTTCTTTGGAGGTGTGTTGTTGTGAGTCCTGAGGCGCGGTGAGCACCGTTTCGCTCCGCGTAGCTTTTAACCAAACCAAAACAAAATATTTAAAGAAGGAACATTGAACCTGCCAGAGAGAAGAAGAGACAAAACGTCTGTCCTAAACAGCTGAAAAAGAAGAAGATATTGTTGACAGGAGTCTTTCGCTGCGTTTTTTTTTTGCGCTCCAGCCTTGGTGGTGCAAGATCGGCGACGACTAGACGCATAACTGCTGTGTTTTTGTTTTTTTCTCTGGTGATTAGGACTTGCGCGTATTCTCTTTCCACAGGTGGTTGGATGAATGAAACCTGGAATCTCAGAATTGAGACAAGAATGCACACAAACACTGTTAAGCATCGTCACCACTTCAAAATTGGCTTTCTCTCCCTCTCTCCCTCTCTCTCTCGCTCTTCTTTGTAACAACCTTTTTGATCTCTCATTACCGCAGTCTTCTCTCACGTTGGTTGGAGTGTCGCGGCTGCGGCGCCCAGAGCGAGCTCCGTCGGGTAACGATAAAACATATAAGAAAACCGATTCACTGCTGGAGCAAATCGTCGTCGTGTGTCTGCGTAAGTGAGTGTGTTTGTGTGCATTCTCGTTATCTGCCCTGGCGGATACCTTCTCTCTTTTCTTTCTTCTTGCGCACAGTAATTAATTCTTTGGTCTCAACGCTTCTGAGGCTTTTTCTGTACCATTAAGGGCTGTCGGCATCTTGAAAAAAAAAAGAAAGAATAAACGGCCCCAAAAGAACTTGCCGCGGTTTGTTTCTCTCGCTCCAATGAGAAGACCACATGGTTTCCTGGTCGACGGATGCCGTGCCGCGGTGCATTCCTCAGCTCTGAGCCCATCAGCACCAATGCCCACCTTCTCCGATGACGCGCAACAGGAATTGGTCAGGTTGCAGCATCACAGTGCCATTGGGGTGGTAAGCAGCGGTAGCATCAGTGCATCCTGGTCAGGGTTTTCGGAACCTCTCACGACCAGTCTCAGTACGATGCACACGAAGCCACCACTGTGCTCCGCCGCATCAGCGCAGCTTTTTACGCAGCTACAACACGTCGAGGGCAAGGAGTTATGGATTGTGCGGTTTGCCAAGGCGGTAGCTGATCTAGTGAACACGGCGTCGTCGCCGCAACCGCCTACGATGAGGACGAGTGTTAAAAGCGGTGGTCTTCACACGAACCGACTGCTTGCGCCTGCGCTGTTGTCGCCCTCGCGCAACTACGCGACAACGCAGCGACCCAGCAAAGACGACGGAGTTGACGGGAGCCCCGCAACTTCTTCTCCGTCGTCTTCCCCGCCGTTGTCACAACAATGGTGCCCTGCAGAGAGCGCACCGGCTATTCAGCGAAAACTGACGTCGCAGCGCTTCTGCCATCGTCGCGAAAAGGGCAAAAAAAGGGGTAACGGAGCGGGCCGGAAAGCGGACGAGATGGCAAAACGAGCTGACTCGAATGCGCAGCCGCCTTCACGAGAAAGCAACGACGCACCGCAGCAGCCTTTGTCGTCGTCATCGCCGCCGTCCTCAGCGTTTTCATCTCGCCGTGGTGGGCAGCGCTGTAGCTCTTCCTCACGCCTTGTACGCGGCCCCGCCGCCGAACCTGCCCAGTACAACAGTGGAAAGGCGCTTGCGACGTCTGGGGCCGCACCATCGAGGCCGAGGTTTTTAAACGGTGGAAGGAAAGGCACACAGCGGCGTCAATTGGGGGTGCCACAGAGAGGCGAAGGTGACGTGTTTACGCAGTGGAGCGACGCCCCTGTGGTGCGGTCACGCAAGGTGGATGCGTCGCGGCCGCACACAACAGACGGTGCTACACCTCTCACGCACAACTCACAACGAAGCGCGACACACATATTGCAATCGGAAGAGGCCACACCAAAGGGGACTGCGCCTTCAGCAACGCGTCCGGCCCCAGCAGCACCAACGACATCGAGAAGCGATGTTGAATGGTCCTTTCTTCAGCAGCGAGCTTCACCACATACACAGCCCACCAAGTCAGCCCCCTTCTTCGCCAAAACGGGTAAAATGGATTTTGTGCCGCTGCGAAAGCTGCTGCACAATCACAAGACGTTCGAACAGAACTTTGCCACCCTGAAGCGGAACAGTGCCGTTGTTGCCTCATTTGAGCGCCTTGGCATGGAGGCACTCGCACGGAGTGGCCTGCTGGAAGCGCTGGCGGATGTCTTTACGCACGTCGAAGAAAAACAACGCGCTTCAGCTGAGGGGGCGGTGGGGCCCGAAGAGAGAAATACTGGAGTCGGCACGGCTGCTGCGTCTTCCTCGGTGCGGCTCGTACTCACACACCTGAGCGGGGCATCATCGCTCCCTGCAGCGTCGCCTGTAAACGATTCAGGTGTGGAGGTTGCGACGCTGGAGGTCTCGCAGCGCGTGATCGATTGGCTGAACAGCCCCATTGAAGCTCCGCCGCTGACGGCAGCGGAGATGATGGCTTCGATCGACGATGAAGTGACGGTGTTCGAGACGATGAGGGCACGGACAAATGACAGGTCTTTACGCTCTGGGAGTACCGAAGCAGCTCCAGGCAGCGAGCGAAAGGAAGAGGAGCTTACCGACAGCGGCGCTCTCCAGTGGTACGCACAGTGGGGACGCCAGCGCACCGAACTGCCGGTGCAGGACCCTTCCGATGCGGTTCCTGCATGCTCCACGCCGCCGGTGGACAGGTGCATGTCTCAGTGGTACGAGCGTCACGTTCTTTTATCACGGGCGTTGCTGCTGCGCTTTCGCGATGTCGATCGTGCGTTGTCAGCTGTACGTCACAAACCGTCTGCGGCAACGGGAGAGAGTGTCAAAGATGCGTCTCTTGCTGACTGGCGTTTGCTACCGCGTACAGCGGCCCCACTCGATAAGAATGCCCGGTTGTTCGACGCTCGCCAGGGAGGAGGAGACGGGCCACCGACGCGGCCGGATCAGACGTTGGCGGACGAAATGCGTCTGCTTCTTGATTCGCTAGGCGAGGTGCTGCAGTCCCTTATTGTGTTCAAGCAGTCCGTGGAAGGTGCGCGACTCATGACCAGCATCTCCATAGCGAGCGAAGGACGAGACATTGGGATCAGTGGTGCTGAAGTCTCCAACACGAACGAGACGGCGGCGCCATCCGGCGCGGATGAAGGCAGCGCCGCCGTCGAGGGTGGCGAATCAACGCAGAGAGAGACCCTTTTTGCTCAGCTGCAATGCGCTCTTCGGCAGCTGCAACAAGCCGAAATAGCGAGCACTGCTGCAGTGCCGTCGACCAATCCAAAGGAGATCGATTCCGCAAGCGGCTCCCGTGACGCTGCAACCATGGAAACCGTCTCTGCCGCACGAGAACGGGCGCGTCGTGCAGGTGACAAATGGCTCTCCTTGGTCTCGCGTGTCGATGTCCTGCATAGGATACCCGAGAGAGCGACATCAACCGACGAACAGACTCACGACGCCATCCTTGCAGTCGTATCTCCCTCCTATTCAACCGCCACCGCTCAGAGTTCTTTGGCTCGCACCCCGCTGTACTCCATTTCTGTGCTGGACTTACTTCTTAGCGTCTTCCTGCGCTGCCTGCTCTTTTACGTGCCTGCGCTGCCGTACGCCACCCGCCGCGCCGTCGTCGTCTGCCTTGCAGAACCATGGGTCACACAAAAGCAAAGCGTAGTGGTGTCGCGGTGGATGACGCTGTTCGCGGTGAAGGCGCTTTTCGTTGCCTCTGCCGTCGCTGCAATGGGTCCCAGCAGTAGCAATATCAGCAGCAGCGGAGTCCCAAGCAAGTTGACCACGCGGTCCAATGACGCTGCTGACTTCGCACACCTGTTGTCTGATCATGTCACCTACATCTTACGCACCACCGTGAAGTTGCTGCGTTCACTGTGCTGGCCCACCGTCTTCGACTACCGCGCGACCGTGGTGCAGCGGGTCTTTGGTCTGCCACAGGTGGTGGCGCAGGACGCCAAAACGAGGTCAATGGAAGCAGAAAACGACGCCGGCATACAGCACCGCATCGCATCGTCAGCTAGTGTATCTGTGTGGAGGAAGGCGGCGAGTGTGTTGGAGAGCAGTGTGGCACACCAGTCCGAAGGGTATGCGTTGCTTCTCTTTTTTATCACTGTCGTTGACCGGGTAGGCGTGCTCGACGATACCGCATCGCTCGTGAGGGCACACAGCAGCAGACGTGCCGGCCTTAGCGAGAATCAAAGCAGCACACTTGAACGCGATTTTGATGGGCATGAGAGTTGTGGTGCAGCTCACCGCACGCCCTGGACAACCACCCAAACGCGCTCTTTCCTGTCGACATGTTTTCTACTGATGGACACCGATCGGTTCATTTCGACTCGATTCTACAATCTGCAGCGGAAGGGCGAGTTTAACACCACGAGTTTCTTTTCCCTGCCTTCTTCACCTGCGTCGCCGCTGCTGCTGCCGCTGCCACAGGCGCCCTCGTGCACGCAGACGTGTGCGTTGCAAACGGCTTCCCTGTACGGACTGGCGCGGCAGACGTTTTTTGTTTTTCATCAAGAGCTGATCGAGGCGTGGCCGAAAGCGATTCACCCCAAGTCTCAGATGCTCTGGGATGTCTTCCGCTGCGCCGTTGCGGCTCCGGCGGCTTCCGTGCTGTACCACACACGCAAACCGTCGAGTGGGAGTGCCGAAACGGCTGAGTTGGCGTTTGTTCGCGGTGTCGCGGGGACGGCGGAGTGGCAGGCGTCTGCGCCTGTGCTGCGTTGCTTCAGCCGCAGTGCGACACCTGCTGTGTGGAGGACGATGTGGGCCTACGTGTCAGCCGAGCTGACAAGTTTCCCAGCGCAGATGAGGGCCATGCTCCTAGCGGCAAGAGACAAGGCAATGCACCACACCTCGCGTGATCAGACCTCGTCTTCTCAAAAACGAATTAGAGATGCAGCAGGTGTGCAGGAAAATGACCAGGATGAAGACAAGGCGACGAATGCCTTGCGCGCGTGCTGGACGGAGCTTAGCGAACTGGCATTGATGTGTGCCTGGCTGCTCGTCGCAGCAGAGCACGCCTTCGTAGTGAAGGCGCCGCTGTCTCTTGAGAAAGGGACACATGACGTGTGTGGTGTAATGGGCGAGCTCGAAGATCGCGTCGGGAACGCCTTTGCCACGTGTGTGAAGAGCGTCCTGGCTGTGTGGACGGAGGCTGGGACGACCGCAGATGCAGGACGACACCTTCTTGAGTTGTTCACTCTTCGCAGCGCCTGCGGGTCCACCGAAGAGGAACACAACAACCCGGAGAAGGCGCCGGATGCACTGTTGCAGCAGCTGATACGAGTTTTCAGAGCGCAGGTGTGGACCGTGACGCTGGAGAACCTCGTGCGAGAGTGGAAGACGCAAATGCGGCTTGTGCAGCAGCAAGCTTCAACTGCTGCGTGTCCACCGCCAGGAAACAACACGGGGAGCGCAGACGATGCCGCAACGACAGATCACCCCGCCGCGCAAGCCGCCAACGCTGCTGCTGCTCCTACACTGCTCGCTACGGCGCACTGTCTGCAAGAGCTCGCGGATGCCGATCCGTGTATTCTTGGCTGGTGGCGTTCCCTACAGGCGGAGGACGCCGGGCTGCCGTCGATTCGTGTTTACTTACTTCAGGTTTTCGTTGAGCTGCGGCGCATCGTGGTGTCGCGACGAGGCCAAGGAAAGGTCCAAAAGTCCAACAGTGCTGCGCGCGACTCTGTCGTGAGGACGCAGACGGCCACGTCGTCGGAGGCTTTGGCGCAACCACCAAAGACCGAGCGCTGTGAGGCGCCGTCGCTAGCCGATGCGACAGCCGCTCGCGGAGGAGCAGAAGCGACGGAGGCAAGGTTAGCGTCAGATGTTTTGGTCGAGGAGCGGGACGGAGGTGCGGAGGGAGGTACGGAAGGGACACCATTGGCAGCCTCGTGGTCGGTCTTTTCTCCTGCCGAACTCGTTGTCATTCTGCGCTTACTCGCGACCATCTCCACACGGGGTGGCTTGACAACAGCGAACCTCTCCATCAGGTCAGCAGCGAAGCAGAGGAACACCAATGCCAGCGGGGATGAGACGTTCTCGGCTAGTCGCGCAGGATCTATCTTAGACCCTTTGTTTCGCGTTGCGTTGCACAACGCTATGACCACTACGGTGGCTGCAACGGTGTCTTCTTCATCCCCCATACCGTCTGAAGACGCGAGCTCTGCATCGGCCACGGAGGCAAGAGGCGCGGCTCCTGTGAGCTCTACGGCACCTGACTCTGTTTCTGACATCGTGCAGGTGATGGAAGGGATTGAAAAGGCGCTGCTGGGCAGCATTTCGGCCAACGTATCGTCTTTGCCCGCTGCGACGCTCGTGGAGGCGGCGTGGCTCGGCCTGTGCTCGCTGTCCAGCTTGTCCGAAGCTTTTCGCGCAGCAGGCGCACCTGTTGATCGAAGGGTGACGACGGTGGCGAGGGAGACGCGGACTGCTTCGTCGAAATGGCTTGAAGCGTTGCACGCGGACGTGCGCACGAGCACGCACACCCGGCTTCTGTGCTGCTTTCTGCTCTATCGCCACTACAATGTGCTCTGCCTCGGTGACGGGACGAATAGGTTGTGCAGCGCTACTGCCGAGGTGGCATACAACCATGCGAGGCCAGAAAACTGTTCACAGGACGCGACTTCTACTTCTACTCTCGCTGACGATGCATGCACACCGTTGTTGTCGCTATCGAAACTTTTTGTTGTGATTCGCGCGAGCTGCGCCGAAGCGATTGAGAACGTGTTTGAAGCCGCAACCACAACAGCAGTAGCAGCACCGGATTCGAATAGTAGTGCCGCTTCCAATAAGCACAATCGCGTTGATGCTGACACAGAGGGGGGTGTTCGTCCGAAGTCGGCGCCGTCTACGTCGCCGAAAGAGACGGTAGTTGCCGCCGCCGCCGTTGCTTCTCCGCAAAATGACGAGGGGAGTGAGGCGGCGGCATCGCCGTTGAAGGCCCATGCAAGCCGGTTCTTGCAGGTTTTCGTGCTGTCCAGCGAATTGCACCATCGTCTCTCTGTGCAGGAGGCGTGCCGCGTGAACTCTCTGACCAGAGACCGAGGGAGTTGTAAACCGTCAAACGAAATGGACGAAGGAAAGCAGCGCACCCTGATGCACCTGTACGCGACGCTACTGGCGGCGGTCGAAGCTTTCCTGCCTTTTCACGAGTGCGGCAGCTGCACGGAGGTGGTTCAAATGATGAGCATCCTTACTTGTCGGATGCAGGAATTGGGCGTTCTTGACCGGGACGGAGCGCTGCCTTTGAAAAACAACAACCTGACTCCCAGCTCGACCTCGGGGGACGGGCGGGATGACGCTCGGAGAGAGGGAGGAGCTTCAACGCGGCTCGTTGAACCAGCAACAACCTTCACCGTATCCGTTCCTCTTCATGAGGAATCGGCGTTGATGCTCGACATAGGAGGCAGCGAGACTGCGAATGCCAACTCTGGCCGTTATCTCTTTCAGCGTTACTGCACCGCGTTGCAGGTTCTGATGCCGTACGTTGATGCGGAGGTACTCGCCATGTCCAAGCGCGATGTGCCGCGTGTGCTGGAACTAGTGTTGGTCGTCAGCGCCAAGCAGGCGGTGGAGCGTACGATGCGAGGAATGCTGATGACCAACGGGCAGATGTGCAGTGAACCGCCAACAGGGCAAAGGGATGCATCAATCGCTCCGAGTGCAAGCAACACGTGCACCAACGCAAGAGGTGAGAGATTGTTGAGGAAAGAAGACGATACGCTCATTCGTGCACTTGCGCAGGCGAGCAGCCCCTCTCCCCGTCTTATAGCGACCGCGTGCACCGCACCCTCTTCTTCTAAACCGACCCCGTCGTTTACTAGCAAACGCATCTGGTCCATGATTCCGTTGGAGGCTCTTCTCCACCGCGCAATTGCGGCGCCGTTTTTGGCGTACCGCCACAACGAACAATTTTGTGCACTGGCGACTCTTGCCCCGGAGTTGGCTGCGGCGCTGCTCCCCTGCGTCACTGTGTGGCAAGATCGCACCTTTGCGTTCCATATGGACACGCTCGAGTTGGGCTTTTTGTCCGCCGCGGCCTGCGCACTCGCACACCATCAGAGGAACCAGGAGGAGGTATACAGGCGCGATAGCGTGCCGCTCTTGGCCACCGCGCTAACGTCGAACGGAGGCGGCGCACCGCAAGATCTCACAAGCAGCAGGGATGACCGGATGACGCGCAGCGCATCTCATGACTCTAGTAGCCCTACGCGAGAAAGAGAACAGGCGCCTTCTTTCTCCACCCTGTCCTCTCCGACGCTCCGCATTGGCGAGGTGAGCATGACGGACATGCCAAGCTGTGGTGAACTTTTCGATGAGGAACAGAAGCGGCAACAATACCTGCCTATCTATCGTTCTGCCGGCTCGCTGTCCACTGTGCGTGGGATCCCACCGCAGCTGCGACGAGGGTGGGTTGCTCTCACGCGGCGTTTGTTGGAAACGGATACCGAAGGCACTGTCCGATTTCGCGGAGACGACGGTGGTGGTGGTAATGGTGGTGCTACCGGCAGTGTGTCAATATGGGTAGCGGCTTTGTACTGCGGCGGCGTTGTCGGTGCAGCGGAGACGCAGCTTTTTGAGCAGCTGTTGGCCTGCTTCGTCTTCAACCCCGTCTTTGCGAAAGCGAAGGATGGGTCACCAACGGTGGGTGATGTCGCTGCACGGCAAGGGGCAGGCGAACCGCGCATCGCCCAGCTCAGCGCCACGGGCTGGACTCTTCTGATTGCGGCATGCGCCACCGCATCGGACCATCATTATCGAAACGGCTACCGCGCCCTTTTGAAGGAAGAACTGATAGATTTTCTGAACCAGTTAAAGTTGCGTAATCGTAGGGACACTGCGGAGTGTCCTTCATCGTGTTTTGTCCAGCGTATCTCCTCATCACTGGGACCTGCACTCTGCGGCTTGTTTGAGGCACTCCCGAAGCTGTTCATTGAGAACGTTGAGTTTTGGGAAGGCGTGGTGAAGCGCGCTGTCACGCGGTGCTGTGACGATCTGAGCAGCGTCGGGTGTTCAAGCGAAGGGAGCAGGGCTGTCAATGCCAGTTCTTTACTAGTGAAAGAATGGACTGAGCAATGGAAGCGTAGCTTCAATTTCGCGGTAACAAGCGTCGGACACGCGTCGTTGGCGTTTCCAGATGTGTGGACCGATGAGGACGGTCGTGCAGCGGCAGAGGCGATGGTAGAGAGGATGGAGCAGAGCATACGGGAGCTGAAGCAGGCAGCGCCTGCCAGCGTTACGGTAGAGCGAAACACAGGAGACGTTAAGGCAACTCCACACATCCAGAAGTCGAAGTACGTGCCTCTCGAAACGCGTGTTTGAAACTCCTTCTTGCGTTCTTTTTTTGCTTGCTGTGGTTTTACCTCAGCCATTGGATTTCACATTTTGACGAGGTATGGCCGCGGGATGGACGTGTCGTGGTGTGATCACAGACAATTTACTTAAAAGGGATAACTGTTTCCTATGGAAGCGCCGAGGAACGGCCTTTGATTTTCGATTTTTTCACGATGGCTGCTTTTAAAACGCACTTGCACTTCTTTTCATTTCGTGCACTCGCAAGTTTTCTTTGAGAAAAAGAGAATCGTCTACGCGCAGATTTCGCGATTAAAAAAAAAATGAGAGGATCCAACGCAGCTCCACAGCGTGGAAGATGGGTTTCAGCGTTGCCCCCTTTTTTACCTTCTCTCTCACGCATCTGCGCTTTCTGCTTCCTTGGTCCCACCGTCCCTCCTTCCTTCTCCACCAGACACCACAGCTTTCACAGAACACGTTATTATTTTGCTTGCTTCTGCTGCTGGTTTCTCTTGATGCGCAAAGCGCTGCACACGAAAGGAACCATATCAACCATAAATTTCATTTCTCAGAGGTGTTTTACACCTGCACACGCGAATAGAAATATATATATATACTGAGAAAGAGAGACAATAGATCACGCGTACATTTCTTCTCCTACAACTAAGCCGGCAAGAAATTTCAATTGTAATCGACACAGAAGGCACACGACACATTTTTTTAACCCCCCCCCGCCCCTTCTCCTCTCTGGTCACCCAAACTATACGTCGCACATGACAACCTCCAAGTTTCTCGTGGTGGTGGAGGTGAACACAACGGCAAATCGATCGGAGTGGGCCGAGCTGAGCACTCTCGCACGATCGTACGTACGCGTGCAGGCGAGTCGACGCCTTGCGCACGGCCACCGCCCTCCTTTCTTGCCTGGAGCGTTCGTTTCCCTCACCGAAGCACCGTCCTTGCTCACTGAAACCATTTTCTCATTGCGCGTGTGTGACGTGTCTTTTCCGCTCGAGTGCACCTGGGCGGACGTGGACGACGTGGACTTTCGCATGCGGCTCTATCAACTGGTAGAGGGTGATGCAACGCGATCGAATGGAGAACAGAGTACGGCCGCAACAGCTGCAGCTGGTCCAGTGTGGAGTGCAACAGGTAAAACGTACGCTCTCTCGGGCGACCATGACGAAGAAGACACTCCCGCCTTTACTGTCACACCGCTGCCGCACGCTTCTCTCGAAGGCCAGTGGGAATCGCTGTACTACGGAGATAGCGAGGAGGCTTCCATCCTCTTCAAGCGGGACATCGTGAGTTACGTGGACACGGCCATGCGGTTTGCACGTGCGGGCGTCAACCCTCATTTAATCTCCTGGAATCGTCTTGTCCTTTTCTACGGCCCACCAGGCACAGGCAAGACATCTCTTTGCCGCGCTCTGGCCCAAAAGCTGGCGATCCGCTTCTCGCACAGCGGCTACCCCCGCGCCTGTCTGTTGGACATCAACGCACACAGTCTCTTCAGCCGCTGGTTCAGCGAGAGTGGGAAGCAGGTGCTGCAGTTATTTGAGCACATTCAATGCATTGCAGATGACTCTGACTGTCTTGTGTGCTGCGTAATGGATGAGGTGGAGAGCTTAGCGGCGGCGCGGGCATCTGCCATGAAAGGCAACGAGCCGTCCGACTCAATTCGAGTTGTCAACGCGTTGCTCACGCAGATCGATCGCCTGCAGCGCCGGGAGAACATCTTGGTGCTCTCCACGAGCAACCTGACGGACGCGATTGATGAGGCGCTGCTGGACAGGGCGGACAAGCGCGTTTACGTCGGACCACCAGGGCTGCACGCGAGAAGCGTACTTTTGCAAAGCAGTGTGCAGGAGCTGCTGGAGAAGGGGCTGGTAGCGGTCCCGGCCGCGGACGACGGTGGCGCGACTTCCACGAGGATAGGTGTCGACCTCGAATTAAAGAACTCGGTGAGCGAAGCTAACGGGATGGGCACAAAAATATCCGGTAGCAGCGCAGAGGACGGTAGAGGTGTTCACCTATCAGCGGCAGATGCTCACCCGGAAGAGAGTAGTGACTCAGAGATGCAGAACGAAGAAGCCTGCGGTGCCGTTTTATCCGCGAGCGCGGCGATGCCGTCGCACATGTGCGAGCGTGATGGCCAAACGGACGTCTACGCGTCCCTTATTGCCAATTCAGCGAGCTCTATCAACGAGGCTAAGCCGATTGCGTCATCGCGGCAACATATTCCGGACTGCCCTCGTCCGCGGTACACCGTCACGACACTGCTGCGCCATGTTGCAATGGCCAGCGAGGGGTTGAACGGTCGAACGCTGAAGAAACTGCCGTTCCTCGCCTATGGTAAGTGCGTCTGCTCAGGTGCTGGTCATGCCGAGCTCACGGCGAACTCGTCGGCGGTAGGTCTTGCCGCGTTCTTGGAAGCCTTATTTGAAGCCGCGCGTCAGGCGGCAGCTGAGGCGCCATCAAAGCAGATGACGAGCGAATGAGCGGCGCGGAACTAGCGAAGTTGGTTTTTGTTGCTGTCATGAAGCTGTCCCAGAAACAAGTGGTGCTTTTTTCCCAATACACACTGCTACCCGAAAAGAAAATGAATTACATTTGTTCTGCACCGTATATGGCTTTCTTGTTTGTTGACCTTCACAACTTGCACGTTGTGCGACACACCGTCCCTCTGTAAGAGAGGTGTCCCGGGCAATAGGAGCCATTTTTTAGTTATCGATGACATCAAGCATCCCTTTATTGTTGAAGGTCATTAATTACTTTGTTCTCTCGGTGAGTGGAGTCTCCTGAAGGTGGCAAACGTATATGTGCTGTCTCCATGCTTGGCACTACTCTGGCACACTTGTTCTCTCCTTGCGGTGTCTTTGCCTTCTTTCAGAACGTTGGCGCTCCGGTAAGACAATTGCGCTGCGAGACCGAACAGCCCTTTGATTCACGCCGGTGTGACACAGTTAGAGAGGGTGAAGCGGAAACTGGGCGTAAACGGTGCCGCTTGCCAAAAGAGAAGGGGAAAAAGAAAGCGAACACCACAATACGAACAACAAATTGGTTTCCGTTGCTCCATTCTTTATTTTGGTTACTTCACGCACACACACACACACACCTCAGTCTATTTACACGTCGCAATGAGCCACGTGGTGTTGATGGTGGCAGAGAAGCCGTCGCTGGCGGAGAGCATCGCGCAGATTCTCAGCAACGGCAGCTGTGCCCGCCGCACACGCGCGCTGCCAGTGTACGAGTACAACAGCGTCTTTATGGGTGCGCCTGCGTACTTCAAGGTGACCAGCGTCACCGGACACGTCTTCGCCTGCGACTTTACCTCGCAGCATCAAAACTGGGATCGCACGGACGAAGAGGAGCTTTTTTCGGCTCCCATTACGTGGAAGGATAATTCCGGCAAGGTCACGCACCATCTCGAGCACGAGGCGCAGGGCTGCGACACGCTGGTGCTATGGCTCGATTGTGACCGCGAGGGCGAGAACATCTGCTTTGAGGTGATGCAAGTCGTGCGCCGACAAATCTACAACCACAACTGCATCTTCCGCGCCCACTTCTCCGCCATCACGGCCGATGAAATCTTCCACGCCTTTCGCAACCTCGTCAAGCCGAACAAGAACATCAGCGACGCCGTGACGTGCCGCCAGGAACTCGACCTGAAGGTGGGGGTTGCCTTCACCCGCTTTCAGACCAAGTACTTCCAGGGCAAGTACGGTGACTTGGACGCCAGCGTGATCAGCTACGGCCCGTGTCAGACCCCCACGCTCGGTTTCTGCGTGCAGCGCCATGACGAGATTCTCAACTTTAAGCCGGAGAACTTCTGGCGTCTCGTGCCTGTCGCGTCGCGCAACGGTGTACTGCTCCAGTTTGATTGGGAGCGTGGTCGCGTCTTCGACGAGACGATGGGGCGACTTCTGTTGCAAAAGGTGGCGAAGCACGGCAAGGTCGCCACCGTGACAAACGTCGCCGTGGGCAGCGACACCCGTCCTCGCCCAACCGGCCTGAACACCGTCGACCTCATGAAGATCGCCAGCAGGGCCCTCGGGATTGGCCCGCACTACGTGATGAGCATTGCGGAAAACCTGTACATCCGCGGCTACATCTCGTACCCGCGGACCGAGTCGACCGCCTACCCGCCGTCGTTTAACCTGGCCGGTGCGCTGGCGTTGCAGAAGAATCACTCCATGTGGGGCGCCTACGTCTCCGCGCTCCTGCAAGACGGCCACGTGCGCCCCAAGGCGGGCAAGGACGCCGGCGATCATCCGCCCATCACCCCGATGCGCAGTGCCACCCCTGCCGAGCTCTCAGGGGATGAGTGGCGTATCTACGATTACATTACCCGCCACTTCATCGCCTCCGTCTCCCCGGACTGCAGACTCATCAAGACGAAGATTACGATTGAGTTGGGCGGCGAGGTTTTCAGCATCTCCGGGAAGGTCGTCGAGGACCCCGGCTTTACGGAGATTATGCCACATGCTCGCGTGGAGGACGACAAGGTGCCGACCGGGGTGAGCAGAGGGGACGCGTTCCAGCTGTCGGACGTGCGGCTGCAGGCGGGTCAAACGCAGCCGCCTTCCTACCTGACGGAGTCCGATCTGATTGGATTGATGGAGAAGAACAGCATTGGCACGGATGCCTCGATCTCCACCCACGTCAATAACATTGTCGAGCGGGGCTACTGCAGCGTGCAGCCGGGACGCATTATGAAACCGTCGAAACTCGGCATTGTGCTCGTGCACGGCATCAAGACAATCGACCCGGAGCTGGTGCTGCCGCTGGTGCGCAGCCGCGTGGAAGAGTACGTCACCCACATCGCCGAAGGACGCGCGCAGCTGCAGGACGTGCTGAGCTACTCGCTCGACCTCTTCTTCGCCAAGTTCAAGTTCTTCAAACAGCACATCGACACTTTTGATGCGCTCATGGGCGCGTCCTTCTCCGCCATCTCTGCGTCCGGCAAGCCCATCACCCGCTGCGGCAACTGCATGCGGTACCTCAAACACATCGACACCCGCCCGCAACGCCTCTACTGCCCTTATTGCGAGGTCACCTTCGCCCTCCCCCAGGGCGGCGCGATCAAGCAGTATTCCAACTTTAAATGCCCCATCGACAACTTCGAGCTCGTCATTTGCCACATTGAAGGCGGCAAGTCGTTCCCTATCTGCCCGAACTGCTACAACAACCCACCGTTTGAGGACCTGAACCCACGGAGGGGTGGCCAGTATGGCGGCAACAATGATGCGATAGCCACACGTCACATGGCGTGCGATGAGTGCCGCCACCCTACCTGCGAGCACTCTCTCGCCACCAACTACGTCTGTGACTGCATTGACCCCTTCTGCAAGGGCAGCATGGCGTTTGTGCCTCGCACGGCTGGTAAATGGAAAGTCTGCTGCAACAAATGCCCGATGATGATCCTGCTACCCCCGACGGCGCAGCGCGTCTACGTGAGCTCGGAGGAGTGCCCGGATTGCGGTGCGAACTGCTTGGATATTATGTTCCCAGAGGGCAAGAGCGTGCTGCCCAACAGGAAGGATCGCGTCGTGGGGTGCATCTTCTGCAATCCAGGACTTAGCGCGCTGTGCGAGGAGGTGCGTGGTCGGCTGGGCAACTTCCGGCGTCCCGGCGCCATGGCCGGCGGCCGTGGTGGCCGTGGTGGCGGTCGCGGGCGGGGACGTGGACGGGGCCGTGGCAACCGCGACGATCGATGGTAAGTCGCACGCACGCACATGTAAAACAACAACAAAAGAAAAGCGGTGCAACGGAGCGTTTTGGGTTTCACGCGATCGCTCCCCTCTTTGGCCGTGTGCGGCGGCTCACACACTATCTTCTTTGTTGTTTTCGTAGTTCATCTATTTTCATTTCGGATCTTATCTCTTAAGCTCTTACGTGGTGTTTTGCAGTTCACTGCAACGTCGACAAGTACATCCTTTAATCAAGTGCCCGATGAAAAGCTTTTTTCTTCCTGAGTTGTATCGATATCCGACACAACGTTGAATGTCGTGAAGCGCAAAGGATGACGTCTACCTAAATGAGGTGTGCTTGAGCGCGGAGGCTTAAGGGGTTGCGGTGAGCGTACCTTTGAGCTGTGGAAGTTGTACGACGAGAGGCAGAGAGGCAGCGGCTGTTGGCCATTTGTACTGCCGCTTTTTTTTTCGATTTTTCTTGCCGTTTCATCCGCTTCACCGTTTCTTTTGATTTCACCCCATGACGCTTTTTCTACCGCGCTGAAGAAACTCAAGGCCGAGTTTTTACCTCTCAACGTCAATCGTGCATTCTCACACCACACAGTGAAATAAACTGCTTTTGCTGTTCGTGCTTGTGCGTTCAGCGAAGCATTTGCCCGCCTGTGTGATCTTCACTACTTGGTTTATATATATATATATATATACATTTAAAGATTCACGCTTGCAAAGCAAAGCGCCACGTTCTCAACGGATCGGCCCTTCTTTCTTTAGACGTGTGACACTTCCCACAGCTTCAGAGGGATAGAAGCTGCTGTACGATGCCGGTCGGATTTCATCATCATCATGGAGCAGAGCCGAAGGGAAGCGGGAACACATCGATGGCGAACCGATACACCAACGATGGTAATCCGATCGGCTACGGCGACACGGCACGCCCCGCAAGAGCTGGCGCCACTGAAGCCTTCCCCTCTCGCTCGTCCGGCGTGTCCACCGAGCAGCTTCAGCGCTTTGACGTGCTCCTCGCGCGACCGGAGAACAAGGAGTGCTTTGACTGCGGCGCGAAGCAGCCTCGATGGGCCAGCACAAACCTGGGCATTTTCTTCTGCCTCCGCTGCGCCGGCATCCACCGCTCGATGGGGACACACATTTCCAAGGTGAAGTCGACGAACATGGATGCCTGGGGGGAGTCGATGATTCAAGTCATGGAGCACATCGGCAACTCCCGGGCGAGACTGTTGTACGAGTATAACATGCCAGCGAATGCCCGCGTGACGAGCTCCACGGAGGTCTCCGTGTTGGAGCGGGCCCTGCGTTCCAAGTACGATAAGAAGATCTACTACCACCCGCGCTTTGAAGAACTCTACGCCCAGTTCATGGCGACTCCGATTGAAGGAGTGGGCAGCTCGGCCGCCGGTGCTCAGCCACCAAACAGCAACAGCAGCGGCACGTCGCCGTCGTTGCCACAGACGAGCGGCCCTCCTCGCCGCGCCACACACACACAACCCGCTGCGAAGCCGCCGTTAGATGAGTTGTGGGGTGCGCCGGTCTCGTCGCCCACCGCTGAAAAAGAAAGTTCGGCGAACGCGGCCGGCAGTGCGAACAACACGAACATCACCGTGGCAGAGCTCTTTTCCGGCTCGTGCCCGGCCGGTGTCGGGGTGGGGCCGCGCTCGAACTCGGCGTGGGGCACCAGTCCCAACCCCCACCACCACAACCACAACCGAAACAATAGCAGCGGCCGCGCCGGCAACGATGCGGTCTCGCCACATCCGTCGCCGAGTAGTGCGACGAACTCGGACTGGTTCGATTCCAACTTCGGCGGCTCCAACGGCAACCCGCACGCCAGCGGCGCCCCCTCGCCGGCCACCCCGCAGTCGCCGCTCAACGTCGTGGCGTCGCGCAACAACACGGACGATCTCTTTCAGGGCTCCGGCGACACCCCACTGAGTGGCCGCAACGCGGGGTCGAAGGAGGAGATTCTCTCCTTGTTTGCCTCTGCGCCGGTGGCGGGGGCTGGGGGGCAGTCGGGCAGCAGTAATGGGAGCCCCAACGGTGGCCATCCGATGGCGTGGCAGCCGCAGACGGTAAAACCGTACTACTCTCCAGAGCAGTGAGTGACCAAGAAAAGAGAAATATAGTGAAAAGTCAAGGGCGAAACTTTTAAACAATTGCATCTCGCGCATGGAGGCTGCTCTCTCTCTCTCCACTTTTCTGTCTCCTTCGTTACCTTTGTCTGTAGAGTTATGTATTGTTCCTGTGCGTTGGTGCGCAATAGCGATGCGGGATGAGAGGAAACACCTTTTTCCCTTCCTCGTTGACGGTTGCTTTGCTGCCTGTGTCTATGTTGATCATTGTGGTCTTTTTTTGTTGTTTTCGCATTTCATCCCTCTTTTTTTTTCCCCCTTTAGCGTCACGTGCGTGCATCGTTGATAGTGTTCTGCTTCTCTGTTTCGAGAGGTGGATGTTTTGATGGAAGTTTTCCGTTTTTGTGTGGTGGCGGCGTTTGCGCGCCCCAGTCCTGCCAGGGGACAAGCGGCCCCCCCCCCCCCCTCCACGCATTTGGCATTGTTGTCGTCGTTTTGTTTCTCTCTCGTTTGCTGCCACGCTTGGTGCTCCAGATGTAACTACGTGCTACTTTATGCTTCGTTCTAGCTCTCTTTCTTCTTCATATCTTGCTCTCGTGGTTTTGTTTGTCGTCTGTTGTTTGTTGCGGCTTTCCTTGCACGCGTGACCGTCTTGATGCGATGGCGTCACCGTATGAAGACATAGTGGTTTTTACCGCTTACATGAATACACCACGAAAAGTTTTGGATCGTTCCAAAGGGACTATTCGACAACGATGGAAGTTTACGCTGTCATTACGTCTGATCTCGTTTCTTTAACAAGATACGTGTACAGCGCTGTTTCAGCACGTCCCCTCTCTCTCTATCATTCTTATGAGCCCAGCAAGCAGTGGTACCTGCGCAGCTTCCAACAAGGTGGCGCTGTTCAACAAGAACAGTTAACGATGGTCTTCTTATGAGCTCGTTGAAGGCCAATGCTAAACGCTCTCTCTGTTTCTTTTTGCATGAACTTCTCCCTTCTCGTGATACGAACACTTCTTCACTCGAATCTTTCCTTTGGTTGCGCGTTACAACAACAGGGGCGCAGTTTGGTCGAGATAGACAGCCCTTTTTCCCTTTTGGCCGCTCGCTCTTCTTTTTTTGAGGGGCTTCGTTTTGGCGCTGTCACGCTGGCCTGACTGATCGCTGCCGCTATCGCTTTAGAGCGGCCTGCTTGATCGATAACGCTTTGCATGACATTGCCTCTCTTTCTTCATTCTACAATAAAACCACCCCAAAAAGCGTCAGGAATTTTTTTCAATAACTTTCCTGGCAAGTGCTGTCAATCGGAGCTCTGGTAATAGCGGGAGAGGATGGGCAATCAACTTGCGGTCACCTCGACGGTGGATCTCGCGAACGTCTCCTCTGAGCTGGAGCTTATTGCTCCTCTTGGCGCGGAGGGCCGAAACTACTTCGCCACCTTCCACTGCCTGTGCTACACTCCTCTCTCTCCAACTCCGCTGACAGGCGGCGCCACTGCCCCAAACTCCTCTGTCCTTTTGCCACATCCACCGCCGTTGTCCAGCGGCAATGCACCCGGCTACACCACGGACTTTCTTTCGGCCGATGGATCGAGTAGGCGGCCCGAGTATCGTCCCAACAGCCTCTACTACCCATCTGCTGGATCTGTTGGCTCCCCGCTTTCGGTGACTCCTCCAACAAGAGACACTGCACGCGGTGGCGGCGGAGAGGGTCTTCCTTACGCACCCGCTGCCACCTTCATGGCAGGGTCTTGGGCTGCCACTGCTGCAGCGCCCACGACCCGCATCGCATCGGTTGAACGCGCGGCATGGCATCAGGCACGTTGGCGGCAACGTCTGCCCGTCGCAGCTCGCCCGTGGCGTGTTGCGCCGTCTCATTTCGTCAGCGAGGCAGCCCAAGATCGCTGCCCTCCCGGAGAGGTGATGGACCGCTGGTGTCGGGACAGCACAGTGACGTCGCACGCTTTCTCCCGCAGCAGCGCGCGCCGCTTCGATGCCCACTCTGACGATGCCATCGCAGCTTCCCCAACTGCGCCGCAGCCGTCGCCGTCTCCCTTTTCCCCCTCCCCGTCTTCTATCACGAGAGGCAATACTGCGTCTTCCACGGACATCGATGCCACGGTCGCGGGCGTGGTGGGGGAGTGGCGTGGCAATTACGGCAACTACGTGCAGCTGCTCCTGCGTGGCGGCAGCAGTGCCACACACAACACGGTCACCTCGCCGGCCTTGTGTGACGGTCAACTTCTCCAAGTGACGGAACCGGTGCGAAGCGGTGCGGCGGGCACCGGTGTGGGCCACGGAGCTCGACGCGCTTTCACAGCCGCCATGACGACGACGATGCCGTCTGCTCTCAGCGCTGTCATGAGCAACAATCCGAGCAGCAGCACGACCCTGCAGGCGCAGCCGCAATCCTACATAATGCAGGACGTGGTGACAAAGGTCTTTGTGCGGACGCCGGACGACCCTGGGCAGACGTACTTCTTGAACCGTGTGCGGCAGATGATGGCCAACGCACGGGAGCAGCTCTCCGTCGTCGACTCCACCCTTCCCCCCACCACGCCGCGAAACTGTCTGTGGTACACGCTCGTCGACGAAGGTGATGGGTTTTGCGTGCTGCAGCGGCCGTACGTCGCCTTCACGGTGCGCGAGCGCCTCGCAGCGCGGCCTGCGTGGACGGCGCAGGAGAAACTCTTTGTCGCATTTCAGATCTTGCGGGCCGTTGCACACCTGCACGAGACGTACGGCCTCACGCACGGGGATATCAAGCCGAACAACGTGCTGGTGCAGAGCACGGGTGTGGTGGTGCTGTGTGACATGGCGCCGTTCAAACCGTGGCGACTTCCCCTAGACAGCCCCTTGCTATTCGATTACTACTACGACACCGACGAGAGCCATGCCTGCTACGTCGCGCCGGAGAAGTTCAGCGACCAACCTCTGCCAACCCCACCGCTGGAAAGCAAGACGCCAGGCAACGCGACGTACAACGTGCGAAATGTGAACTTCGACGGACATACCGCAGCCATGGACGTCTTCTCCACCGCCTGTGTGCTGTTGTTCTTGTACAGAGAGGAGGACCCGTTCACTCTGTCGGAGGTACTCAATCTGCATCATCTTTCTTCCGTGGAGCAGCGGGAGAAGACCATTCTGCCGCTGCTGCGAGAGTCTGGTGTGCCACCCGCGTTGCAGCCGCTTCTGCGATCGATGCTGTGCTCCTCCAGTGCGGATCGACCCTCTGCTCGCGAGCTGTTAGCGAGAGGGCTGGAGGAGCACGTCTTTCCAGCCTCCTTTGCCTACTTGTACGAGGAGGCGTGGCCGCGTCTGCTCATGCAGTCGCCGGATCTTCGCCTGCGGCTCTTTCAGAATCAACTGGAAGGCATTCTGCAGCACTGTGCCAAATTGGACGCCGAGCTACCGGAAGGCGAAGGGCGACGCCCCAAAACTACTAGATCTGCGTCCTCAGCGATGCGGAGCGGCGTTGAAGATGATGCCGCTCGCAACCCGCGCGCAACGGCTGTTCGCGTGCTGCTTCCGCTGCTCCTTCAGTCCATCCACTCCACCAGAACCAGCGACGAGGCAACGTTCCGTGGACTGCTGTGTCTGCGGCAGTGCGTGGCGTATTGCTCGTTTAACACGGTGACTGATTTTGTCCTGCCCCATCTTGTCTACGTGGTGAACAACGATGCGCATGTGTATGGATCGGCTACTCGGTTGGTAGCCATTCGACTCTTGTGTAGTATCGCAGAAACCGTTGCTCGACGACTCACAGCCGCGCAGTCCTCTCTGCATGAGGCGGGAGGTGCAGCAGAAGCCTTCAATTGTCCGACGGAAGCTCTGGACGCTAGCCACCCGCCTGATGAGGAGCAGTGGGCCCTTATGGAACACCTGGTGCTCCCATGCCTTTACGATGTCCTTCGCCAATGCGAACAGGAGTCAGTGGCGGTGCTGGTGGAAATCGCCGTCCAGCTTCCACGCTTGCTTCTGTTGACCCGTTTCTTGACGGAGCGGCGACAAGTTTTATACGACGCGGAGGACAACTCGACAGCCGCGCAAAACGCAAGTGCCAGCACGACTCCAGTCGCGAACTGCGCCCACGACCCCGCAAATCATGCACAACAAAAGGATTCGAAGTCAGCGGACACCGACGAGGCGCGACGTGACGTGTTGCAGCCAGCAGTAGGCAATGCGAAGTCAAGCGAAATACCTCCAGCAGACGAGTTGGAAGCTGCTGCTGCACCGGCTCCTACACCTCAGCAGCGCAGCGGCGCTACTCTTGTGGAAGTCGACGGTGGTGAGGCAAACGTCGAAGTACACGGCGAAGCGACCCACCTCACGGAAGACAAGGATTTGGTGGTGGACAGCAACGCGCAGGCGTCCAGCGGGACGGGACCGAGTGACGGAGCAGCGGCGCGGCGCGGTGAACGAAGGCAAAGTGTGTCAGGGAGCAGTGCGGAAGGAGCGGGGCAATACCTTTCTCAACTACGCTGCCTCCTCACGAACGGCTGGAACATGCTGCACGTGCTGTACAACCACTCCTGCGTGGCAGTGGCGGCGGCCGTGACGCAGCAAACGTCGTCCACGGTGGCTGCCTTCCTCGGTGATGAGCGCGTTTCAGAAGATCTGGTTCCGCTGCTTACCACAGCCCTCACCGCACCCTTGCGCGTGTTGCGCTTACTCTTTCCGCAGGCCATCTTGCTGCACGCGCTGCTGCAAAAACCGCAAGCAAAGACGCTGCGTTTGTTTGTCGAAGAGGGACTTCGTCACGATGACGATGTGTGCGTCAAGTCCACTCTGGACAGTTTGGCTGTGGTAGTACGCAGCAAGAAACTGCCGCTGGGGGAGTCGATGGCGCTCGTGCACCAAACCCTTCCGTTTCTAATGGATGGCCGCCTGTGGTTGCGCGAGGCGGCGTGCGGCGTTGTGGAGGCGGCAGCGCAGAGTTATCCGCCAAGCGCCGTCGCCCTGCATCTGGCGTTCGCGGTGCGACCGCTGCTGACACATCCGGTACCGCTGTCGCAGCTGCGCCGCTTTGCCGCGTCCATCATTCGTTCTGAACTCGCGGTACCGGGCAGTGGGAAGGGTCACCACTCCGCGTCCGTGCGCCGATATGGAAACTTTTTCAACGGCGTTCGTGAAGGCGGAGACGAAGCAGGAGATTTCACGGCGGATACAGAATGGTCGTTCATGACTGATAAGCACGTCGATGCCTGCACCTCCAACTCATTTATAGGAGGTGCTTCAGACGGTAGCAGAGGTGATGCCAACGCTCCGGGTTCGTTTGTGGACTACCGCGACGCCTTGCCTTCCGTGCTGTCGGCCACAACGAGTACCGCACCTTCTTCCGCTCCTGCACTTCTCCACACACTACCACAACCGCCAGTCACCGCAGTCACTGCAATAACACCGGCGAGTGACCCTGCACTATCCGGTGAATGTGTGAGCTCAGAAGACAGTTCAACACTCACCTACACGCTCTCTGCTCGGGAGGCAGCGCGCCTATCAAAGGAGGGGGGTAGAACTGCCGCGTCAACCTCCACGATGCACGGGCAGTCATCTTCTCTAGCCATCTCTACCTCCGCCAGTACGCGTCAGATAACCGCCTCCACGACCCTTGTTCTGCCGCAGAGCCGCGCCAACTCCGCCGCAGCGCCGCACGTAGTCGATCTCAGTCCGTTTCCGAGGACCTTAGCAGCATCGCATTCCTCCCTCTGCCGCTCGGACGTACCGGTACTCACAAGTAAAGGTAGTAGGGATGCGGCCTACTCCTCAGCGCCTTCTGCCTTCGCGTTAACGACAGCAACGGCGGCCTCCCCACGCTTCTCCTCGGCGTCCAGCGCTACGCTGCTCGTGCCTGCTTCGACATCTACCGCTGCGGCCAACACGAAGACGATGCGGTACTCGGCTCTCCGTCCCATCGCGGCACCCATCAGCGCCGTCAGCCTCCACACGGGCGCTATCTACACCGCCGCTGCCGCTCCCTCTGCGAACGGTGTCTTGGTCACAGCTGGCTCGCGTGGGGAGGCGATGGTTTGGTGCGTTGGTGCTGCCCTCACAAACGGCACGCACACACGTGATTTGACCCTCGTGGAGAGGGTGCCAGTACCGACCTCGGCTGCCGCTGCCGCCGGCGCCCCAGTGTCGCATGACTTTTCGTACGTGGCGAGTCAGTGGATGGATGTGGCACCGCTGCGTTGCGACAGTGGCGGCGCTTCTACTGCTGCTGCTGCTGCTGCTGCTGCTGCTGTACCCGCCACAACGAACACCGTCGCTCTTGCCAGTACGGATGGCCAAGTGCGCATCTTGGATGTGGAGCGCAATTCATGGTTGTGGTCGACCGCGGTGGGAGATGGCCGGGAAGGTGCACCGACCGGGCTTGCTCTGCAGGACCAGTGCTCGCTGCTGGTGACGACGGCGGCTGGTGGATTGCACGTCGTGGACACGCGATGCCGCGGCAGTAGCGCCGGTTGCACATCGACGACGGTCTCTGCGAACTTCCCGTCAACGAATGCTGATGTTATTGGTGGGTGTCACACGGCTTCGGCCTCTGCGTGGAGTGCGCGTCTTCAACCGCTGGATGGTGCACCGAGTTGCGTCCTTCCGCTGTACATGGGCGACAGAGCAGGCGCTATCGTGGCGGGCACCTACGGCGGTGTCGTCTGCCTCTTCGATCTCCGCTACCAGCTGTGTGCCCAGCGCACCGTGATGCGGTCATCGGATGCCTCACCGCTCTCGTCGTCCGCGCTGTCGATCACGTGCGCCTGCGTGGATCCACTGTCGTCGCTGTGCCGGGACTGTCGGCCCTCTTCGTGGGAGCCGGCGGTGCCGGGTCCGAGCGTGCTCCTGGCCACCACCGGCGGGACGGTGTACCGCCTTCTCTTGCAGTCCAATTGTCTTGGTGCGTACTGGCCGGCATTTCAGTGTGACCGCGACAGCGCAGGTGGCATCCGCTGCACGCTCTGCCAGCCTTCCACAGGCACCGTGTTCACCGGCACCGAGGATGGCTACGTACGGCACTGGTCCACCGACCACCCAACGACGTCGCACACGATGACGTGCGTTCCCTACACGTCGCCGCGGTACACGGTGTCACTCAACTCGCCGGCTGCTGCTACCGCAGATCCCGGCGGCGGTGTCGGCGCGAGCACAATAAGTATGAAGTACGGTGCAAAACACCTGGCCAGGCTGACGGTGCGTGAAAGCCCTCGCGAAGCGCGACATGCGCTGCCGCACCACTCGTCGGATGCCATCTTGACGCTGTGTGCCGTCCAAACATCCGCGTCTCCTTCCGCGTCGTGGTCAGATGCGATGGTGGGACACTCCTATTTGTTGTCAGGCGCACGCGACGGATCGCTTATCCTCTGGAACAACGCGGAGTAGCGCGGTCTGTTCCATTATAGGCTTCGCTTTTTGGTACGGCGCCGTACACGTGGTGGCGTCGTTTGTTGGACTACCAGATCTCGCGAAAAGAAACCCTATTCAATTACAATGGGAAAGAAAGGTCTTTTCATACACACACACCCGCACACACACGCTGACACATAAGTGAACAACAGCACTATGTTTCAAGTGATTGCGTTCGCGCAGGTTTTTATTTTTTAATGGGTTTTCCTGCCTGGAAAAAAGTGATGGTCGGTGCTGCTTCCTTTTCTTTTGAAGTAAGAAGCACATAAATGGCTGAAGATCGACTACGTGAAGAAGGTGGTGCGCTCTCCCATCTCGTTCTTTTTCTTTCTGCATTCACTCGCTCTCCCTCCCCTCGCCCCACACTTCCCGCCACGTTCTCCAACATATGCACTAGTTGACTTTCATCCTGTTCTCTCATTCTAAGCGTTATTACGCCAAGACATCCTTTTACGGTGCTTCCTCTACTTCTCTTCCTTTTCCACCAACTTTGAAGGAGAGTGCCAAGCTAATTGTACCTGTTCGCGGCTTGAATACGAATATTTCGCTCTTCTTCGAAGGCAATATTCTGCGTTTCCTTTCCTTCCATTGCTGTCTCTATTATTTTTCTTTTAAATATACATATATACGTACTGTTTGTTTTTTCCCGACCCTTAAGCGGCAGTGAGAGTGAACGCATTCGTCACTCTTTCTTCGTCTTCAGCGGCATTTTCATTAAAGCTGCTGAAGCAATAAGGGAACGAGAAAAAACTTCCCTTTTCTGTTCAACAACGGTTTCTTATCTTTTTAAAGTTCCCCTTCGCAAACATCCATATCGATATCTTTTCCTCCACGTAGAACTCATTTTCTGCTTTGTAGTTGAATTCACGCGGAGCACACAAATACAACGGTCACAACCCTTTGCATTTCGGCTCTCTATTTCTTCTGCTTTTCTCACAGACCGTTTGCTGTGTTGAACGGCACATACGTATTCAGAAATCGTGCGAACGAGGGAGCCATGGGCGCCTCGGTTTGCATTAATAGGACGCGACCAGACGCAGACAAGAGTGACGTGGCGCACGCGAAGTGCTCTCGTAAGGGAGAGAAAGACAGAAAAACTGCCGTTCTGAACGTTTCACCTCTTTCTCAAAGCTCGCTTCTTTACGATTGCCAACCGGGTGAACTGGGGCGCCGAATGTGCCCATTGTGCGCTCGCAGTATGCATCGAAAGAACGCCTGTCGTGACCTGAAGGCGCTGCGGAACAGCACCAGCATCCTCATCCGAAGAAACCCCGCTCCCACGACCCACGATCCTGTGTTGGACAACCTAGATTACGGCTTTGCATTTGGCGATGACCTTGTTGCAGAGGCGAACGTGTCTTCGTCGTCGTCGTCGTCTGTCGTGTCCCTCATCCGATCCAAAACGATGAAACGAACCGGGTTGGGGAGTCTTGCGGAGTTCGTGGCGGCGCGGCCGGACGCAGCGGCGGGCGGCAATCGCGGAAGTACACCACACAGCGCCGCGTGTTCGGCTCACAACAGAAAGGCAGGAACGACGCAGGGGGCGGGGACACGACAACGGGATCACCCCGGCAAACCCAAGCGTGCCCGTGAGCGCCACCAAAACAAGCTTTAAAGGAGGTAAGACTGGAGCGAAGGAGAAGCTGCTGTACTCAGCTGCGAAAAGGGTCTGGCGAGTGCGGCCCACGTCGTGGGAAGGCATCCCCACGTACTCTCCTGTGCGAGACCTCTCCTGCTCGCGTATATATGCGTGTGTGTGCACGGAAGTACCAAAAGAAGACTTTTGGCGAACTCCATTGCGCAACGCAGTCGTTCCCTCCTGTGTGTGTGTTGTTCAACAGAAAATAAAAGATAAGAAGGGCTTCAGAGTTAATGGCGAACATCGTCATCAGATTGTATGCGTTTCTTTTATTTAAATAGGAATGACTTTCCTCTTTTCCTCATAGCGCTAGGCGGCTTCATATATATATGCTTGAGTGGTTTTGTATTTGATACCTCAGAATTTCACAATAAAACGTGTTTTTTTTTTCAGGGGACTCTGTGCAATGATTATTTGCACTGCATCAGTTTTGTACCGTTTGAGGTGGATCGTAGGCCAGGTAATAACAAAAGAGCATAAATGCGGTGGCTTTCACATTTATGTTTCGATGTTGCATTCATGTGTTTGTTTATTTCTTGGCATTTTCCGACCGTTATCAACGTTTTCTGAACGACTTCTTCTGTTTTCATTGTTGTTTGTGTAGTGTTCTGCTTCCTTTTTGCGTGAGCTCACACTTCTTGATTGTTGTCTGGAGTGACGGGGGCTTAACGTTGGATTTTAGTGCACAGTAGCGCTCAAGTTTGCTCGTACGAGGCGCACGGAAGAGAAGAAGCTTGAATGTGAACAGGGAAGCCGCGCCCGTTATATATACAGAGGTAGCTCTGTTTAAAATTATTTCCCTGTGACGCCATCAAGTGCAAAATAGAAGCAGAGTTTTTCCTTGTTGTTTCACAGTACTTCTCCATTTTCATTTGAATTTGATCGAATAACTTTTCCCAACACCTTCACCAGCTTTTTTGGTCTTGTCTTCTTTTCTGGATTTGTTGTCCGTTCCATTGCAGATTGAGTTCATCTCGAATTTTTTCTCTCATCGTATTTTGTTGTTGTTGCTGCTTGTGTGTCAGTGTTTTGTATCCTGGATTTCTTTTTTCTTTTGTAACCTTTATTCCTTTTCATTTCTCCCTAATCTGACTGCGCAGCTTAATGGTTATCCTGCCTCTAGTATCTATTTTTTGTTTCCGGTGTTTGTTACAGTGGAATGATGATCTTCAAAGGCTTTCTTTCATGGAAGCTGGGTGTGTTTTTGGCAGTGCAACTGGATGTGCTTCTGTCGCTCTTCCTTCCTGTCTCTTGAACCTTTGCTACGTCTTTTCATGCCTGCTCTTCTTTTCATATTATTCAATGAGGCGGATATTTGTTATTTTTTGTTTGTTTTCTTCGGTTGGTTGAATCGGCATGCGCAGGCACGGAAACAATGCTACTCCCCAGAATGACTCCCTCTTTCTCCCTCGATTCCCTCATACAATCCATAAAGGTTTTGACTCATTCTTCTTCTCTATTTCCTTCTCGTTGCTTGTTTGTTTGTTTGCTGATGTTATGATCTAATGAGGGGCCGTTCCTAACTTTTGTTTCTCTTGCTTGAAGCATTTTTTTTTTACTGTTCCTGCGTCAGCTCTACTTTATTCTTCCCTTCTCTTTTCTCTTTTTTCTCTTTTCTTTTCGTTTGTTATAAGTGGCAAACACCCCATGATTCTTGGGTGCTTTCTTATCCTCAAAAATACGCTAGTGGATGTGTCTGGTTCTCCTCCTCCTCCTCTACGATCTTTTCGATGGAAACGAATACGTTCAATCTACGTAACAAACGGAAAGGTTTTCTATCAGAATGTATGTCTTCGCTAATATATATACTTTTCTTCCTACTCGCACAAAACTGTCTCTTGTGTGAGCATTTTATTGTTGTGAAGAATACACATTGTAACCCATTTCGTTATTACTCCTCACTTTCTTTTTCTTTTCAGTTGGCCGTAGGGCCTCTCAGAATTTGCTCCCTTCACGCGCTTCAGAGAGGTGCTATAGGACACACGCATTGGTGCGTGAACGGAGTGTGTGTATTTCCAGCTGATCATGGCGCCGTAGCATTCAGTCCTTTTTTGTGCGTGTGCACAGAGCCATTTGATATTGTTGCCACATCGTTTCTTTCGTTTCTGAGGCATGCTATTCTCTCCTCTTCTCGGAAGCACGTGAGACGGCTCAAACTGCACGTAGAACCGATTCCACCGCCGTTGATCTGGAGTAGCCCACGGGACAGTGTCTGTCCCCCTCTTTCTGTGCACGCAACTCGCCCTTCGCCGCCGGACGCAACAATCAAAAAAGAAAAAGGAGTTTTACGGGCTTGGTTTTTGTATTAGGACGTCTCTCTTCTCCTGGTGACGAGCGGAGACGGTGTCACCTTCAGAAATTGAACCAAATCAAATGTGTGTATTGTGCGTGCCGTGTTCTTTTTCTTTTCACCTTTACTTCTCTCCCCCTCCCCTGAGGGGAACAACAAAGGCAACGCGGAGAGTGACGTTCGGTCGTTTTTGCTTGTGTGCCGAAGAGAGCAAGTAAACCCGACGTGCCCTGTTTCGAACTCATGCGCCCGAAGACATCAAAAACCCTCGCTCAATCTGCCGGACGCCAGAGCTGGATTTCCCGAAATGAAGGAGTGTGAAGCGATTGGACCTGGATGCAAACGGTGTTTGTCTTCATTGAGCTTTTACAGGTTGTAATGGTGCTCTTTTCTTTTTTTCCCTTCTTTGCTAATCCTCAGTGCCCTTGCTATCCTCCTTCTTTTGCCCATTATTATTATTTGTTGTTACTATTGCTGTTGACACATGTGTGGATATGTGCGGAAGCGAAGACATTTTCGACCGAACACGGTGCCTGCCTTTCTGCGCGTATCGAACTACGCTGGGCCGCTTCGTTTTTGTTTTTTTCGGGGAGACGGAAGCGATTGTTATCCTCTGTGCCGCCACGAAGCCCTCAAGAGAAACAGATAAAGTACCAACCCCCATACCAAAACACCAATTCATAGAGCAATACGCAATCTTCGTTCCATAGAACGCACGGCACATCCATAGCATAAAGTACGAACAAAGCATCTTTCTTAGTCCCCCTTTTCTGGAAGACGAAAAAGAGCGTTTCTGTTTTTGCACTGGTTTTCACTGAAGACTATCATCATCGAGGAAACGACCCACACTGACAGTGGGCACTCTAGCGACAATAGCAACTGCTGCGGCAGTTTGAGCAGTCCTGATCTACTGCGCATGATGGCCGCGTCGCCAGCCTTTCTGCAGCTGGCAAGCAGCGCCATTGAAAACGAAATTCGCACCTATTTTCCCGACACCGCGTTGTACCGGCGTCTGTGCTGGGGCGGCCTCGACGGGGGTCGCGAGTATTTACACCGTGAGTTTTCGCCGGACCCACGAACAGCTCGTAGATGGGAAGCGAAAGTAAAAGATTCCTTTTGCGGAGAAGGCGACACGAAGACAGCGTCGCTTGGGCAATGCGCACGCACATCAACGTCCCCACCGAGAGCTTGCCCGCCGCTAAAGCGGAGACGCACCAACATCGTGGAGGAGCTCCAAAAAGGTCTCCGATCGATGGACAACACTGACCCAAGTGACGGCCGCCTGCCAGGTGCACTGCTGTCGAAGAAGCAGTCCGACGTCTCGCAAGTATACCCACAATCTTCTTCCGCGCAAGCTGATTCTGCAGTGAACTCCGCCGTCACATCTGCTCCTTTCGCGGTGACGTGCCAGCGCTGCACCTCACGTGTCACTTCCACCTATCCATGTCATGTAATGAAAGGCTACGTGGTACTGTGGGCAGAATCCGTTGTGGAGGTGAGCTGCGTGCCGAAGCAGCATCGTTTTTTTGACTCCGAAGCGGGTCCAATGCAGCCGTTATCGGCATCAGAAACGGCAGCAACAGCTGTCACGGGGGAAAGCGGAAAGTACGTCATAAAATGGGGAAAGCCCGCGGGCAGCGCAGTGAGTTCTCTCCTTTTTCTTGGTTTGCGCCCTCTTCTGCGTCGGCGCACATACACTGTCGCATCAGCTCCACGCTGTGTGAGTGCCTTCGCCGCTGAAGTTGAAAGAGAGGACGTGAACAGGTGTAAAGTGGAGAAGCGGGGAAGAACTGCTACTGCCGAGACATCGAAGCTGCCGTCGTACACCACGGGACACTTCACGCTTCACTCCCTGCACATTGCCAACGACGACGCCGTCACACACGTGCGTCCGGCCTCGTTTGCTCTCCAGTCTGTCTTGCAGCCCGGCCTGCCAACGGCGCTGGAGTGCTACCCGCGCCACATGATTCATTTCGGCCTGTTGTGCTTCGCGGCGTGGCGCGCAACACCCGATATGTGGCGTACTTTGATGGAGGGCCGAAACGAAGGTGAGGAAAGCACGGCGACAGACCCCAACGGTCGAACAGATAAGAGAATCGGGAAGCCGTTTTTTTGGGAGAGTTTAGTGCCGCACTCCGCAGACGACGCCGTTCTCATTCTTGGGCTTGGTGGCAATGTGCTGGGCGCGTGCCTGGACGCGGTGCTGCCGTCTGTCGTGCCGTTGCACACCGTAGAAGTGGAACCCGCCGTTCTGCAGGCGTGCGAGGAGCACCACCAGTTTCCCCCGTGCGGTGCCTCTTCCAGCCCAGTGAACGGTGGCAAAAGGTCGACAACTGGCTTAAAAGGTACCGGTTCGAAGGGAGCAGCAACAGCAACCTCGGAAAGGATGCGACCACAGCGTGTTCTTATGACGTCGCCGAACATGTGGCGCGAGATGGTTGACCAGATCGATAAGGAGAGCGGATCCTCGCTTGTCTTCGCCTCGCTTCGTCAAGGCAACAGAATTCCAAATTGTACGAACGCTTTGGGTGACGCCGCAAACCAAAGCTGGGATATAGAACAGGCAGTTCCGGGTGAAGGAGTGACCTCTTCAACATGTGCGAAAGCAACCGCTTCGGGCAACGCGAGTCCTCCGGCGCTGGTACGACGTTCTGCGTCGCCTTGCACGGAGCATCATGGTGAATACCTCTGCTTCCTGCAAGATGCCTACGCCTTTCTTCGTCAGGCCCCACACGTCAGCGCATCCCGAGAGCGTCCCAAAGCTCCTCTCTCGACGCCGTCTGGCGCGCCGCGCAACTCCTCAAAGAAAGGCATGAAGCGAAACGCTGCTGCAACCCGAACCGGCCCTTCACGTGTTTCATCCTTCTCTTTTCTGAAGGCGGCAGCACAGAAGAAAGCAAAAGAATTACTGAATGGTGAGCTGCGGAGCAACTCAGGTGCTCAAATTTCCGTCCCTGCTGTGGCTTGCTGCACACCGGTGCAGTACAGCATGATCTTTCTCGACTGTTACGACCCCGATCGAGAGCACATGATGCACGAGGGCGGGCTTATCGATTTATGCGCACGGCGGCTGCGACCAGGAGGCGTGCTGCTCGTGAACGCACACGTGCTGCCTACTGCCGCGAACCTGGAGCGTGATTTCCTGACGCGCGGCTTTGCGACGGTGCAGGCGCTACGCGTGTCTGGATGCACGCAAACAGTGGTGGTGTGTGTAACGCCAGACGCCGAAATGGACCAAAAAGGTGGCAAAACCCAAAGGGAAGAGAAGTGTGCTCGCTTTACGATGCATCAGCTACAGCAGCTAGCGCACCAGCTGAACGCGTTGTGTGTCGGCTCACCGCCCCCTTGGCAACACGCGACTAGACAAGCTGCAGCAACGCCTTCACATGGGCTGCTGAGGTCTGGCTTTCTGCTGGATGCGTCTTGGCTCAAAGCGTGCCGCCGCATGTCTGTCTCACAGGAGACAAAGAAGAAGGACGCCGAAGTCGACTTCCGTGTGTGGCAGCATTACTTTTAGTTTTTCTTCATTCAGAGACAGAGCTGATACAGTGAACTGCAATCCACGTGCATGAATGCGGCGTTGATCGCAACAGAAAACAAAAGAGGCACTAGAGACGAAAGTTTAATGGTTGGTCAGGAAAAGCCAAATAGCACAGTAGCTGCTTCTCGTGCTCTGCTGAGATGGATCAGGAAGCTCGCACCTGCTATCCGAGCTCTGCGTGTGCAGCGGCGGTGCAAGACAGAGCATGCCGTGGCGAAATGAAGTGAACTGATGGCCCCCCCCCTTTTTTTTTCTTCACCACCTCCTTGCGCTGGAATACGTGCTCAACGGTTGTCTTCTTTCCTCTTTCATCTCCTTTTTTTAAAAATGCCAATGTCCTCCAACTCTCCTCTCAGTCCCTTCGAAGTTGCTAGTCACCGGAAGTAAAATGGACGTGTACCGCCAGGCTGCGGAGATCATCAAGATTGTGCGGGAGGGCAACGGCACCGCAAAGGCGCTCTGCCTCCGCAAGGAGATGCAGAAGAAGAAGCAAACCTACGCCGTCGTGTGCGAAACGCTGCGCCATTACGAGTTGCTGGAAGACGTGCTGGAGAACGCCGAGTTCTTCAAGTACTACCCGCAGGCGAACCGTGAGTTTGCTCTGTGCATGGCCTACGACGTGGTGCTGGGCAAGGGCGTCAACACGAACAACGACAGCACCGCCCGGGCAGTGACGCAGTCGGCCTCGTTCTTGCGCGAGGCGTACTGGCAGGTCCACAAGCACCACGTCATCCCGCCGCGCAGCAACGAAAAGTGGGAGGAGCCGGAGGAGGGGGGCGGCAGCAACAGCAAGAAGAACGGCAACGATGGCGCATCGTCGTCGTCTGCAACAACAGGGTCGCTGCGACTTCCGCGCTACGCACGTGTGAACACGCTTAAGATATCCGTGGAGGAGCTTGTTAGCCGTCTGCGCCGCTCGGCAGAGGCGCGCAAGCGAGCCCGCGATGAGGGCGGCGACGAAGGTGCTGTGGCAGAACCCGCGGCGAACAAAAACGGTGAGGATACAGGCAAGCGTACGCCTCACCGTGCCTCCTCCAAGCCGCACCGCTCGCTACCGGAGTTTACGCAAGACCCCATTGTGCCCCAATTGCTTGTCTTCCCGCCTGGCACCGATCTGCACGCTCACCCCGCTGTTCGCAGTGGCCAGCTGATCTTACAAGATCGCGCCTCCTGCATTCCCGCTGCAGTGCTGCTGGATGCTGTCACGGTCGATGTGATGTGCGGCGAGGCGGAGGGAGGGGAGAAGCTGGCGGCTGCTCGCAAGCCGCCGGAGTACGTCGTAGACGCCTGCGCAGCGCCGGGCAACAAAACAACGCAACTCGCCGCGCTCGGTGCCCCCGACGTAAAGATTATGGCCACGGAACGCGATGAGCGACGTGCCGAGCTGCTGGTGAAGCGCGTTGGCACTCTCGGCGCCGCGGACTACGTCAACGTCGTCAACTCGGACTTTTTCCTGCTCTCCTCGGACGATCGCGCGGCAACGGAAGCCATCTTGCTGGACCCGAGCTGCAGCGCAAGCGGCGTCATGACGCGCGTCGATGTCGCCGTTCAGCACCACCGCACGCGCCATCCGAAAGACGAGCAGAAGGGCACCCATGATGCCGAAAAGGAGGTCGCCAAGGAGTACGACGGTGATGACGGTGATGATGCAGCTGCTGCTGCAGCTGGGAGCAGCGGTGCGATTAACCCTGAAACACAAGAGAACAACTTCTCGATGCAGGAGGAGCGTGTGGAAAAGCTGTCGCGGCTGCAACGCAAACTCCTGGCCCACTCTCTTCTCTCCTTTGACGGCTGCCGCACCGTGGTGTACTCCACCTGCTCCGTGCACGAGGCGGAGAACGAGGAGGTGGTGCGTCAGGTGCTGGATGACGAGCGCGTGCAGGCGCGTGGGTGGACGCTGAGCAACATCATGCCCAAGGAATGGAAGACGCGTGGGAAGGAGAAGCAGGGAGATAAGCATCCGCTGCGGTACACCATTCGCTGCGACCCGGTGACAGACGCCACAAACGGCTTCTACGTCGCCCGCTTTGATCGCCAGCTGAAGAGCTGAAGGGGATGATGAAGCGAAGATCGTTCTTGCAAGGTGTGGTTAAAGGTGCCTCGCCTTCCGTGCAGACTGATTGGGGTCCTGTGTGGACGTGCCCTCTCACACAACTCCAAATGGAGGAATACACACTAACGTTTAAATCCCTGAATCACGTTAAGTAAGGCTCTAACAAGTAAAAGACACCGTTAAAAAACACGAACAGCACGATTCCTTGTCCACCAAAACGACAGAACGTTTTTTTTCTTTGGATAGAAAAAAGAAAATTGCATCATCAATAATAAGAAGATGTCAGTTGAACTACGCCGCAATGACTTCTCCGTTTGGCATCGCGTTTTGACGCAGAGTGCGAGACTCATGTCCGACGTACTGGAAGACTTCAATCTGTAAGTACTGGCGAACGCATCCGATCTATGGTCAAAGGGGTTGTGAAACTCGCTTTGTTCGTCCTACCTCCTTCGCTTCCTCTTCGCCTCCCTCATTGAACTCCGTAACGGACACACGTACAAGTGGAGTATTCGTCTTTCTTTTCTGTCTTATATATCTTTTTGTTACCGCTGATTTTGAGAGCATTCACAGATATCTCTAGCCCCGTTCATTTCCAAAGCCTACGTGTGGTACGCTTCCGAAAGACACCCTGAATCAGCACTTGCATACAATATCTTGCGTGAGTCGCACAGTCTTTCGTTTCTCCTATTTCAGTGTGAGCGGGTGCGTGGGTCGCTTGGTCATCTTCCAGGTCACCGCCGTGAGTTATTTATTTATCATTCCTCCCCCCTCTCTCTCTTCTTTTGTGAAGTGTGTTCCTGCCCTGTTCTCGTCGGTTGTTGTCTACGGAGCCTGATCAGACGAAACGAGAAAAGGGAAAAAAACGCAAATGGTTCACGGTTTGTCCTCTGCGAAGGGCGTGTTGGCGCTGCTGGGTGAGCAGGACAACGTCGTTGTCCTCTTCGCCCTGAAGCGGCTGTCGGCGCTCATGGACACCTTCTGGCACGAAGTGAGCGCTGAGCTGCCCCTCATCGAGGAGCTCGCCGCGTCGGGAACCCTCGCTGACGAAACACGCCGGCTGGCCTCGCTCGTTGCCTCGCAGGTGTACTTTCACCTCGGTGACTACAGCAACTCCGTCAACCACGCTCTCGCCGCAGGTACCGCCTTCGACGCCACCACACGCTCCCTCTTCACCGACACCATTCTCAGCCGCTGCATTGACACCTACGTGGTGTTTCAGGAGACACCGGAGAGCGAGCGGGCAGAGCTGCCGCCGAAGCTGGAGGAGCTGTTCGTTTCCTTGACCAAGTCGTGGGTGATGGAGAACGAGACGGTGGCGGACCTGAAGGAGATGGTCGGCTTCACGGTGCGGGCGCGTCGCCTCGACTTTCTCGAGAAGGTTCTGCGTCAGTGCCTCGTCAAGACGCACTCGGCGGAGATTCTCAACTTTACCTTCAACGTGGCAAACATACTGCTGCAGGACATCACTTTCCGCCGTAAGGTGCTGCGCCTCCTGGCGGACCTCTACACGGATGGTCTCTCTACCATTGACTACTACTCCCTGGCGCACTGCCTCCTCTTTCTGGGGGATGTAGAGGCGACGTCGAATCTCATCTACGGTCTCTGGAAGGCGGACAACAAGACGGTCGCCTACCAGCTCGCCTTCGACCTATTCGAGTACGGTAACCAAGAGTACTTGTCGGGGGTGGTGGCGTACCTGGAGAAGCAGCTCGGCGAGAGCGAGCGCGTGCTGGCGGAGCAGCCGGCGGAGGCGAAGTCAGAGGACGATGGTGCCAAAAACTCTGCCGCGGCCGCATCCCCTGCCGATGCGGAGACGGCGAACGCATCGTCCCCGACCGTCGCCGCGGCGAAGCCGGAGACGCCGGAGCACAAGCTCATTGCCGTCCTCAGCGGCGAGTTGACGACGAACCTCAACGTCAAGTTCCTCTACTCGCGCTGCTGCGCGGACGTGCACATTCTCGCCCACATCAAGAAGATGTCCGACCCGCGCAACTCCGTCATTCACAACGCAACGGTGGTGTCGAACGCTCTCATGTACAGCGGAACGACGATGGACGGCTTCCTGCGCGACAACTTGAAGTGGCTCGGCGCGGCGCAGTACTGGTCCAAGTTCACGGCGGTGGCGAGCACCGGTGCCATCCACCGCGGTCACACCGAGGAGGCGATGCGGGTGCTGGATCAGTACCTCCCGAAAGGCTCCAGCGTGCCGACACTGCCCTACCAGGAGGCCGGTGCCCTCTACGCCCTCGGTCTCATCCACTCCCCCCTCGGCGTCACCCGCGACCGCTCAACGATCCAATACCTCGAGGAGAACTTACAGAAGTTCTCCGCGAACGTGCAGATGGTACACGGCGCCTCCCTCGGCATCGGACTCACCGCCATGGGCCTGCAGGACGAAAGCCTCTACGACGCCCTCTTCACCTGCGTCACCGGCATGGACGCCGTCGGGGCGGAGGGGGCGGCGGTCGGTGTGGGCATGTTGATGCTCGGCAGCGGCAACGATATCGTGCTGCAGAGCCTCAAGAACGTCGCGTACGAGGACAACCAGAAGGAGAAGGTGATCCGGGGAGTGTGCATGGCGATGGCCCTCATCAACCTTGGCCGCGAGGACGAGGCGCTGCCGTTGGCAGAGGAGCTGCTTGCCAGCGGTGACCCTTGGGTGCGTCTGGGCGGCTGCTTCGTGCTCGGTCTCGCCTACGCCGGCACGGAGAGCACAAAGACGATTGAGATGCTACTGAACATCACCGTGAAGGACATGTCGGACGATGTGCGGCGCACCGCGGCGACGATGATCGGCTTCTTGACCTTCAAGGACCCGAATCTCTGCCTCGACCTCATCCGCGTCCTCGTTGACAGCTACAACCCGCACGTGCGTTACGGCGTTGCGATGGCGCTTGCCGTGAGTGCGGCCGGCACCGGCAACGCTGCGGTTATTAATGTCCTGTGGGACATGAAGGAGGACATCGTCGAGTACGTGCGCCAGGGCGCGTGCATGGCGCTGGCCATGGTGATGGTGCAGCTCACCGAGAAGGAAAACCCGAAGGTGAAGGAGTTTCGCCAACTTGTGGACAAGAAGGTGGAGGACCGTAACGAGAGCCGATGCTCCAAGTTCGGCTACGTACTGGCCGCTGGTCTGCTGGACGCAGGTGGCCGCAACTGCACGTTTGCACTGCACAAGCAGCGTCACCGCCTCGACAAGGCTGTTGTGGGTGTCTTCATGTTCCTGCAGTACTGGTACTGGTACCCCTACCTGCTTATGATCACGCTGGCGATGCAGCCGACGTGCATCATCGCGCTCAACGAGTCCCTCGACCTGCCGGAGTACACCTTCAAGTCCAACGCGCCGCCCAGCACGTACGCGGTGCCCAAGTCGGTGTTGCAGGAGAAGAAGGTGAAGTCGTCCGAGGCGCCGGCAGTTGTGCTCTCCATCACGCGCAAGGAGGAGGAGCTGCGCCAGCGTCGTCACCAGAGTGCTGCGGGGGACGCCGGCACGAGTGCGTCTGCGACCGGTGGGGCAGCGGCGGGGGAGGCCGGTGAGGGCAAGGGCGCGGGGGGTGGAAAGAAGGGCGAGGAAGGCGACGCCTCTGCGGCTGCTGCGGCGGAGAAGGAGCCAAACTTTGAGCTTCTGCACAACCCGGCGCGTGTGACGGCGCACCAGTTTGCTGCCATCACGCACGACGTGGATCCGCGGTACAAGCCGATGAAGCCGCGGCCGATGGGCATCTGTCTTCTGCGGGATATGAAGCCGGAGCTGGGGGCGCAGTCGCTGGTAAAACCGGTCGTGTTGACGGACCGCGACGAGGCCTCGGTGCCGGAGCCGTTCTCATACCCGTAACGGGTAAGAGAGGGAAAAAGAAAATGTGAATCCACGAGTGGCTCTCAGCGCATTCTCTTTCTGCTCTCTTTGCGGATTTCGTCTTGCGAGGGCGTTTATTTTTCGAGCAACGCACGTCTGTTTTGCCTGTGCTGTGCTGTTCTTGTTTTTTTTCCCCTATTATGTGTGTGTGCTTCTGTCCACTCTCTTTGCACTGGGCCGTCCTCTGAGTGACAATTCTTTTTTCCAGTTTTCATTTTGTTTTTTCCCCCAGTATTCTGCAAGCCGTCGCGAGCGAACGTGCGAGTAGTAGTAGTAGTATGATGTTTTTTTGTATTCCGTATTCTCCACTTTATTGTCGTTGTTGTTCTTGCATTTTCTCTGTTATAGATGAGTGCGCATGCGTGTTGATGAAAGGGACTGTCGCTGTCGTGTGTCGAAACGAAATGAAAAGAAGATGCTTCTGAAGAGTCAGCAGAAACAGCGTTGAGAGAATAGGCCATTCTGTGCAGCTTCGGGGGCTAAGGCGGAGGATGCTGGAGCGGCATTCTTTTTTCCGTGTTTGTGTGTGTGTGTGTGTTTTGTTCCTTGTTGATGCGCGGGGTGCGATGTGACAATTTTGGCGTCAAGTCAATGTACCCGACAGACGTCAAAAACAGCAGCAAGAACAACAACAGAAAGAGTGTCGATAGTGTTGCTTCTTCTTGTGGCCTACGCTGAGAGAGGAGCTGCGTATATTGGTGCTGCGTAGTGGGGCCACGTGTAACGCTTTCTAGTTACCGAGGCAATCCATGCAGCACGCATTCACTTGCTGTGTCTTCTTCCAATCTACTCTTCTTATTGTGTGCGCGTTGTCTTTTGCGAGTGATAATCACGTCCCCATCGTGACAGCTTTGCGGGCGAGCAGTGGTTCACTTCACTATCGCCGGGAACGAGATTTATCAACTTACTGTACCAGTTCGTATCCGCACATTCACATTCGTTATTTGGATACAATGTCTCTTCATTTCAACTGGAGCCGGTTAGACGAGACGTGCGCCGAGGCGCTGCGCCAGCTCATCAACAAGCGCCTCGCCGAGGTCGTGGAACACATCAACACCAAAAACGCAGGCGGCGCTGAGGCTGCGCGTCGTAGTTCTCTATCTGCCGCCTCTCATGAATTTTCCACCGACGCAAACTACGGTACCGGTGGAAGAGGAGGAGCTGCGGCGGGCGGGAAAGCGGCCCCGCCTTCGCTCGTCAGCATTGGCAGCAGTCCCGGCAACAACAGCAACCCGACGCGTAACGGTCCTGCCTCGAATGTCAGCTCGCACGGCTCCCCTTGCGAGGGGTCCAACGGCCTGCTCGGCGCGTCAGACCTTATTTCTCCCTCTCCCTTTCTTTCGGCAATGTCACCCAACGGTGTGCAGAACTCTGGCAGTGCTGCTGTCGGGGCTGTGGCGGCCGCGAATGCTGTTAACGGTTGTGTTGCGGCCCCAGGAGAGTCACTGCCGCAGAGCAACCACATCCGCGGTGCTGCTCCGGGACTGCGCGCTGACAACAGCGGGGGCGCCTTCGGCGGACCGACGAACGATGAGGGCGGCACGTACGCCGCTCGCAGTTCTGCGGGGCATCCGAGCGCGAACAACCGCGGGGGCAATGGCGCAACCCACGCGACGACTTCTCCCAGCCCCACGAACGCGAGCGACGCCTACAACGCGGGCACTGGTGGGCCGCCTCGCGGCGCTCCCTTGTCCGGACTTAAGCGTGAGAAGGAGGGCGGCGCATCGGCGGCGGACTCACGCGGTGTGCCCCCCATTGTGTACTTGGAGCTGGGCAGCGTGGAGTGGGGGACGACGCCGCCGTTTGTGGAAATTGTCGCCTTTGACAACGCGACGGACGGTCCGCCGGGCGGCAGCAGCCGTGCACCGCAGCGTGGGTTCAATGCGATGAACAGCACGACAACGACGGCAGGCAGCCTGCAAGGCGAGGTGCGGGAGACCTCGGACGCGCTCAGCCACGACATATCCACCGACACGGCGATGGCGTTATCCACTGCGTTTGCGGGGTGCTTCGCAGCCTCTGCCCCTGCCGGTGCGAGTGCTGCGGGGGACGCAGGCGTCGACAGCAACAGCGAGAGCTCGCACGACTTCACGGTGTCGCACCCCGCTACCGGGGCCAACACGCCACACGTCGTGTCTGGTGTCGGTCACCAGGCAGGAGTCGCAAGTGTGACAGCGGGCAGCCCGTCGTGCGCCGCACCGCAGATGCAAGCGCCTGTCTCCTTATCCCAGTTCCCGTGTCAGCCGGAGGCGACGGACTCGCTGGCTTCGGTATTGGGCTGCGGCGGACTCTACATTCGCTTTCACATTACCTACGGCGGTGCGCTGCACCTCTCGCTGAACACCGCTGTGCAACACGAGCTCCGCCTCGGCGCGGTGGCGCTGCGTGTGAGTCTACCGATGATGTTCTACCTCGCCAACCTCGACCTGGATTGCTACCTGTGCCTTAATGTGAAGCACAACGTGTGCCAGATGTGGCTCGAGCACGGACCGCTCTCCTCGTCTGTGGTGAACCGACTCAGCATTGCGGCTACCTTTGGCGGCGCCAACGAAGTGGATGAGGACGGGGCCGACTACGGCGCCTCCTCGGCGGACTTTTATTCCCACTTCGGCAGCAGCAGCATCTCAGACGACGACAACGATGAGGGCGGCAACGGCGTGTACGTAAATGAGCACGAGGTTTCGCACTTCGTCCTGCACGAGCTGCGCGCTATCTTGAAGGAGACGATTGTGGCCCCGCATTGCATCACGATTCCCATCTCGTTTGACGGCTGAAGATGCTTCGTTTTCTTCTTCCTCTTTGATTCTTTTTGTTCTGCCAATGAGAGGCATATCTGTTGCTTTTGATTTCAGAACGAGGTCTGGAGACCGTCTCTATTTTTGTTCAATGTGCAAGTGCACGACCAAAGGAATGCTGCCCAAGAGGACTACATGCTTGCAATAGAGCGGTCGAACTCGCTCCAGTGAAACCGAAGAGGTCCCAACTCTTTCTTTCAAATCAGCGGTTCCCTTGTTTTCTTTCTTTCTTGTTTTCCAAGCGCATCTGTAACGGATGCCTGATGTTGTCGTTCTGCGCCGGTCTCCTGTCTCTTGCCCACTTTTCTTTCAGAAACGTGCTTGTCTGTTTGGTCGCTCTTATCTCTCTTGTTCCTGCTCTCGTCCGCTATCTTCGGTTTTTGAACGGATGTCGTTGTTTACTACTTGTGAAGATCCTCCGACCTCGTGGTTGAGTTCTGAGCTTTGTGTGTATATATATGTGTGTGTGTGTATCTGGGGATCTTTCCGAACTCCGCTAGGATCTTTCGATAACGAGCACGCACACACACCTGCGTTTGTGTGAAAACGAAAGGAAGAGAATTCTTCGAAGATTTTTCTCCTTGGCGTTTTGCGGTGCGCCGTATTTTCGCTCACGATCACTCGTGGTGCTTCATTTTTCTCTTGTACATAACTGTGATCTCTCCTGTATATATATTATATTGTTTCGTTCAACGGAAAACCACGCGTTCTACTCTTTCTGGGGGTTCTGCAGAAGAGCTGGCGAAACAGTACACACACTCCCTCAACTGCCGATCACGACAAGGGTGAATTGGTTCGCCTCAGGAGCGCTTTGAACGCAGAGAGAGACTTGCAACGCGGCACGACGATGTCCTCCCTGGCGCAACCAGCTCCAGGTGACATCACCATCGAGGACCTTAAGAAGCTGACCACGCACCCCCATGTCTCCTCCAAAAACCCAGAAGACGTCGTTGCCTCTCGCTACCTGCAACGCCTCGGCAACACCCTGGTGCGACGTACCCGCCAAGCTCTCATGGAAAGAGACACTCTGTCGAGTCCAGCGTCTTTTTCTAAGACGAGGTACGCGAGCTCCAGGCCGACAAGCGCGTTGGCCTCCTCCCTGGCCGCTATCCCCGACGTACCTCCCGCGGCACCGTACGCGCTGCAGCAACAACAGCACACCCGCGGCGAAGATGGTGCTTCCGCGACGCGGCGCTGGCGTAGTCAGGTGCCGCTGCTGAAGGATGACATGGCGGCGTCAACCAGCACCACTCCACCAGTCCTGTGCCCGTCCGAGCTGACGCCGGCACCGTTCACGAGGGCAAGCAGCGGGGTCGCCGTTCGCGCCGCGTCTTCGCCCCGACTTACACCGGATATGTCACCCCAATTTGAAGGACGCCGCGCGGCACCACAGGACGCAAAGCAGGCGAGCAAGCCGCATCGACGTCGTCTTAGCAGTCAAAGTGCCGAGCAGAGCGTAACATCGACTGGAACGAACGCGTCGGACAGATCCCGTGAGCGGATAAAGTCGTACGCGCCAGGCGGTCAGCTCAGCCACGACGATACACGTACAGCCAGTTCGACGAAGATGGGGGCGAAGCGCGCGGAACGAAGTCGCACACCAAGAGGAGGTATCGTCTCCCACTCGCAGCTGCACACTCCGGCGAGTAAATACTACGAGGGAACGACAGATGCATACAAGGAAGCGGTCTTTCGGGCAAACGCGGCGGTGAATCATGCTACTGCTCTTATGGCCTCCGGCGCACCGCCAGCACGCAAACTGCGCACAGCGGAGGAGCGTAGCGCGCTCGTCCTTGCACAGGAGCACGCAAAACTGATGTTGCTTGTTGGTCGCCGCGCTAACCTGGAGGATGAGATCGAAGACGCACTGGAACTCGCAGAGGCCTACGAGCTGGACAAGTCGCTTCGCACGCGCCGGTCGAGCACGGCGAGCACCGCCACGACCGCGACATTATCGAGGGGCGCGGCTACCCCGTTGCGTAACGCACGAACTCCGCGGAAGCGCCGTGGCAGCGAGCACAGCAAGGCAGATGTCGATGTGCAGCTCTCCATCGAGCCCGGTGCGGTGCGGCGCCGCATGCGGCAGCTTCTCTCGAACCTGTTTGGCAACGGCGTTTTCGGCAGCACAGGTGGCGGGACCACCTTGAGCAGTGACAACTTGACCCGACTGGTGCAGCAGTTACAGGCGCAGTTGGACTCCGTGGAGGGCGAGCTGGCAAACAGGTTTGAGTCAGACGAGGACGAGTTTGAAAAATCGGACACGAATTTCACGACCATGTTCGAGGGAACGAGGCGTATGCGGTCCTCCTCCACGGCGTATAACTCATCGGCGGCGATGCTGGCCGCAAGGCCGACGCTGAAACCGCTCCAGCGCCGCAAGCGAGTTCAGCAGAAGAAACAGGCCGATCTGCGTGAGGTATCGTCGAATCAGGAGCGCATGGAGTGGCTGATGGAGAGCGTCGACGCGGAGCTCTTGACCGATGTGACGGCGGAGCAGTATGCGACAGACGTGGCGGAATCGCCCTTCTCCGACCCTCTGCTACCCGCTGCCCTTCAAGACAATGCGCGAATGATGGCGGCATGTAAGTCTATTTTGCAAGCGATGCGTAACAAGTCCGACGCAGCCGACGGCGGCACAGCCCCTGCGCCAGCGTTCTCGCCTAAATCAAGAGATCTCGACACTACGGTGGATTCCGTCTTGTCGCCGTCGTACACCGGTACGGTGAGTCAGCCCAGCTTGGTGCCGTTCTCTCTCTCCGGCACCATATTGGGTGACGGCACTTCCACAATGCAGAGCGGCAGCGCGCAGGACCGCGCCAAAGGGGACTCGGATGGCGGTCTGAGCTCCCCTGTGTATGGTCTGAAGCTACTCGGCTTCATGATTGACGTCCTCGCACAGTACGAACTCGACCTAGAGGGCGAGACGGGCAATAGGCGTCGGAAGAAGCGGCCGTGTACGGCGCCGTCGAAGAGCGCGTCTTTCATGTCTCGACCGCTTCTGTACCGCGACGCCTTTTCGAAAGATGATGAGGACGACGATCTTGACAGCGGAGAAGAGGACGGTGGCAGACACGGTGGAGGCAGTGACGGCGTCAGCTCTTCCCGCTCCGCACGCGAAAGGTCCGGCGAGGTGCCTGGGCAGGCTTCGTCCGCGCCGCACGACACTGTCGGTAAACGGCAGCCAGCCTTTGTCGACAACACCGAACCACACCACCCACGCAGCAACGCCGATGGCACCGCCGCCTCTGCCTCTGCCGCTACCGGAGCAGCGGCGAGCTCGACCGGCAAGGGTGCAACGCTGCTTGGAGCGCAGCTGCGCAATCTGCGTGCTGGGCTGCTGCAGGATCTCCACGAGCTGTGCACCTTGTACGACTACATGCACCTCATTGACGAGCGTCGACGTGAGCTGGCGCAAGGCGCAGAGGAGCCGGTGAATAACGACTACGAGGCGGAGTTAGAGCGAAAGCTGGAGGAGCATCGGATACAGCAAGAGGCGGCGCAGCGTGCCCGCGATGAGGCGCAGCGACGCAAAGCGGAGGGCGCGGAGCTGGATGATTTTGGGCGGATCGGTAGTGCTGGTATGGCTCGACGCGGACAGGGGCGGCCATCGCAGGCTTCTCTGCGCTCACAATACGGTGCAGGTAGGTCGCTACCCCTTCAGGATGGTGTGCGTACTGATGCAAGCGGCAAGCCAGGCGCTTCGGCTTCATTGCTCGCGGCGGAAAGGAGGCGAGACCGAGAAGTTGGAAAGGAAACTCTTGCCGTTGAAGAGACCACTGCGCCGGATGTGGCGGAGGTAGAGACGGAGCTGATTCGCGAGTGTGTGGGGGACGGTGCGTTGTGCTACACACTTGTTGGCTTCTCTGCACCGACCTGTACCCCAGGTGTTGGCAACGCGGAGGCGGAAGACAAGCCAACGCGCGTGAAAAAGAAGAGAGGCGGCGCCGGCTCCTCCTCCGGTGCAGCGGAAAACTTCCTCCGATACGAGTTGCGTGTGCAGCGGTCGGCCGCGGCACGGCCATCTTCTACGAACGCAGGCGAAAACGTCGATCCTGCGGCGATAGTCGCCGTTGTGAGGCTCAACCCGCAGCGACTGCTAAACCTGCGGCTGGCTCCCGCTGCAGGTGCATCGTTTGTGGCCAAAAGCAAGTTTTCCCAAGTCACCGCCGCGGTGGAGTGGGGTGCTCCGCCAACGGCGCTGCTCTCGTTTGTTCCAGTGAAGCGCTACAAGGCGGCGTCGTTCGCGAAGGCCTTCGAGTTTGGCGCGAGTGTGGAGACGACGCAGGAAACAGACGACCTTCGAGAGACCTCCGTCGCGTCTATGCCCTTCACTTTTCCCTCGCCCGGCGATGTGAGGCCGCGGTCGGCCTCACTCGACAGCGGTGCGGTGCTTCCGCAGTCTGAAAGCGAAGGTTCCCTTACAAATTCCGCCGGAGAATTTCCCGCGAGGGATTCGCGGACAAAGGCCGGCGGAGAGAGCCGCAGTAAACCCGGCAGTGCTGCTGTACTTCCACGGGACACTTCCCAGGTAGACAACGAAACGATCGACAGTGCTGCGGCTGACGGGGAGACGGCGACGCGTGCCAGCGTCGTGCCCACAAAGTCGAAGGACGCGAGGAAGACGGTAGAGGGCAGAGCGACTTCATTACCCAAAAAGAAGCCCTCGGGTGACTTGTCAGCTTCTGCCAATGCTGCCATGTCGTCCTCTGCAGAGGAACTGACGAAGTCCGGCCGTCTCCCGCCTATCCAGAACCAAAAGGCACCGGCTTCTGGCAGCTCCACTCGCCCTCTAGCACCGCCAAGGACAAGCGCGGCGGAGGTGACCAGCCCAGCTGGTGTGCATCCCGTGAACGCGCCGTCGCGCACTTCTTCTTCAGCGCAACAACCGTTGCCCTCCACACCGCCAATGCAGGAGACGCCGCGACCCGTGGAGGAGTGGGGGGTTCCCCATTCCCATGCTGAAATGGAAGCGGTGGAGAAGAACGCGGTGGTGCTGACGGTGCTCTCGGGAGCAGCAGCAGAAGGAGAACAGCTCGCCCGGACGTCATCACGTCCATCGAAAGGAAGGCTGCCTACCTCCAGGGGCGGGTCTGGTGCAGCGAAGGCGGAGGGCATCGACGATGGCTCCACGGTCTCACCAGCCGAAGCACTACTGGCCATCGTTCCCGATGAGAAGAGCACGTCCGTGGGCGGCGCTACCGCAAGCGGCGTTCGCGTGGGAAGCGGGGGTGCAGGAACGGAGAAGGGCGGGAGACAGTCGAGCACCCCTTCCACTGCGGCCGCTATCGATGCGGTGGCCTCGGAATTGCTTCGTCAGGTGATGGAGGCAGAGGGAGGTGAGGGATATGCTACGGAAGAAGGTGCGAGTGCCGGCGCCACATCACCCACCGCACCGGTAAAACCAGCCGCACCTGCGTCGATTGTGGACCAAGACGCAGCGGGTCTAACTCAGAAACAGCAGAATGACGACCTGAATATGTCGGTGACCCAGAAAAGGCCTGACACACCACTTCGCGGAACTGCGGAGACGTCAGGAAAAGAAACTGGCATCCGCTCGGATATGGCGGGCTCACCGCGTGTAGGGCGGCCAAATTCCTCTCCTTTAACACGAAGGCAGGCGCCTCACGTATCACGACCGCAGACTGTTGGCGGCCGTCGACAAGCAGACGGCCGCGTTCTGGAAGGACTGCCGTCCAAATCGGCTGAACCGCCCAAAGCGGTGATCGGCATCAAGGCACCGCCGTCACTGACAATCACTTCCTCCCAGTCCCCTCCAATGCGCGCCGAGGAAGCTCATCAGTACGGCGGATGTCTCGTTCGATTAGACATCTTTCCCCAGGAGGTGGATGCGACTCGCCAAAGCGATTCCACTGCTGTGACGACAGCAGAAGACACAGCCGCACCACTCATTCCGCCGCGTACGACAACTCCCCCGACGGCAGAGCCGCCGCTTCGAGCACAGCTGTCGCGGCCGACGACTGCAACACGTCCCGTCAGTTCCCGAACTGCCGACTCGGCGCACGACCACCCGTCGACGCCCACCGCCGCCGAGAGCTTCGTCCCTTCCTTGCCACCCGTACTGGTGAAGCAAACAGCGGGCAGCTCGAAGGTGCAGGTGCTCCTTCCCCAGGAAGCCGTCACCAGCTCCCTCGGTCCAAGAGTGCGGCCGGCCACCACCTCCGGCGCAGTGCCGCCCAACCGACAGACAAGCGCACTTGAAGGTGTCACCAGCCCTCCTGACGCGACCACCACCGCTACCAACAACCTGGCAGCCACAGAGCGATCTATCGCGAAGCAGTTCTCGGTACTACCCAAGACTGGCGCTGCCGGCGAGGCGGCTGCAGATCAACGCACGGTTACGCATGTTCAGACCTTCCTGCAGGCCGTTATGACTCGCCCAGAGTCAAGGAGGACAGGTGCCGCCGGAGGAAAAAGCTTGACCGCCTTTGCTGGCGCGTCGAAACAAAGCGAGGCGTTGCAAAGCAAATCTGCTGCTGGCCGTGGAGGGGTGAGCACGCTGCGCTCCGAGGTGGAAATGCTCCAGGAAGAGGCGCGGCTGCTTTTTTTGTCGGATCCGGTCCGCTACGACGCTGTGGTTTCGGAGCTCATGCAGCAGGCTACCGAGGAACTGCAGCGTGAACTCGCACCGGACGGGCAGCGGGGAATTAGCGGCGACGCGCTTGCACCCATGTCAGTGCGCTCATCGGGTAGCGGCGCGTTGAGCTTGCCGCCGGTGCTGGTCGCCGCGCACCCGCACGGCCAAGCAGCCGGCACCTCGGATGAAGCCGAGGCCGCCCTGGGCAACCTGAGCAGTGCCATTCCACACGCTCACGTGCGATCCACACCAGGAACTACACGTCATAGCAGCAGCACTTCCTTTGTTTTCGGTGCATTCGGGACCGCCCCCTCCTCGGGCACCACACAGGGGCGGGTGCCGTCTTTTCCATCCCCGCAGACGTTCGCAGGGCGGCGCAGCACGCACGCACTCGTGGCGCAGTCCGGGTCGAACCTGAACTCTGTCGCCGCCGCGCAACGCAAGTCTTGCGCGGATGCCGTGGCGGAGGTGGAACGTATTCTCTACGAGCAAATGAAAGCAAAGCTGCTCCTTCGCGCGATTATTGAGAAAATGCAGGCCCTCTGGAGGGCGAAGCAGCGCAGTGCGGAGGAAAAGAACCGCGGACGCGTGGTGCAGCGCATGCGGGAGGTGATGGACCGTGCCCTAGCCGCTTCCTGGCCGATCGAGCGTCAACGTGTGATTCACCTTCGCAAGCTGATTTGCATCCTCGATCGGCGTGTGGGTCGCGTCCACGGTTGGCTGCCACACTACTCCGACGCGAACGTACTCATGACGACGCAGCCCAGCGCGATGGCCCGCAGCGTCCTTTCCAAAAGCGGCACAAGTGGCAGCGGCACACTTACTGCTGGGCCACTCTCGACGTGGTACCGCAAGACGCACACGGCAGATCGGGCTGGCGTGGAGGACGACAGCGCTGACGGCACGTGCGCTGACGCGTGCCCGCGTTACATGCAATACCTCCCGCAGCGCCGCATGTACCATTATGTGCGACTGGCAAAGGCACGCCGGCTGATGCCGCTGCGCCTGGTGCGTGCGGAAATCCACGAGTGCCACAGCCGCCACATTCTGCTCGGCTATGAAAGGATGCCGCTGGAGACGGAGGAGGAGGAGGCGGCGCATACGCAGGCGGGATGGCCGAAACGGGACCTCCCCCCGCACGCCCGCCTCGCGAAGCAGCGCCGTGGCGAATTTGTACCAGACCGCTACGACGACATGAAATCTCGCGGGGAACGGGAGCGCTACCGGCGACGATTGCAAGGCACGGCCGCCTTTCAGGGGGTGTCGAAGATGTTCTCTCCGCGTACGCGACAAGACGCAGAGCTACCCTACGCGTTGCATTGATCTCCTTTGTAGAAGTTTTTTCCTGTTTGATTATTTTTCTCGAGCACGCACGGTGATGTATACTCCACTGACAGCGGTGGTGCACCCAGCTTTTGCTTTTGACTCTTTTCTCCGCGTTCTTTTTTTTTTCGCTTTGTGTGTCGGTTTAGTTTCATGTACATCCTACCGTATCAATTTTTGTTTTTCACTTCATGTCTTCATTAGTTTTCTTTATTTTCCATGGAACCAATTTCACCCTGAAACACAGATCAAAAGCAAACGATGCAAACTCGTGAAGCGGCCTTTCGCACCCATTCGCAGGAGTCGTGAAACTTTCTTACGTTTCTGCCGTGAAGGAGAGCGTGAAATCCACCACTCCGCTTGGAATGTAAAACCGCACCTCAGCTTTGCCAGTTCCTCTGCGATACCCTCTCGTACAATACCGATTCCAAAGAGCGAATCAATACATTCGTAGCAACTCGTATGGGTCGGACCCTGCCTTGTGCCTGTAGCGGATTCGTTTCTATCCCTTCCCCTCCTCACTTCATTTCCCATTTTTCCTCGCTAACTGCTCTCCAACTTGCTTTTCTTCCTTCAAAGTAATAGGTTTATATATATACACCCCTTTCGATACGTTCGTTGCTCATCTTGTTTTCCCCGGTCACACGTACCCCCTCTTAGTACGTCGTGACGTGGCTTTATAGTCCTTTCCTCCGTCACTCCCCCTCCCCCCCCCAAAAAAAAAAAACCGTGCGCATTACACGAAACAACGTTGCACTTCACTTCACATCATCTTATCATCCCTTTTCTCTTTTTGTATTGTGTGTGTTCCTAGTACACGAACGTTTGATTTCATTACTATACTTAGTGTTGTTTTCTCCGTCTCCCGGTCCTTTTCTTTTGGTTGTGGTTGCTGGTGTCGTTTGGGGTACTGCTGTGTGGCTAGCTGACATTGGCGCATCACCATCCTATCACAGCGTCGAGAATCATGCCAAAGTTGGGAGAGCCATGGCTGCCACAGGGCACTGTTGCTGCTCCGGTTCCCGCCGCTGCGGCTGCCTCCACTAAGGCATCGCCGCCACCACAGGCACACCCGCCACCCAACCCTGGTGGTGCGGCGCCGAAAGGCCTGCCCCCCAACGCCGTTCTCATCAAGGTGTCTAAACCCCTCACCTCGCACCCCTCCTCCAACTTCACCTCTGCATCCTCGAGTTCGCCTGCGCTTACCCCTGCCTCTGGTTCTACCGCGAAGGAGGCGGCGGTGGGGCCGCCCACGCCAGTGCCGGTGCCGGCGCAGTCCTGGTACGGAAACCCTTTCACGCTCTCCACCAACACCCCCATGTCAGAATTTCATCGATCCATGCGCGGGAAGGTTTTTTTCTCCCCTCGTGCGGTTCCCGTGGTGGCGTCGGAGCTGCTGTCCCTGCCAGGTGAGAGACCGCCGCAGCTAACTGTGTGTGAAATCGGCAAAGACCTTCTTTACGGCGTGGGCTACCTCTATAACACACCACTCTCCGTGGAGCATCAGTGGCGCGGCCGTGTGGCGCATCTTCTGCGCGTACGCAGCAATCAGGCGCCCATCCCCAACATCGTGCGCCGGCGGGCGGAGGCCGTCGCGGCATCGCAGCAGAAGCAGCACCAGCTGCAACAACAGAAGGGTGGAGGCACCAGAGAGGTCCGGCCAAGCGAGAAGTCGAAAACACCCGCCTCGCCCTCGCCAGCACCACAAGAGGGCGGTGCAGTGGTGCCCATCGATTACGCACACACGATGGTCTACGAGCGTGGCGAGGCCGCCGTGTATGATCGGCCCTGTGACGACCTTCTCATCGGCATCAAACTCTACGTGAACGAAGAGCTCGTGGAAGACCATTACCCCATCGTGAACGCCCTCCCACAGTGCACTGCGACGCTGGCGGTCAAGGAAGCCACGCAGCACTGGAACTGCGTTCCGTTTGTACTGATGGGATACTTAAACCAACTCATGCTGGAGCCCATCTGCATCTACCACGCCTTGTCACTAAACTTTGTCGAACACTTACTGCGCGTCAAGATCCCAGCAAGTGCGGCTCCGGCGAGGGCGCCAAAGACGGCCGTTAAGGCACCAACTCCCAGTGACGCAAAGCCCGTCCCTAAAAAGAAATCTCCACCCTCTGTAGAATTGACCTTGCGGGTGGAGGTGGTGTACGGCTGCCGGGCAGAAGCCTTTTACTGCACCGACTTCATTAGCCGTGGTGCATGCACCCTGCGCATGAGGGAGTCGTCGAAGCGGGCGCTAAAGAACTACGAGGAGAAACTGCGCGCGCTGGTGCGTCTGCGACTGGCGGCACCGCAGCTCATCGCGCGTAGCAGCAGATGTGATTCGCCTCCGCCGCTACCGCCACGCAACTGCAGCGTCTGTGGCCACCCACTGCAGTACCAATGCACGGTCTGCGGAGCCGACGTGTGTGGGATGCCGATGTGCGTGGCAACCACCGTCGTCGGCTACCCACGCGCGTGCACGAAACATGCGTTGCCACTCAACAAACCGGGCTAATGTACGTCGTTAAAGAATGCCGAGGCCTTGCTCTGCGTAGCGGATCGTCTTCGTGCAGGCGCACAAGCACACACACACACACACATTCCATGCGCGCCAGCTGCGGTAGCGACGAGAGTGTAACTGTACGAAATACACAGTACGATTAGGCTGATCTCTCGTTACTATTTATTTCTTTTCTTTGAAGGAAAAGGGTCGCGAGTTGCTACGTTGCAATGCTGAAACTCCCTTACTTTCCTGTTGTTCCTCTTCTGCTCATCTCGCCATGTCTTACGGATCAGAGCGGAACAGCTCATTCAATTAGAGCCGATTTGTGCAAGTCAGAATTCACTTCACTGCGTTTGTGGTGCTGACGGAATGGATGGGCTTGACGTCAAAGTCATGGTGCAAATACTTGTGTGGGGTAGCATGTGAACGTTGGTGTGTTTTGTAAATATGTTCGTCCGAGCTGCAGGAGCATACGCTATAGCAGGGAAAGGCCAATTCGCCTTTTTGTGTGGTGTTGTTGATTCTCTTCTCATGTGCGATGAAGCGCTCGCGGTCTTTGCTTCGCCATTGATCACGTCCATCTCTCCTACCTGCCTCTTTTCTTTTTCTTTTTCTTTTGCGTTCCGTACAACGAGATTTGCTTGACTTGGTCTCTTACCGTATTGCTGTGGTAAGTGGTGTTTTTTTTTTTCTTCTCTCACGGCGGAGAAGACGGAGAGATACAGCTAGTGCATCCCTTGCTCGAATAGCAACGCTCATACACACAAAAAAGCGTTGACAACCCCGCCCATATTATATCAGTCGCCGGGTCGATATATATATAAGCACTGTTAGAGGCCTTTCTCCTTGGCTGCCGAGCTCATTACAATATATCGAGTCTTTTCACTGCCGTAAAACTGGCGAGCCGTGGTTCACGTCTGCTCCCATAACTTTACCGCAAATTCTCCCTCGCAGCCGTGTCGTTCTGCTTTCCTTGCGCTCGAAAGCGCGTCGTTGGCGGCCAACTCAGTCTGTTTACCGCCTTCCGCTGTTGTTGTTTTTGGTCTCCCTCGGTTAGGTGAGTCGCTGGGATTTTTCTCCTGTGTGTGCTTCGCAACGACAGAGAAACACGAAGCGAGTGGGTCGACGACGCGCGGGTGTCCGTAGTCTTCGTTGCGACGGCGGCCCTAGTCTCTTCTCGTCTCCTTTGTACCTTTCGCGGAGGGCAGAACCCAACCCAATCAGCTTTACGGGTGACACTTCGAATCGACGAGAAGACAAACAACAACAATGGAGTCGAGAAAGGATGACTCGGCTGACGCCACACCGACGGCGGAAAGCGCACAGATGGAGAAGGCGCCGGCCAAAGACCCGAATATGTGGAAAAAGGTCGTCATGACCTACGTTTATCGCTTTGTCCCGGTGTCGCGATGGGCCCCTACCCTCACGCCGCGCGTCGCTTTGAGCGACTGCATCTCCGGCTTTATCGTGGGCGTCATGATCGTGCCCACTTCTCTGTCGTGGTCCAGCTTGGCAGGTATTCCGCTGTCGTGCGGTCTCGTCGCCGCTCTCATTGCGTCCTTCAGCTACGGTACATTTGGCCAGTGCGCGTGCCTCTCCGTGGGCCCCGTGGCGGAGATTACCACCTTGTTAATTTCCATCCCCGGCATCCCCTACGCCAACCGGCAGGACGTCTTCCAGAGTCTCGGCGTGCAGGTCGGCATTCTGAGCATGGCGCTGAGCTTCATCGACTGCGGCACCGTCATCAAGACGATCTTCGCAAAGGCGGTGGGGGACGGCTACACGTGCGCTGCTGCCCTGCTCGCGATTGCGGCGCAGCTGAAGGTGATGTTCAACGTCAGCCTGGTGGACAAGGGATACGGCAACTTCATTAACACCGTCATCGCCATGTGGGAGCAGTGGCACGTCTCCTGTCTCTACTGCTTTGCCCTTTTTATGGTGTACTGCACATACCTGATCCAGATTAAGAAGACGAGGCTGCCCTTGTGGATTCCGCACCAGCTGATCGTGGTGGTGGTGTCCATTTTAATCACCAGGGGCTTTCGGCTGGACAAGCAGTGGGGCCTGGCGATTGTGAAGGAGATCCCTGCGTCGTTGAGTCTGCCGCACATCCCGCCCATGAAGAACTTGGTGGAGCTCGGCCCCTACACCCTCACCATCACCGTGATCAGCTTCGTACAGATGTACGTCGTCGCGCAGCGTGTCATGCCGGACATCGACCCCAACACGGAGCTTTTCGCCGGTGGCATTACGAACCTGTTGGTGAATCTCATGTCGGGTATGCCGGTGTCCAACTCCTTCAGCTGCTCCTCCGTGCTGATTGAGCAGAAGGCGCAGACGCCCATGACGGCCTACTCGGCCGGCACGGTGGTGCTCATCACGATTCTCTTTCTCACCCGTCTTGGCGTCTTCTACTACCTGCCCAAGCAGGCGCTGGCGGCGATCGTGGTGGCGAGTGTGTGGCGCCTCGTGAATTTTTCCGGCCCCGCGCAACTCTGGCGCTACAGCCGCAAGGACGCCAGTGTGTGGGTGCTCACGTTCGTTCTCACCGTGATCGGCGGCATTACCATCGGCGTTCTCAGTGGCATCGCTTTTTCGCTGATTTTGGTGGTGCTGCGCATTGCCCGCCCACGAGCCGTGAGCGTCGGCTTCAACATGGAGACCTTCCGCTATGGTGATATCCGCAAAGACCCGGAGCTGCTCGTGTACCCTAACATCTTGATGTGGCGCTTCGACGCCCCCTTGTACTTCATCAACACCACGTACTTCCAGGAGCGGTTGCAGCAGGCCATTGCAGCTGAGGTGCGACCGATTGATGTGGTGTTGGTGACGTGCGGAAAAGTGGTGGACATCGACGCTGCCGCGCTGACCTCTTTGCCCAACATTCTCGATGGTGTCTCGCGGTCTGACCCGACGCGTCCGCGGCGAATTATTCTTACCGACATTCACGGACGACTGGAGAAGGTGTTGCTGGACTCTGCCGCGCTGCCCATCTACGTCCCGGAGGAGTACGACCGACTCACAATTGAGCAGATCACCGCATCGGGCAAATTCCCGGTGGTGTTCAAGAAGCTGGAGGAGGCCATCGCCTTCGCGCAGCGGTGCATTTCGGAGCGCTACGGCAACGTGGATACCGCGCCGTACCCGAACGTGTCTTTCCTGACGGATGTGGTGGTGGAGGCGGCTCGGCTGCCCACCAAAGACGGCGGTGCCTCGTCTCTGCTTACACTGCTGGAGGCGGAAAACGAGAGAAGTGGCGGCGGTGGCACAGCGAAGTCAACAACAGCGACGACGACAACGGCTGCTGCTTCTGCGTGTCGACCACAGAGTCGCACCGCCTCGCGCGACGACACCCGCGAGTCCTTGACGGAAGGTCCGCACATCGTGGTCACCGCCCCGGGGGAGACGCCGCCGCACCGTCCGCTGTCACCACAGCGAGGCGATGCAGACCGAAAGAAGGAAGCCGCCGTTGAGTCGTGGGGACAGGCGGGAGGCAAGATGAGCAGCGCTGCTGCTGCCGCTGTTACCGCTACCGCTGCTACTGCCGCGACGGTCGATCACCGTGACAGCGCTCTTGATACAGCAGAGCAGCAGCAGGAGGAAGAGCGGGACAGTCTGGTGCGCCACCTCGCCACCCTCAAGAAGCTCTCCACTTACTCGCCGGACCGCGAGCTGGTCGGCGTCCTTGGCGTGATTCGGCACAGTGAAGTGACACCCAAGCAGAAGAAGAAGTTGGTCTTCAGCGATCCGGTGCTTATGAGACTTGCGTTTCAGGGCTGCGACGCACGCCGCACGCGACGCAGCGTCGAGGACCTCGGCGAGTTTTTCACGACGGTGGAGCACATGCTGCGGGAGACGGCGATGGCGTCGCCGCAGACGGGCAGGAGTGGCTCCGTGTCCTCCTCGTCGCCGGAGGATACGGCGCTCGGCACGTCCATCAACCTTTCCTTCCGGCACTTCGCGTCCCCGGTGGCAGAGAACTGGGCACGCGTGCTGGCCATCGTGCGGAGTCGTCCTGACGGACTGAAGATTCAAATCAAAGCCCGCTTCAGCACCGGCTCGGGGGCCGGCTCGTTTGTGGGCAGCGGCGCCAGCGAATACACCGGCCGGGTTCCCCACCTCGCTCAACAGTCCGGCACCGGTACGGGAGGGCAGCGGTGGTGGCTGAGCCACGGCACGCGTTCGCCGATGGGCTACAGCAGCGGCAGCGGGGCGGAAGAGGATGAGATGCAGGAACCCGTTGCCGGCCTGCTGGTGGTGAAGTGGGGTGGCGTGCTGACCCGGTCCGGCATCACACAGGCGCAGGTGATGGGGGAGCGTTTGTTCGCGCGTTTCTACGCGGCTGGCGATCTGCCGCTGCGCCGACTCGTGCAGTTCACGCATCACCCCCACGTCACGGCGTCGGATGAAACCCGAGTCGTGAACACCGCCCTCGTCGTGGCGAATGCGCTGACGCAGTCCTCTGGCATCTCCGTCCACCGCTCCGATGTGACGCTGAACGACAAGCTCATCAAAACGCTCGGACCGACAGCGAAGCGGCTGCTCAGAGAGGAGTACAAGTATTTTGAGTCACTGCTGCACATCGAATCGGCGGCGGCGGCTCGTCACTTCTTTCACATTCCTGGCTTTCGTCAGCTGCTGTGGATCCCGCCGCTGGACCGCTCGCTTGCCGCGGCGAACGGTGGGGAAGACAACAGCTTTGACGAGGCGAACGCCGACGGCGGTAAAGTGGATGCTGCGACCGAGACGAGCAGCAACAACACCGAAGATGACGATGGCCGGGTACGCAACAGAGGGCTTGGCAGAGACCACGGTAGCGGCGGCGGCGCTGGTGCAAGTCGGCGCGAAGGTGAGGCGTTGAATCCCCGTAGCTTTGGCCTCCGCGGACCGCAGGACATTAGCTTCACGCACTCGAACCGCACCTTTGGCTTGACGGCGGAGCAGCAGCAGCACCTGAATTACAATGTCCTGCGTCAAGACGAGTTCTACACCCCGTACCAGGTGCTGAAAGAGCTGGAGGAGCTCATGACGACCATGTCCACCATCACGTTCCCTTCTGCGTTTGCAAAGATCCCGCTGAGCAATCACGAAACGCTGCAAGAGGTACAGCAGCGATACGACGCGATGCTGAAAAACTACCTCGGCGCGAAGCGGGGTATTAGCAGCGGCGTCGCCACCGCTGGCCCGCGCAGCAGCAACACCGGGGACATCCGCGGTCATCTTCACGGCGACGGCAACGGAGGCGGCAGCAACAGCAACAACACCACCCGGAACGACAACTTCCCGGCTTCTCCCCTGCGAAACGTGACGGACCTGCATCCTGCAACCTTAGCGGAGAACCAGTTCGTCATGGAGGCGATGGAGGAAACGGGTGGGTCGTCGGAGGACGAGGGAGTCGACAATCAAATCCTCGAAGATGCGGCACTGAGTCAGGGGCCATCGGAGCAGACGACGCCGGGTTCACTGCCGCGTGTGTCGTACACAGCTGCTGCTGACGACGCAGGCGCGGCAGCGGATCGTCCATCCGGGTCCCGCCGCACAACACCCACTAGACAACACCGTGGCGGCGGCAGTGGTGCAGTCCCTGCTACTGCCGCTGCTCGAAGCTCGTACAGCATGACAGAAACTGCCACCGGTCCGATGTGGGCACCGCCGGGCTACAACGGCAATCGCAGCAGCAACAGCAAAGGGAGTCGCAACGCCGCCGGCATCGTCGCCAGCAAGCGGTACGACGTCAGCGACGTGTCGAAGTTGCGCGACTACGGCTCCTACGATATTGCCTACAATATGCCGATGCTGTTGCAGCTGCACAACGCTGCCCCGGACGGTGGCACGGCCTTCCTGTTCCGCAAATTTGCCAGAGCGCTCCAGCGGTTTGCGGACATCACGGAGTACATGTCCCGCATCGGAGAAAACGTGTTGGAAGGGGTGAACAGCAGCAAGCGCTTCATCATTGGCTCGCTTGTCAGCGACGGGCTGCTGAAGCGACTGCATGCCGACTTTCGCGAGCTGGCGATGGCGGACGAAGAACGAGGAGTGCAGGAGCTGCTCGTGAAGGCGCAGGCGCAGTATATGACGGAGAAAGGAGGTGTGGAGCAGGATGTGCGGCACATGATTCGCTTCTTCTCGAACTGTCCGTGTCGGCCAAAGAAGTCGGACGATCTGGTGGGGACGTCTCCGGCAGACGCGTGGAGCAGCGAGACGCAGCAGGAGCGCGAGTTCCGGTTGCGGTTTCCATTCATTTCCCTCCCACGGCCTGATCCGCGGACGCAGTCAGCCGCCACGGACTTTAAAGGCTGCACGCGGCTGTACTTCACCTCTTACTTGCACGTCGAAGGTGTGCTGCAGTGCCTGTTTGAAAGCTCCTCGGTAGAGGGCTTCAGCCGACCCAGCAAGGAGGAAATGGAGGCGACGCACCAGCTCTACATGCGCCACCTCATCTTTAAGATTTTCCGCCGCCGCAACGTGAGTTTCACCGAGGCCGAGGTAGCCCACGCCTTCCGTCACTTGAACCTGCTCTTTCGCTCTGACGTGGAGTACGACAAGCAGCAGCGCGTCCTGCGACGCGGCCTGGCGTCGATCTACCATTCCATGTACTACGTGTCGATGGAGGTTTACCTCTCACTTGGGGATGCCGACGAGGGGCAGACCGGTGAGACGGGCGAATTCCCGCTCTTTCAACGGAGCGACAACGGCGACAATGCTTGGAACGGAGCAGACCGAGGCGGAGGCGACGGGGCAGCGTCGGAAAACGACAGCGCTGCCCCAAGCGCCACGGGCACCGCGGAAGGAAAAGATGAGCGGGAGATGGCCGCCAGGACAAGCAGCCCTCACGGCACGACCCTCAACACGACGGCGCCATCACGTTCTGTGCGCACTGCTTCACCGAATCGCCCCACAAACGCAGCACTCCCCTCTTCGTCCGCCGTGGCAGAGACAAAAACCGGTAGCGAGAACTACTTTTTCATGGCACGGAGTCCCCTCTACACGCCTCGCCCGACCTCCGCCGGCGTCACCACTACCACCGTCCCGTCGAGTGAAGCGACACCTGAGACGACAACGACAACCGCCGTCGCGACGGCAGCGAAGACGGCTCTCGTGTCCCCGCTGTCGTCGATGGCGGTGTACAACACGGCATCTACAACGGGTGCTGCTGCGGCAGACGGCAACGAGAGCGACACGAGTTCCGATTTGGCCGCGCTCAACCGCACGATGCGTCGCACCGCGAGTCTGACCGCTGTGACCAGCGGTTCTCCCGGGACAGCGAAGACGAAGAAGCGCTCCCGCTCAGCAGCGCCAGTGACGAACGTCAAGGATCCCGTGAAGGAGGCGACGGTGCTCGTGACACCGGAGGCGGGTCGACGCACAGCGGTGGTGCAGGAGATGCGCCATCGTGTGTTGAACGTAACGCCGATGCGTCGTGTGCACGAAGGGCTGAGTCTAAGCGACTTCGTCTTGCTGATGAAGGAGGTCGACAGCGCTGTGCGATCGCAGACGACCCTTCCGGCGCATTAAAGGGAGCACGACTATGCAGAGGCGTGTGCGCCTTTTCTCCCCTTTTCTCCCCCTTCCTTTGTCGTTGCTCAAGTTTGTCTAATTGGTATCCTGCAGCCCTTGTTTGGCCAGCATCACCTGTAGATATTTATGTACATCAGCAGTGTTGAGAGGAATAGTCCAGCAAGCTTTGAGCCTCATCTGCTTTTGCTTGTTTTCGAACACATAAACTTCGCGGCACTCTTTGCCCATTCGATACCTAGTGCTTTGCACGGATATATATATATATATATTTCACGTTGCTTCTCCACATGCTCTCTTCTGTGACCCATTTGAACCCAACAAGCAAAGAACCCGGATCGGCAAGCGCTTCCTCCTTCGCAGCAGGTCTAACCTTTAGGATGGATGCAAAGAAGCAATCTCACGGGATGGAATCGTAGCGGCTCCACATGAGTCTTGGTCCGCGTGCACCGATCACCTGAATTCGATTTGTCAGCACTCTCGTCGTACTTTTCCCATCATCGTTTCGATGTTGTCGTCGTTTTTTTTTTCTTTCTTCGCCGCATCAGGAAGAGGCCGCAGTGAGTGGAATGCTGCGAGCTGACGCATACCGTTCTCTTCTTGTGGTTTCGCTTCCTCATCTGTGCTCTCCGTCCTTGTCTCTTCCTTGTGTGTGGTCTCCCACGAAGAAACTCGAAAACGAACTTCCCACAAACACATCGGCGGCGGGAAACCAGTTTTGTATTTCCCCTTTCCGTGCCGGCTGCTGCCTCACCGGCTCTTTGGATAGCAGGCATCTTCGTTATCCACAGCTGTACTTTTCTTTCTTTTTTTTTAAATTGTCTTTCTCTCTCTTGTATTGCTCCTTGATGTTTTACCGCTTATTTGGCAAGCCCAGCAACGCGAAAAGCTCCTCAGGTGCCAACGGCACGGGCGCAGCAGGCAGCGCCGGTGCTCCAGGCAGCACCGCCGTGTCCGCTGCCGGAGCAACCAACAGCACCACTACTGGTGCTGCCACAGGTGAGGTCAACGCGGCGCCTCCATTACACGACACTCCGCTCAGCGAAAGCAGCAGTGCCGGTTCTGGTGGCGTCCGTGGTGGCTGGGATCGGCGCGCGTTCGAGGGCGAGGAGCGTCTGCTGGAACGCCCACGTTGGCCGCGTCGTTACCCCCTTGACCCCGAGATTGATGCGGAACTGCTAGTGCTACTTGCGCAACAGTACTCCATCACCTCCGTCGTTATCACCCACTACCGTGTGAAGGAGAACTACGTTGAGTACGTCATCGAGTGCGTGCGGGGCTACGACGCCTGGCGGGTATACCGTCGCTATCAACAGTTTAAGACGCTCGATCACGACCTGCGCCAGCTGTGCGTAGGCCGTCACGGGTCCAACCACGGCGCGTACGGTGTGGTGCCGGTGCTGCCAGGTAGTCACTGGATGGATGTAACAAATCAAAGCCCTGAGTTGGTAGAGCAGCGTCGGCGTTATCTGGAGATTTACCTCCAGCAGCTTCTGGTGCAGAAGAATCTGTTTTATGTCGCACGCACCGCTCTGTTCGACTTCTTGCACGACGGCGAGGTCCCCACGCACCTGAAGATCACCGGGATCCAGCCTCTGCTGGGGTTAATTAGCACACGCACCAACCAAATCGACTGCGACGACACTGATGAGGCGATCGAGAGAGAACAGCAGCAGCAGCAACGGCCATCAAGTACCGCGCACCGCGAAGGAGAACCTCAGCAGCCTGTCAGTGCACCGCCCGACGCTTTTCAATGCACGTTCCCAGCAGCCCAGTTAGAAGATGCTGGAGCTGAAGGCACCCAGGCGAAAGAAAGCAATAGTGACAATGCCAAAGGAGGGAGCACATCGGCAGCCGAGGGGGAAGGGGCGCAACCCACAGCAAAAGGAGCGCAGAGGACGTGTAGTTCCTCTGCACCAGGGAACACGCAGTCGCCGAACAGGCGAGGCATATCAGCGTCCACTGCGACGTTCTCCAATCTCCGCGCGAGTGGCGAACGCGAGAACCGCGACGAAAACGGTGGTGACGTCCACGACGGCGAAGGCCCGGCAGACAACGTGCGCCCTAAAAAATACCCGCGCACCCTGGCGGACGAGTTTTCCTTTGTCGCCACGGCCGCGCTGCAGATGAGCTTCACAGACGAGCGACTCCCGCCGGCGTCCGCCAACTGCGCGCAGTGCAACGCGGAGTTCACCTCGTTCCTCTACCCGCACCGCTGCTTCTTCTGCCGCGTGCAGTTCTGTACCTCGTGCTTGCAGAAGGTGTCCATGTTGGAAGGTGGTGGTACCGCCCCGGTGTGGGCGGCGCCTCCGGCGAAGGAACGCGTTCCCAGTTCGCCGCAGACAGCCAACGCGTTGGGTGAGGCGCCGAGCGTGGTGGCGCGCAATGTGCTGGCTTGTCGGCAGTGTGCGGAGAACTACAGCCGACGGCTTGACCGCTGCATCACCGCTGCTGGTGGCGGCGCCTATCGCGGTATGCAGTCTACTCTCGGCACTCCGGCCTACGGTGCCACCGGTAGTAGCACAGGTGGCGCCTCTCCGCACACCTCGTTGGCGGCTGCAGCGCCATCCAGTTTGAGCCCGATGACGTGCGTGGGGGAGGAGCAGAGCTCGATGATGCTTCAGAAGCGCGGCACCGGTCCCGGCTCCCCGCAGCGGCGCGGCTCGCCGACCGGCTCCTTCGCCGGCCGTTCTGGCTCTCTGTCTGCCGTCGGCTTCGGCGACTTTCAGCTCCTCACGGTGATTGGTCGAGGCACCTTTGGTAAGGTGCTGAAGGTGCAGCAACGGTCAACCGGCAAGGTGTACGCCATGAAGATTATGAACAAGTCCACCGTCTACAAGCGCTGCATGACGTCGTACATGAAGGAGGAGAAGTCCATCTTGACCACCATGAAGCCGCACCCATACATTGTGCGCTGCTACTACGCCTTCCAGACGGACTACTACCTCGTCTTCATTATGGATTATTTACCGGGTGGAGAGCTGTACGATTACCTTTACCCGAAGTTGCGCCTCACCCCGGAGGCGGCGTGCGTCTACGCGGCGGAACTCGTGCTTGCGCTGGAGCACCTACACCGCCAGGACGTTGTGCACCGAGACCTGAAGCCCGAGAACGTGGTGCTCACGGCGGACGGACACATCTGCCTCACCGACTTCGGCCTTGCCCGACGTGCTTTCTCTCGCAGCCGCCGCCGCAGCTTCGTTGGCAGCCCCGAGTACGTGGCACCGGAGACGATCCAAGGTCAGGTGCAGACGGCTGCGGTGGATTGGTGGGGCTTCGGTATCATGCTCTACGAAATGCTCACGGGTTGCACCCCGTTCCACGCACGCAACAACAATACGGTGTACGACAACGTGCTGCACAAGGAGCTGAAGCTGCCGCTGCTGAAGACCGAGGTGGCGAACGCTGCAGGTGGCGATCAGGTGGTGGCGCCTTCCTTTCCAGGGTTCCCTCGCAGTGCTGCTGCTGCAACGGCGGCCGCGGCGGTTGCCGCAGCCACTACCACCGCGGGGGACACCACAGGCTTCAAGGGCTTCACTGCAGAGGCCGCCTCGTTGCTGTCAGGGCTGCTGGCGCGTGACCCGTCCATGCGTCTGCAAGACGCTGCGGTCATCAAGAAACATCCCTTCTTCCGCACCGTCGACTGGGACGCGCTGCGGCGCAAAGACGTTGGTGCGCCGTGCATCCCCGGCGACCTGCGCGACAACGACGTCCGCCACTTCAAGCGCGAGTTCGTCTCGGAGTGGGCCTCCGTACCACCACTGACGAACATGACGCGTGCCTCGATTGACGCGCTCACCAGGTGTTTTGAGAACTTTCCCCTCTCTCGCACGTCGGACAGCTCCTTGTCGTCGTCCTTCGCGTCCAGCGCGGTGTCCCCGACAGCAGGGCTTTCGCAGCCAGCCAAATCCGGTGCGAATGGAGGCCACCCCGAGATGCGTGTACTATCCCCATCCCTCACCCTCCTGCCTCCATCGGTTCTCTCGGCAGATGGACGGACGCTGCGGGAGCCGGTTCGCTTTGGTGACTCTACCGAAACCGCACTGAAGTGCTTTCACGGAGTCTGGCGCGTCGTGTCGGTCGAGGTGCACGCCCTCAAAGATGGTCGCGTGATCTTCCCTTGGGGTGGCAGTGTTGGGGGGCTGCTCGTGTACAGCTCCGACGCGCGCTTTAGTCTTCAGCTGTCGCCGAATACGCGACGACCCATGGGACCGGTGCAGCGTGTCGGACAGCTCTCGAAGGAGGATTTGTGTGATGCGTACTGCTCCTACGTCGCGAGCTTCGGCCGTTTTCAGATCTTTCCCTCCTCCACGGACGACGGCTGCGGTGTTGTACGGCACCACGCGGAGGGCAACCTTTGCCCGAACTTGATGCTTACCAATACCGTCTTTCAATACCGCATGGACGTGGAGCCCATGTCCAAGTCTACGGAGAGGCCGGGGATGAGCGAGGAGCAGTCCGCGCTAGACGGCAAGAGTGGCTCATTGAACGGTGCGACGGAAGCTGTGCCCAAGTCGGCGCAGGTCCCTGGAAAGTGCGACAGCGACTCTAGCGCTGACGGCCGAGTCACGCACAGAGAGTCTGGTGCGCTGTCTCGGGAGGCCGAAACGACCTTGACGCCGGTGGACAACGCAGAGGCGCAGAGAGGTGCGACGGCGTCCCCGCCCGCCACGCCACCAAAGCGCCGGTATGTTCTTCGCTTGTCGACGCGCCCGCAGCGCGCGTTTGAAGAGGACTTTATGGCCTTTACCTCGCTGGTCTTTGAAAAACTGGAGTGAGTGTTGCTCAAAGTTACTTCGTACACCCATTCATGCTACTTTGATACGGAAGCGCGGTCTAGCAACCGGAGACATCCGTCAGCAGTCACTCTCTCCGATCTCCGTGGAGCGGCTGAGAGAGAGAGAGAGGGAGAGGCTGCGAGACAGGAGTACTGCTATAGTGCACACGGCATTCAATACGTTTCGTCTGTGCCTTTTTTCCGTAGTGTCTTTTCTCTTTTATTTCGCCTTCGCCCAACGATATATAACATGGTGCTATTCGTTATGTTTCCCTTCGTGGTGCTTTCATTTCGCTGCTTTCGAACGTTGCCTTCAGTGCTCTTATTTGCCTTTTGTGCACCCTATTTGTCGCTTGAAATTCTCTTTCTCTCTTTATTATTTTCCTGTTGGAGTGCGCTCAACGTTCACCTTTGCAAAGGACAAAGAAATACCCTCCTTCCCCCCCCCCCCTTAAACCAAGAAAACACGTGTTGCAAACGGCGATGACCACACGTGTTCAACTGTTTCATCGTCGTGCGCTGAAGCGTGTATCATCTCGAGCTCTTTTTTTTTTCTGATTCTCGTTTCAACGTGTACGCAGCATCCACAGTGCATGTTTAAGCCTTACATGCTTTACATGGGTGTCCGAGTCACTCGCCACTGTACTTAGCGACGCCTTTCCGGCGGTATTCGTTCTACTAGTATTTGCCGTGCTTGGATCAATTCGCCGTCTCGCTGAACTTTCTTCTGTGGCTCCTCTGCTTCTCGTGTTCTGTATCGCATCGTTGTTTTGTCGATGGATGCAACGTTCACCTTCGACGACATTTGCACCTTCCCTCTTTCACTATCGTCTCCGCCAGATCCAGCAGCGTATTGCGCCACGGCGTATCCCTTTTCTTTTTTCTTTCCTTCTACTCTTCGTAGAGAGTCGTAGTCCTACCGGGTGCAAAATGCGTCGTCAAATTTCTGTGCAAGGAGAAAAGTACTGCAGCGTGGGCACTCGAAGTAAATTACGGTGCTGCCGTTACCTGGTGCCCACTGTTTTTTCCTCCTCACCGCAAGCTGCGCTGCGGACCTCACGTCGCTCAATTTCCGTAGGTGCACCTCCGCCTTTTTACACCGATGGCCGCGAGGCAGAAGCGCCCTCCGCTGCCCCACCGTCCTTTGCATCCCCTGCCATTCATGCTCAACAAGAAAACCCATGGATGTCGTCAAGTTCCGCCGCACGCGTCGCGGCACCCTTCTCCCCCCAAGAGGTGAAGGCTCTTGTGTTTCCTCTCCTCCCGTGCGTGCCTCGCTCTCCCCCCTCACCAAACAGAAGCACTGGCTTCCTACCGCAATGCATTACCGTCAGTGCGTTGCTGAGACCACTGCCAAAGTCATTGCGAAGCTACATGGAGAAGTATCAACGCTCTCCGTCGTCTGATGGAGAGCTTAAATGTGAAGTCCGCGGCGGAAAACGGGAGACAGGGTCCGTCGAACGGAATGCGTTTGCTGCTACTCTGATGGCGTCTGGCGTCGGTGCTTACCTCGTCGATCACTTTCCAGAGGAAGTAGTTATTTTCATGCCCGGAGGACGCCTGGCACGCAAGGAAGCACCTCCATCAACAACGGCAACGCAAGGAGAAACCTCATCAGCGTCTTCAACAGGTGCGGATGGCAAAACAGCCTCTTGTATGAATGCTGTTTCTGAGAAGAAGACGGAGGACACCTCTTCACCTTCCTCCACCGAGGAAGAAGGCACAACGAATCGCCCCGTCACGGCACCGGAAAAGGCCTCTGAAGGCTCTACTGGCCTTCGTTCTCCCGCTACAGGAACGGCGCCGCCTCCTCCTCCGCAGCCGGTGGGTTCAAGGGAGCGGTATGGCAACATCACCGGCGCCCCTGCCTTCTTTGGCGCGCCATCCGTCGGAACGAGTGGTGGGGCGCCGCTGTCTCCTTCTGCGTCTAGTCTCGATAAGGTGGCGGATGACGTGCGCTCTAACCCCGCTGCGGTGCCACTCCGCTCCACGATCCAAATGATGGATGTTCTGGTGGAGTACATCCCAACTTTCTACACCCCTGTCGACGAGATAGCGCCCATGATGCCCAGTAACATCCAGCAACTTTATGCCGACTCATCCTTTCGCTTTTTCCTGAAGCGCTTCAAGCACTACATCGACATTCGCTCCACCTTCAGCGTCTCCGAGGTGCGTCTCAGATCCACCTTCAATCACCCAAAACGGGGGATGGCAGACGCGCGGTTTCGCACGGGCGGCACGGCGTCGGTGGAGAGCTCGCCGACAGCGAACCAGCTGCGGCGCCCGCCGCGCAACTCGGAGGCAAATCTGATCGGCCTCATCGCCCCACAAGTGCCGAAGGCGTTTACCCCTCTGGCGGAGGTGCTGCAGGAAATCGCGCCCATCGTGTCGCGCCACCCCGCGTTCGACCCCCGTCTCGGCGTGACCGGGATTTTAGGAAAGTACCCGGAGTACTTCCAAGTAGTGGATGGCCGGCTGCGCGCCCGCCCGTACCGCGAGGCGCCAAACTCGCTGCGAGACCTGGACTGTGACTCCTCTCCCCTTCCCGAGATATTTGCAAAGGTGTGGACGTGCGTGGAGGCGGCGGCGGCAGGGAAGGACTACGCCGAGCCGGCGGAGAAAGCTGCAGCGACGGTGTCGACGGGGCGCCTCTACGGCCTCCTCTCCGCGGCTGAAAAGGCAGCGGTGAAACAGAAGTGTCGCTCCTTCCCCACGTTTTTGCGCCTGCACGGCAAGGCGCTCGTCGTCTCGGTGGACAAAATGCGCGTCTACAAGTTTATTCCCGAGCACGAGGCGTGCACGGACACCTTACTCAACGAACGGCTGCGCATGAACTCACTGGACCCGAACGATCCGATTCTTAAAATCCCAGCTGCGATGGCGCCTGAGGCGAACGCGGAGTGGGCGGTGCGCGAGCTCTACGACGCCCTCCCGCTGATGCAGTGTGCAGAGCTCAGTGAGGTGCTCTCTCTTGTACCGCCGGCGGTGCGCGACGCGCTGCCGAAAGCTGTCTCCGACGTGCGACTGTTGCTTGAGCAGTACGGTGACTACTTCGCCATCTGGCCCTATCCGGATGATGAAAGCGTCATTGTCGTGCGACGGGCAAGGGTGGAGGAGCCGGTGCTGGACAAAGCGGAGATCGTGCGCATGGTCGTGCCGCTCATCCCGCAAGGCGGCACGACGCTGACGTCGCTGCGGACACGTGCGCCGTTGGTGCTGCAGCGCTACTTTTACCGCCATGGCACCGTAGCGACGCTGGGTGCGATGAAGGACATGTTTGCCATCGCCGGTGATCGCATTGTGCGCTTGATGTAGCTGCCAAAAAAAAAAAATGGCGAGAAGCCGAAGGGAATTAGCATAAATGTGGGGCGGTGTGTACTGCTTCAGACCGACACACATTGGACACAACGTCGCTGCTTGTCGAACTCACAGAATTGTCGGAAATGATGTACTCCGGTCGTGTTTGGGCGAACCATCATTCAAAATGAAACACCCCTGGTGTAAAAGAAGATGAGGTATACACCGGATACAATCGCCTTTTGTTGTTTTCAGCGTGTGCACACTAAAAGTGTTACTTTACTCTACCCCACACGAACATCAGCACGAAGTCAGCTGGATACCCAAATATCTATATCTATTATGAGAGAGAGAGAGGTGCTACTGGTCGTACAACGTCGTTGCGTGTAGGCTCCAGCCGCTTTTGTTACTACATCGAGAAGTTCAAATGAATTGATGCTTGATGTAGCTCTTCACGTTCGCCCGGACTCCTGCCGAGCACCATCAATACTACTCTTCTATTTTCTTTTTCTGCAACAGTAACTTCTTCTCTATCACCTCTATCATTTGCTTCTTCTTGAAATCAAACTGCTCGCGCAACTTCCATTTGTCTCGAAGTCTCTTCTTGCAATCACTTACTGTAAGAGGCTGGTTGCCGGGGGTTTTCTCTTTTGGTGTTGGTGCTCAATAACAAAAACGCTTTGCCTCACCCAATTTCTCTCCCTATCCTATTTTCTGCTGTTGTTTCGCCAACTCCACTGCTTAACTGGTTTTGTTTTCCTTGCTTTAGAAGCAAGGACTTTGGCGCTAGGTTCTGCTGCCGTTTGCGTCCAGACAGCGAAGCAGTTCCTGTGTAGCGTCCTTCTTGCATTTTTCTTCCTACATGTGTCATAGTACTCTGCCTGTTATTGCTGTTATTGCGGTTCCTAATCGACTTATACGTCCTTTCCGTTGTCTCCTGCATTGTCCTCAACTTCCCCATTTCCAGTCGCTTCCCCACGCGACGGTTCTGCTGTTTGGTTGGCTAGCTGGTCCGCCTTCTCGCTTCTCTTCGATCTCTTTGTGCACACTATTGTACAAGCGCACACTGCGTTTTTTTCGTTGGAGAGAAGGTCCTTCCACCCTGTAGAGGATCTTCGTTGGCTCTATCTCTACCTTTTCCTTCTTTTCCGCAGTCCACGGCTGGTGTGAAATGATTCGCAAGAAGGTGCTCAGCATCGGCAACAACTCCGCGACTCTGCTCGTGCAGGACACGGAGGCGAATGGCGCACTGCGGGTGCTGCGCCGCATTAGTGTTGCCGGCTGGTGCGAGGACGACGTGAAGATGGCGGAGGAGGCGTGCAACGCACTGCGGGGGGCGCGGCTGCGCGGCTTTGTGCCAATTCACGCCGTTCTCGTCCAAAACTCTTTCCTCAGCGTTGTAACGTCCTATGCGCCGGAGGGCGACGTATCCACTTTTCTAGAGGATGAGTTAGATAGCCCGTTGGAGGAGCAGATGGTGTTACGATGGCTGTGCGCCAGCGCCCTGTCCATTCGCGAGATGCAGGCGCACAAACTCTACTTTCCTGGCTTGACGACGGACCGCCTTTTCCTCGACCACCAGACCGGCGGCACGGCGCAAATACTTTTAGGTGTTCCGCTCGCACTCCCAGTTTACATCAACCAAATGCAGGAGCGGCGCAACAACGGCGTGAATGTGAGTTTAGACTATCCGCCCGAGGTGCTGGCACAACCGAAGTGGTCGTTCCACGCGACCGCAACAGATGTCTGGTGCTTAGGGCGTCTCGGCGAGGTGCTGCTGACGGCGAAAGGCACCGGACTCGCACGACGCTCCGGCAGCACGCGGCAGCTCATCGCGCGGATGATGGCGCCCGAGCCGACAAAGCGGCCGTCGATGGAGAGCGTCGCGCAGTCGCTGATTGCCCTCGCAGGAAATGTGAAGTTGGGCCAGCCTCTGTGGCCCGCCAAAAAGGCAAGCACGACGTCCACCACTGCAGCCCCTACGCCAGCAGCCCCACCACCTCCACCAGCCCCGTCGTCGCACCCGCCAACACCGCTGACAACACATCAACCCGTGAGCCTGTCCGCCAGTAACAACAGCGTCTCCAATCCCCCGCCAAGCTCGAGCACGTCATCCCCCCCGCCAGAGGTGCCGACGACCCGCCTACACAATAGCCGAAATAAGTCCGATACGGGAACCCCGGTTCACCAACCCCCACCACCGCCGCCACAGCCACAGGCTCCCGTGCACCGCGACGCCGTTCCCCGTCCCGCGCACGCGCCGGATGATAGCTGGCATCAACGAGCTCAGCACCAGTTCGAGCAGCTGCAGCGCCTCAACGCCAGCCCGCAGAAGGTCCGCAACGATGGCCAGGTCAGCCCACGCGGCCCTAATGCGGACCGGCGACGCATGTCCGTTGAGCGCAAGTCTCCCAGTCCGCGGCGGGGTGTACGCGGCAGCGGTCCTCTCGACCAGAACACACGTATGCTGAACGAGATGTTCGCGGAGCAGGAAGGGTTTTTCCGCGAAGCCAACGGCTCTCGCCCACAGCGGCGCACGGGCCAGAGCGTGGAGGAGCTGCAGCAGCTGCAGGCAGACGCAATGCGGCAGATGAAGCTGGACACGGCGCAGCGCCAGCACGAGATGCGGCGGCACTTTACGGAGTGGCAGCGGCAAAACAACCAGCGCTACACCGAGGCGGACAACGCACTCGTGATGGAACAGGATGGCGTGATGATTTTGGCACCGCGGCCGACACAGCCGCATGCACAACCGTCGATCAGAGCAGCAGCAGCCACACCCTCTCCTCTGCCCTCGGAGAAAACCGGCGACAGCCACTCGACACCCCCGACGACTGTGGCAAGCGAGGACGGGCTCAATGACGCAGCGCAGGCACCGCGGCCGGCTGCCGCAACGCCCGGCCCGCGCAACGCGTCAGCCCGGGGCAGCAACAAACCGTACCCGAAGACACCGCCGGCCGCGTCGCCCCTCCGTCGAGCGACGCCCAAGTCGGCCTCTTCCTCCTCCTTCAACCGCACGAGTGCCAGCGCACCCGGTGGGCTCTCCTCCGCTGCCGTGCCTCTCCGCGGCAGCGCTTCTCCACGCCCGCAGCCCGCACCGCAGCTGAGCTCGGTACCCCCGCACGTCCGCAAGAACAGTGAGTCAAACATTCGCCCAGTCACGTCGTTAACGGACAACGGGGGCAATGGAGAGTGCTCTGCGCGGCTGGACAATGCCGCGACGCGGAGAGGGTACGTCGACTCCTCCATGCACTCTGCGGTGGAGTGGTCTGTGGATGGGATTCGCAGCACCTTGCGCACGCTGCTGCGTAATCGGGACCTCTACGGCGACGTGATGCAAGAAGTGGCTGTTTTTGTGAGCCAAAAGGAAGAGGCCCGTTTGTCTGCCCGAGCGAACGAAGTATTCATGTACCGACTTCGGAAGCTATTACCGGATGACCGACTCTTCTACGGGGCTGCTCCCCTCTGCGGACAGCTTGTTGCGTTGGAAGGTCTCAACCACACGTTGCGCAATTCGGTCGGTGGGCCTACCTCACGTTAGAAAGTAGACGAGAAACAGTGTTTATATATACAATACATCATATTATTTTTATATAGAGAGTGAGGGAGAAGCGCGTTGCTTCACATCAAAGAGGAGAATGGAGACGCAGGCTGCTTTTCCTTTCGTCATTTTCATTCGTTCGTCGGAGGGAAGAAAAAAGCCTCGGCGGTTTCCCTCTCTCCTCTCCACTTTTTTGTTTTTATGTTTTGTTTTTCTTCACTGCGCGCTGCTCATTATCGGTGGTGCGGTAGACACGACGAGCAGCTTCGGCGGCGCTTCGAAGCGTCTCTCTTTTCCCCCTTTACCTTGTAATCTTCACTATTGCACTTTTCTTTTTTGTTGTTGTTGTTCGCGTTTCCGGACAAAGGAAGCGGAGCTGAAAAGTGGCAAGTTGCTTTTGGCCGCTGCGCATTTCGACCTTGTTAAAGGCGAGAAGTGAAAAGTTGCGTTCAGGGGTTTGGTTGCGATGCGATGCATGGTGGTTATTAATGGGTGTCATTGCTAAGTTATGGCCGTGGTAGCGAGTAGAGCGTAGCAGCGTTTCCGTTCTCCCCTCTCTTGGTCACGCCGGAAAAGTTGTGGGATGCAAGTGGATCACGGCTATCAACTTGGGTTCACCAAGAGAACACAAAATATGGCATGCTCGTTCGCGATTTGAGCAAATCGAAAGGGGTTTCCATGCCTTGCTAATTGCTGTACGGGACCTTCTGCACTTTCCTTCTTCTTTCCCTTTCCACACTCTCCTCTTTTGTCGTTGCTTCGTTTTTGCTAACTCATGAGGTATTCTCGTGGTTCCTCCGAAAAGCCAAGAAGCTTTACCTTGGCGCTTCTTCCTCTTCGTAAAAAAAAAAAAAACCAATCTGCGAGACCGTGAAGGTGTTTGTTCTGCTTCCTGAAGTCTATAATTAGCACCAGCATCTGTGCTGCGGAGCAGACATACCTACAGCGGTTTACTTGAAAGCGGCTTTCTTTTCTCTTTCACACTTTACTTACCTGGCGAAATCGGTTTCTCTCCTATTCTTGAAGTAAAAAAAAAAAGAAAGAATTGAAGGAAGAGGAGAAACGCAGTTTTGAAAAGGGTTGCGTTGCGCATGTTTCTTTTCTTTCCGAGTTTTTTGCCTCTTTTTGTTGTTGTTCTCCTTCTTTCTTTGACCTTCTTAAGGGTTGCAAATATATCTGTGGAATAATTCTCATTACCCACGTGATTCGCTTTACGTTCGTTGTTTACGTTTCTGTTCCTCTCTTTATATCGATTAAGCTGAATTCAATTTACACCTATTTATCCGTGTGATTCTCTCTTTGTGTCTCTCGTTCAGCCAGACAACGGCGCTGGGCGAGGTATCGGCGGAATCGTTTTAATAGTTTTCTAATCCGCGGCGCCAGCGTAGCCCCTCTTTTGTTGTTGTCCGTCTTCACTGAGATTGCGCACTCGGGCTCACGTTTTTGACTTTACCCAAAAATAAAAAGGGGAAGGAGAAACAGGATCGAACGAGAAGTGTTACGTCACCGCGTCACGGAATCGGTGCCAAGAATGGGAGGTGCGCCGAGTCGAGAGACGCTGGTGCGCCACATCGTGCGTGACCCGCGCGTGGGGTCGGGTGGTGCATCGTCCACAGGTGACGCATCGGCTAACCTCTCACAGCAGCCGGAAATTGTCCTTATTCCGCTTATTCCAGATTACTTCCCCAGTTCGGCCTCGCCGCTCTTTCAGCAACTGGTACACGTGCGGCGCGAACCGACCGTCTCCTACTACTACCGCGATGCGCGTAGCACCTTCACGGAGCACACCGTCGTGCACAACCACATCAGCTCCGACAAGGAGTTGTACAACTGGTACATGAGCCTGAGCGAGCAGCGACTCATGGAAACGGATAACGAGCTGATTGCGTTGAGTCGCGCCGGCCGCGTTGTGTCGCCAGTGCCGTGCGCGGTGGCGTTTGTGTGCAACGCACAGGTCACCGCGGCGGCGGCGGCAGCAGCAGCAGCGACGGCAAACACGAGTGCGGCCTCCACAGCGTCCCCACCTGACGGTACCGTCGGCCTGAGCAGCAGCTCGAGAAAGAAGGACTCCGCCAAGAGCAGGCAACACCGCCGTGGAAAGCAGGGCGACAGTGGCGTCAGCAACGGTTACATGACGATTGAGAACACGGTTCGTGTGCCACACCACACGCTGCGTGTACGCATTTTCGGTTTTGTGGGAGACACGCGATTTTGTCCTCCCTCGATGCATCCAAACCATGCCGCTAAGTCCCCAATGTGCCTGACCATCTTCCTGTCAAAGAGCACTGGCGGCAATCACCGTACGCAGGTGACGCTGCTGGCCGCCCACACGTACATGACGCAGCTTCAGGAGATCGGCATCTTGCACCACGCTGATAAGAGGCTCCTGCGGCCTCTAGGGACAGCCGCATCCAGTATTGATAGCGGCAATGTTGATGTTCGTTGCACAGAAACGTCCCTCTCACCGGTGCCCTTGGCTGCCGTCTCGACGGCGGATATGGATCCACTCGCTGGGCTTCGCGGTGGCAGTGCAGGTGCCCAGACGCACTTTGCCAAAGCGAACTCGTGCAGCGATCCGTACACGGATCCCTATAGTGCCGAGGAGCACACAGACCCATACGGTGTCGACGGGTACGAGGGACAACACCAGCAGCAGCAACAACCCATTGCCCGCTCGTCACCTTCTGGTGGGTCCAACGTCCCTTTTGAAGGGCTTGGCAGCACGTCGCCGTCCCCTGCGATGGAGGTGGCAAGTGAGGTTATTTTGCGGCGTCCCATCGAGGTGATTGTGCACCGCGCGGATGTCCCCGCCCTCTGCTACGTGCGCGAGTTGCGCGCGCGAATGGACCAGGACGCACGGACAGCGGTCGATAGCCCTGGGACAGCATCAGTCCCGGCTGCTGCATCTACTGCCATCATCGCTGATCGCCTTCACGATAATGAAGAGGAAGTGAAAGGGCGGGTCGATGAGGTTGCACCCACTCGAGGTGGCAAGAGAAAAGGGAGCCGCTCACGCAACGCGCATCCCAACAATGCGGCAATGCGGAATGCGGACGGGACGTCTACGAGACGAGGCGACTCTGCTTCCCATTTGTTGGGAGGGGTCCTTGTGGGTGACGATGACGCACCGCATTCGTTGAAGCGTCTCATCCATACCGTCATCAAGGAGGAGGAGCTCCACGGTTCGATTGATGCGGAGTCGATGGGACGCGTGCTACTGTGGGCCTCCCGCGTCTATCTCGCGCACATTGAGCAGCTCGTCGGCGGGGAGGCGGCAAAGCTGCGGCAGGAACTCGCCCAGCGAAATCTGCGCGAAAATCCTCTCGATGGCACGCTGTTGCTGTCCGAGGACGAGCCGCGGCCACCGAAGACGCTGCCGGTTCCAGGCGATGTGTGGATCACCCCACACGACACCTACGTGGAGGTGCATGCACACATGGACAGCAATCATGGGGGCGAGGTAGGCGATGACACGGCGCGCAGCAGCGACCGTCACCTCCTCCGCCATGCGGCGGAGAACTGGAAAATGGTTTCCGCTGGCACAGTACTGCGTTACGTTGCGGATGGCGCTCGAACTCAAGTGCCCGGCGGCAACGCAGCAGCAACGGCGGAAGAGACCGCCGCGGCAGCTGCGACATCTCGAGGAGCGTGGCTAGTCTCGACGGGCGAGTATGCGGAAGACATTTTGCTTTCCCTGTGCCGCAGCGCGTGCCACGCTTCGCGGCGTGCGCCCCCGACGGACGAGCACTGGCTGCTGAACCGCGAGACGACCCTTCCGGAGGGTCTCACAGCGGGACTTCTCATCTGGCGTGAACCGGCGGCGGGTCAGGTTGTCTACTACGGTACGACTCCCGAGTTCCTAAAGCAGTGGGTGCTGTCCGGTGTGGATGTCGAGGCGGCTTATCGCAACCAAATAAAGAAAGTCCACGGCAGTGGTGATGACATCGTAGGTGGTGGGAAGCATGCAGCGGCGGCCATCAGCACGCAGGAGGAGGAAGGGGATGTATCGCGTTCCGTAGGAGACGGCGCACAGGCGGCGTTAATGCGGCACTCCACCTCCATTGCCGTTACTTCGTCTTCTGACGCCGCCGCGGCGAACACCACCGCCGCGTCTCGGGGCCTTCAAGGCTCCTGCGATGGAAAGTCGCCCGCGAATCGGTCCGGCGTTTCCAGCGGCCCGCATGGAGGCAGCAGCGGCAAGGAGCGCGCGAAGGGCTCCGGCTCGTCGTCGATGGCGCTCTACAGCGTCCACACTGGATTTGTGTGCACACCCGACGAGGAGGCGGCAAAACCGATGAGCTCCTCCTCGACGGGGGCGTTGTCGCCTGCCGGGAACGGCACAGCTGCCACGGCAGTCGACTTGAGCGCAAAGGACGCCGCACAGACTTCCACGCCGCGTGCGGGGTCGCACCACCTCAGCAGCTCCGTGGGCCGCTACGACGAGGCGCGGCTCAGCCACTCTCTGCCGGCGTATCAGCGGTCGACCTTCGCTGTTCCGGTGGCGTCGAGCAGGTCGCTTGTGCGCACGCCGAGCTCCGCCGCGTCGAGCATGTCTAGCCCGTCGCACTCCTACAACAGTTTGAGCAACGTCGGCCAGCCTCTATCTCTGACTGGCGAGAGTCCCAACCTGCGCACCGCCCACCAGCAGGAACACCCCGCGATGGTGAATTTGGCCAATGCTTGTTGGATTGGCCTCCCCGATACAACGTCGCGTGACGGGGCCAACACACCAACGGTGAATGTGGTGGTGAAGCAGCGACGCAGCGTGCGCTTAACGCCAGGCACCTCTCTTCTCGATAACGCCACCGCACCGTGCCATCCGGCGCTCCGCAGTGCACCAACGCAAGGCAGCACGAACAGCCAAAGCAGCAGCTACGTCAGTTCCCTAACGCGAGGAGACGCGCTAAGCTCAGCGTACGCCACGACCACTACACAGCCCATAGCGGAAAGATGTTTCACTTCGGGTACCGCCGCGGCTGGCGTTGGGAAGTCCGCACAGGTGGCGAGGGGATCTCTCCCCATTCACATCTTCGGATCCCGCGACTCGAGCAGCGAGGACCGTTCCTTCCGTCAAGGCGGGCACTCCCCTTCCACACAGGAGCAAAGTCGCTCGCTGCTGCGCGGCGATGACGCGCTCATCTCACCCGCCACTGCGACGCGCACCGACCCCCTCACTCGCCCGCCACCGCGGCAGTCAGCCGCAATGGACATATGTCCTGGCCAGGGTCGTCACCACGTCGGCACCCCGGTGGAGTCGTCGCCGCTGACGTGGGCGACGAGAAGCAGCGCCCAGCCGTCGTCGATGCGCGGTGCCTCGGTGACCTTCGCAAGCGGCTCCGCGCGGCACAGCTCGCTGCTGCACACGTCGCACTACCAGGAGCCGTGCCAGCCAGTGCTGAGCCTCCCGGGGTCCTTCTCGACGTCCGAGCTGCTCGCCAGCAGCGCCTCGTCGGCGGGGTCATTTCCGCGCAAGAAGGAGGCGCTGCGGCCGCCACCGCTGATGTCAGAGGCGGCAATGCTAGCGGTGGATGGCAGGGCTGTCGAGGAGACGAGTGCGCACGTGTCCACGCCTGTGCCGAACGCCCTTGGCACCAATGCGGGGTCGCGCAGGAGCGCATCGGGCGCGCAAGCAAACAGAAGCCTTATCTTTACACCCCCGGTGGCCGCTGCAAAAAGTGATTATGCCCCGATGGAGGCGAGACGCTCGGGGAGCAGCAGCGCACCTCACACGCCGCGGCATGACAACATGAGCGACAGCGAAAAAAGTTCAGTTGGATCGGGCAAGTACCCTTGGGACTGGCGCGGTATCCCGTGGAACTCTTAAAGGCGAGTACTGTGGCAATTGCTTCTGGGCTCTTCATACCTGTTTTGTGTATCTCATCGTCTTCATAGGGGGTTTTGTTGGGCCGCCACCTTTTTCATGTTGATGTTTTTCTTTCCCTTTTTTCTGTTGACGTCGGAGCGCCGGACAAGGGCGTGTGTCCTTTCTCGTTTCCTCAGGGCGCTGTTCTGTTTACCCGTGTTACAGCAATCTCGTGAGTTCTCTTGTTTCGTGTCGTTTTTTAAGCATCACCTTTAAAAAGGGAAAAAATATTTCGTGAGGTCCGTTGTACACACACACACCCGCTGAATCTCCAGCAGAAAATGATTTCTTTTTGTAGTAACTCTGCTTATTCGTATTATTATTATTGGTATTATTTGGGCTTTCGAAAAGTGCATTCGCTTCCACGAAGCAGAAGAAAAGAGAGTTTTCTAAAAAGAAGGGAGAATCGCGCATTGCAGCCTCAATTGGGACGTTGCCCGGCGAAAAGTGTGCGGCATCCAGTTCACTGCTGTTTCTCGATGTGTGTTAACGATGATTTCTCATTATTTCTCTTCTTTGGCGAGAGCCCGTGTGCGGTCGACTGCGCTCGCGGTATCTTCTTCAATGCAGTGTAGTAACCAATCATCGCCAAAGACGTTTCCATCATGGCTTTGTATCAAGTCACCCTTATCGAAGATTTACGAAAGCGCTCACCCTCTTCATCACGACCAAAGGCACGTTCCTTCATGAAGAAGAAAATCAGTGGGATTTAAATTCCTCGAGAAGCGTTCAAATGAATCCGGCAAACTCGTATCCTGACTGCTTATGTGTATGGCGTGGGTAAAACCACAAGGCGTGAAACCGATGCGGGCACAGTCATCGCCAGATACTCACCTCGCTGGGTCGAAGCGGTAAACGTGGAAAGCGGCTAATTTAATGACCCCATTGTGGTTCCATCGTGGAAAAGAGAAATGAAAGGAAGGACACGAACAATTAAGCTGTAATTCTATATTTCACCTTTCTTTCCTTCCTAGCAGTTTTTGCAGTGATCTTGTTGTGAACATTACTGATCGCGCACTTGGCTGCTGCTGCTCTGGCATTAACCTGAACGTAGATACTGCGACTCTCGAGCGTCTCAACAATACGTTCTCGTGGCTGCTTTGAAGGGTGACGATCTTTCTCTCTCCCTTTTCTTCTGTTTTTTACGACAGGCTGCCAGCACGTTGTCTGTTGTGCTTCCTCATGAGCAGTTGTGAGGAAGTGCCACCTGCTAACGGGTGAATGCACATGCATTTCAAACGTGGAAGGTGAAATCCTGCGATGCACCTGAAGCTTTCCCAGCCGGTGGTTTTCGCGATCTGAGGTGTCCATGGGGACATTCGCGCTTCTTTTTTCAAGCCCCGGAGACCTTCTCTACTCCACAAAACTTCTCTCGTTGTTCTTTCAGCTTGCACTCACCTTCGAATCGATTGCGTACGCCGACGCACCCACACAAGTTTTTCTCAGCTTCCTGCTGTTCGTGTATTTCGAGCAACGACTTTCAACCTGAGGGATTCGCCTTGTTGCTCCCCTCTCCCTCCCCCTCTCCCTCCCCCTCTCCATTACTCTTATAGTGCAGATGTCTCTCCAAAGTAGTTCTTTGCCAGCGCCACCATCGGCTGTACCATCAGCGAATGATGAAGCCGCCGCCATTGCAGCAGGTTACGCGCAAGGTCACATCACGGTATATTACAGGGATTGCAAACGGTTGCCTAGCATGCAGTCCGCATCCACAAGCACGTCCATAGGTGCGGATGCTCCGTCCCCCGTGTTCTCGTCACACCGACACGACACCGCTGAGTCTCTGACACAGCTGGGTGACTTTCGTTTCCTGCCCCACCCAACGTACGCGGGACGCAGCGGGAAAACGCTCAACAAGCCACTCTACCTGCACCACTTAATGACGTGAGGAAGGGTGGGTCGCTGCTTCTGCAGAGAGAAAAATCCATTTGTCCTGTTTTTGCGTTTCAGCGCAAAAGCCGTGTTTTGTTTTGTTGTGTTGTGTTTGATGTTTGCAGCGGTCTCACGGTGCTTTCGCGCTGTTACAAAGGAAAGAAGTATATATATATATGTATTGGTTTGGCGCGATGCCGGTGAACATACTCACCGTATTTTTGCAAACACACAAACATCATCAAAAAAAAAAAAATAGAATCGATGAGCGTTCCTCCCACACCATCTGAAGCCATTTGCTTCAGCAAAACGAGCGTGTTGTTTGTCGCGAGAAGGATCTGCACGCACCACCACAGAGCAGGAGTGAAGGTTCTCTCTCTCCCTCTTCTTCGTCTTGTCCCACAAGTCCGCTTCGTTTTCTTGGCGCTTCTACATTCTACTTCTTCTTACCCGTTCTATCTATTTGCCGTTGTGGCTGTTCTTGTCATGATGCTCGTTGGAGGTGGAGAACTTTAGGAACGGGGGATAACGGTTTGGTTGTGCGTGTTTTATCACACGTGCATCATCGTTCAGCTACACTGCTGTAGGAAAGGGAAAAGGCCTTTCTACCAAAAACTCAAGTAAAAAGGAAAACGTTTTCCTTCAATGCAATGAGCTCCCTTTCGACAGCGTCACAGCCGTCATCGCATGGGCGAATGGTGGAGATTGCGGTGCAAGATCCGGAGACCGTGCAGGAACGCGTCTTCCGCTGCGCATTGGAGCCCCTGCGTAGTCACATGCGGTTCTTTGAGCCCATAATCGCGAAACAGATGAGCGAAGTCAAGACGGCTGCTGCTGCGTCGCCGTCGGGCACCACGCCGCCCCTCAAGTTGCGCGCCAAGTGCGATCACCGCACCTTCGAGTGGCTCCTCGATTGGATGAACGGTAAGGCGCCTGCCATGACGATGCGAAACATCGTGAGTGTCACGTTGTCCTCGCACTTTCTGCAGATGCAGGCGCTGGCTGAAGAGTCGCTGCTGTACCTCCGCACAAACCTGTCCACCATTGTTTCCTCCCACATCGACCTGATGGCACTCCCTGTTGATTTGGTGCTGCGGCTGAGTCGTATGGTGCAGGACGGCGACCTCGCAGCCGTGCTGCAGCGCTTGTATGATAGCAAAACCTCTACGCACCCGAATCGCGCCTTCGTCGCCACGGTGCTGCAGCATTACGTGTACTACCTTCTCGGTCTTGAAGGCGAGGGCGACGACGGAGACGACGGTGCAGGTGGGCCGCGCTCCGACAACGCAACGCCTGCGAGCGACAAGAACGCTGCAGAAACACACGATACAGCCAACGCTTGCAGTGGCGAGGCAGGCTTACACCTGAGAAGCTCATCGGGTCTGCGTTGGTGTCGGTTGTGCGCGATGCTTGTTGACCAGGCAGAGATTCAGCGCCTCACCCGTGTTTTTCAGCTCTCCGCACCGGAGTGTCCGGCGCAAACGGCGATGGAAAGCGGGTCTGCACCCTCTACCTCGAACATCTCTCCTTCACCATCGTCCTTTCGGGAAGGTGCGGCAGCAAATAATAACGGTTCCAGGACCAGCAAAGGCAACGGCCGCAACCACAGCCGCACGAAGGATGTGGCGAAAGGAGCAGGCAAACCTCCCACCATCCGATATGTGGGCCCACGCGGAGAGGTCTTCACAACACACGCCGAATCACGGCGTGCGTTGCCGGTTGTGCTCGAGGCGCCGCCGCTTTTAAAGTACGACCCAGCAGCGACGGCGGCCGCCACCACTGCCGCCATGATGCAACTGGAGCGGTGGGCGTGGCGCATCATCGGTGCCATTCGCTACGTCAGTTGTCGACGTTGTTTTCATCTCGTGCCGCTGGTGGAAGTGTCGACTCACCATTGCTCAAACTTGCCGCATAAGTTTGCGTCGCCCGACAACGTCGCTGGTGATGTGGATCACCTTGTGCGTTGGTTTACGTACTGCGCTGAGCAGCGCGTGTACGCGGAGGAGGGCGGCCTCACCCCTCTTCTGTTCAACGGACCTCGCCGTGTGCTGGCGGAGGAGGTGGTGGAGGTGCGTGTGGGAGCCCCGTCGGAATCTGCGTTGTTGCCGTCGAAGTCCGTAAAGAACGGTGGGAGTGGTAGCGATGGAATTGTCAATGGAAACGGTGCCCGCAGCACTGCTGCAGCGGAGAGAGGGGGGAAGGACGTCGCATCGTGGCCCAGCATCGCCGGAGCAGCTTCAAACCAACCCATGTCCTTCTGGGCAAGCCAACCCTTCTATGTGGCGGAGGTGATGGACAAGGGCATCGTTGACATCGATATTCAAAACTACGTGGAGCGGCAGCATCGATTTCAAGTTGAAGCGCAGCAGCGCAAAACCTCTGCGCTTTTCAATCCTCCACACATGCGTCTCGCGAGCTCTCCGATGGCGGGGCAGGGCGCCTCAATGCCGGCGCAGTCTCCTCAGTTTGTTTCCAGCGTGAGTGGTGCGAGCAGCAGCGGTAGCCTCAACCGCGGGAAGGCGAATTTGAAGCCGAGAAGTATGCGAGGCGGCGTTCGAAGCCCTTATGGATTTTGAGCAGCTTTTTGTGGTGCTCGCTGTCGTCTGCAATGACGCCAAACGATGAACTCGATGCGCCTTCTTTCGGATCCATTTTGTTGTTGTTATTTTCGAGTTGTAGATATGCGTGTCGCCATTGTACCTGACATGCACGTGTGATGCTTGCCGCGACGTTGACTGTACTTTTTTTTTCCTTCTTCAATTCCATGCGTTTTGAGCGGCTGAAGCTCGTAGATCACCGCCTTTGACGCCGTCCCTGTATATTCTTAACGCATAAACTATGTATAGGAAGTTTAGAGCCACCGCACGCGCATGGCGTGAAGGAAAGCTCGCACTTGCGTGTACGTCTCTACGTACTACAGATCCAGGAATCCTTGTGGTCTTCATCTTCGAGAACATAAAGGCAAACGAAAGACTCGAAAATGCAGATGCCATCATTTTTGTCGTGCTGCTCAGCTTCCTCGGATTATCAATATAAACTCATTCTCGTCTCTATTCTTCTTTCCCTTTTCACTTCCTTGCGTTGTGGTTCATTCTGTGGTGCATTCTGCCGACTCTGTTCACGCCACAAAGATTTCAAAGAAAACAAAAATGTCTGCGCGTGGGAGTCAGCACATCGTGTGAGACTTCAACTGTACGTAGACATCTCGTGGTGCTCTTGCCTTCCTTTTCCTTTCCCTTTGGTCTTGTTGCTCATCTTTTGTTGGACGGGGAAAACATGATCCACCGTCGGCGCGTCATTTGGCGGCCTTACTGCTCGTTACAGGTGGCTTTACCTCTCGGCAGTGTTCCTGGGTGCGTTCCCCGCCGCCACATCCACGACGCGCCGTGCAACGATCAGGGGAAGCAAACAGCTAGAGGTACAGGAGGCGCACCTCACGACAACCGTAGCGCATTGCTTGCAACCGAAAACGGCACCACAACTCATCGCGGCGAGCCATGGCGTGAGTGGCTTTCAACGGAGCAGTTGCAGCGAATTGACACCCTCACCTACCTGCTTGGCCACTACCCGCTGCCAGGGACGACTACCGCTACCGCTGCGTCTGCCCAGGGAGAGTTAAGGTGGCGCAAGGTGCCGGATGAAGAACCTTCACCGGCATCTTTCTCCTCAACGGCAACGGCGCTACCAGTAGGCAGCAACAGCAGGACAAATCCACCCTTGCGTGTGAACGGACCACTCCGGGCGAAGAAAACGAAGTTGGCCGCCCTTAACGCCCGTGCCCTCCCGCCGAAACTCAGTACAAATGGCGCAGGGGTGAAACGTGAATCTTCCATGTTGCCCTCCCCGCACAGGAAGTCGACGAGCCGGTTGTGGGCTGATAACGCTTCCTCACCACAGCTCTCCTCCTCCACCTTCTCGGTAAGCCCCGTAGAAAAAGGACCGTGTACCGCCGTCGAAGTAGTCGAGCGGCTCGCGCAGCGGTGGCTGCGTACGGATCGCCGAAAGCGGACACGGCAGGTGAAGGCAGATGCCGCGGAAGACGCCGCCTGGCAGGCGCTGCTGCAGCATCCGCCGCACCTCTTCGCAGACGACGCGGCAGTGTACGCGCGCTTTGGAATGGGTGCCTACGTCAGCCCAACTCTACCTGGCTTCACCGGGTTGTTTCGTCAGCAATGGCAGGACTTTCATGTGACAGAGATGGTCATGACTCCTGCCGATTCTACCGCCGGTGCCGACTGCGTGAGCAGCAGTGCCACTTCCCTCTCACCTAATGGTTCGAAGGGAATGTTTTGTGATGCGGTGCCTCTTTCACGACGATTCAACTTTAGCATTCCACCGCTGCCCGACGAATTGCTTTCCGGCGAAGACGAGACTCCTACGCGTGAAAGAGGCGACGGGGCTGGGGAAGAGCCAGATCTGTCCTTTTTTGCCGTGGACGTGAAGCAGCGTATTCAGGAGCTTCGGACGCAAGACGTCCGCGAAAAAGACCGTGCAGCTGTGGCCGAAGTGCTCCTGAAAGAAGAGCAGCGTCGCGCATCGGGTCCTGAAGGGTCTTCATGCAGCGACAGCGAGCACGGAGAGACCGAGACGAGCGTCCCGTCCGAGGCAAACCCGTCAAGAGCTGTTACGGCACGTTTTGCCGCCAGCAGCGCTGATTTCGATGCGGCCGGCGCCGACGGCAGTGGTCGTCACTTCCTGCAGTGCACGCTGCACAAGCAGCACATAGCGCACGGCAATGCGCTAGCGGTTCTCGCGCAGACCCTCCGCCTCCACCCCCGTAGCATCAGCGTCGCCGGAATTAAAGACTACGTCGGCGACACCGTGCAGCGCGTGCGGCTGGAGAACGTTTCCCCCTCCTCCGCCCTCGCGGCCAACAGCCACTTCCGGCAAAAACGACTGAGGATGACGCTTTCGGACTTCTCGTACGAAGCGGCGCCTCTCTTGCCGGGTGACCTCTTCGGCAACCAGTTCCGCGTGGTACTGCGGGATGTGGACGTGCCGAAGGGTGATCTCGCCGACGCCATTGCCGCGTTTGCGGAGAAGGGTTTCCCGAACTACTACGGATGTCAGCGTTTCTCGTGGTTTGCCGGGCGGCAGGACGCGGCCTTCGCGCTGCTGCGCCACAACTGGCTCGCCTTTGCCTTTCTGTTTCTCAACTTCACCGGCAAGGACCGCACTCTGCGCGAGCTGCTGCAGCGGCCAAGGAAGTATCCCCACCCTACCCAGGACGAGTACCGCCGTGGGGTGGTGCGGCGTCTGCGGCAGATCTCGATCGAACCAGCGGATCTCGACGTCGCCCCCTTTCTCTCCTGTCCGCTGCTCAACACCCCCCTCACTCACGTCGACGGCAGGCCATTTGGCGAGGTCGAGGAGTTGATCTGCATGCAGCTTCGGGAGGCGTACTTTGACTTAAACGCGCAGAGCCGCCGTCTGACGGCGCAGCGGTTGTCGAGCTACCTGTGGAACCAAGTCTTGACGCTTCGCCTGCACCACATGGGCGGAGAGAGGGTGCTGGACGGCGACGTCGTCGCGCCAGCTTCTTTTCGCCAGCTTTCAACCGATGTGGACGACAGACAGGACTGGTACCACGTGTTTGGCGACCATGTGACCAGCGAGAACCGTCACCGCTACACCATTGAAGACGTTGTGCATCCCGGCTTTTCCTTCGACGCCATCGCGCTGCCGGACAACGTCATCGGGGCCTACTACGAGCAGATCTGCGGCAAATACGCGCTGGATTGGACGGCGCAGCACTCCCGCTCGGGACTGCGCGACTTCCGCGAGCCGCCGCGGCCGATCATCCGCAAACCGCTGAACCTCTCGCACGCGTACAACGCAGAGACGCGTGTGCTGACGCTGGAGTTCGCGCTCGAGCGCGGGTGCTACGCGAACGTGGCGCTCTCGGAGCTGATGAAGTCGGTGCGGTGCATCGGCTCGGAGGCGGTGACGTTGCTGCCGCTGCCCGATGCGCTGTGGGGCACCTTCGGCGAGGAGGATCCCGGCCACGTCACGACCCTGCAAGACATCTACGAAGGCTACGAGGACGGCGTGGGCTTCATGAACGACGAGGCGCCGGTGGAGCGTGCGAGGGAGTCGGAGACGAAAGTGTGGGATCACGACGGTCCACTTTTCCGTCCTGCCTCGGACGATCCGTACCGGAAGGCACACCGCTGGGGCAGCCAGCACCTCCTGCGCAACTCGGAGCGGCGGGAGAAGGAGGCCGAGGACATGAAGCGGATGCTGTTTGATCGTCCGCTGGCGAAGCAGCTGCGGGAGGGTGAAGTCGACACGTACGCTGGCCACATCGTCCCCCTCCCGCCAAACGCATCGGCGAAGCAAGTGTACGCAAAGGTGATGCGCCGAAAGAAGCGTTACGCGGGCGCACCCAAGTCGGTGACGCGCATGAAACGATCCACGTCGCCGTCGTCGCACCGCCACCGCAGCGGTGGCGCCAAGAAATTGCCCTGCTTTCAGTCGCTCAACAAGAACTCGTGGAACTTTACCTGGTAACGTGGCTGTGGACGTATTCGGAAGGCTCTTTCGAACTAGGAAGCTTTTTGTTTCTGCTTTGGTCACAGCAGTAAGAGCTAACAAGAAACGGTGATTCACGTTTTGCTCTTCGGTGAGCACAAGCGGTGCTCTAACGATGAATGAAACACTGCAAGACCACGAAGAGGTAAACCGTTGCTCCTTGCGCTAGTCTACGTAGCCCACGCTTGTTTCGTGGAGCAAGTCAGTCTTTCCCGCGCTCTCGGACTTAGAGAAAAAGAAACTGCCCGCCTTGCGGATTTGCTCTGCATAGGTGGAATCATTGCGGCCGCACGCGGCGTGTAACAGGCGCTTCGTGAATGTCCTTTCGCAGCAACGTCACTACCTATCTTTGCCTTCTCTCCTTGCCTCCTTCTCGATCTTCGAGGACGCATCGCGCTGAGCAATTCACGATAAATACTTCTAGTTTGTTTGGCTCCGTCGCTTCCGTTGAAGTGCACGCAAGCGTCATAGATTGTTAGCGTGGTGCCCTCCCTTCCCCCCCCCCTCCTCCCCTTGGATGCAGTACGGGAAGGGACTCGCCGTACGCACACCATTAATCAAGAGCACCCCAGAGGATTCTTCTCGTACTTGACGCGGACGACTACATCTTCTTTTCTTCTTTTTCTGGCCAGACACCGCGGCATGTACAGTCCCCCTTTTGCCGACGGCGCCACACAGGCGTGGGGACCCGCGTCGTCGCCATCACCAGCGGCTGCAGTCGGTCGCCATCGCACGCCGCGGGACGACGCCCCCGCGTATGACCCCCTTCTGTGGCAGAGGACGGACAACGCCTACATTTCCACACTGGCGGCACATGTTATGACGCACCAGCCACCGCCCGCACCGGGCTGCGGACCAGCGGAGAGGGGCAAACCGACCAAGCTGTCTCTCCAGAAGTTTCTCTCCTCTTCGTGGGCGCAGTCGCCGGAAGAAGAAGCTGCAGCGCGTCTCAGCAAATTCCACGGCGTCTACAACCGCGTGCCGATGACGATGATCGGTCGCCTGCTGCAATTCGTTTCCGCAAAGCTCTTTCCATGGTGGCACGAGGGTGTGAGTCCGACAGATGTGGCTTCTCTATCCACGAACGAGCTGATTCATCTCATGCAGTTAGCTCTCGCGGCGGGGGAGGTGGAGCGATCAGCGATGCTCGCGCGTGAGCTGTCACGACGAAAGCTGGCGCTGCAGATGCACGCATTTCCCACTCGTCTCCCTGGTGAGACGGACTTCGACGTCCGCAGTGTTAGATCAGCGGCTCCACCCGCGCCTGCTTCTCCGCTGCCACAACCCGTGGGTGCCGCTGACGACCGTGGCTTCCTTCCTCGCCATGAGCAGCGGCAACAGCAGGAGAGTGGATGGCGAATCAATCATGGAGTGACACCTGTTCGTGCCACCTCATGGTCTCAGCAGAGAGGCGACTACGGTGCCTACTTGCATCAAGACGACGTTAAGGTAAGTGGACCCATTGGTGCGGAGCGCACCGCGTCATGGGGCGGTGGGACAGCGCAGCGGCCACCGTCGCCGTCTCCGACGAGATTGTCGGTGAGTACCGAGACGTCGCAATACGTGAGCGACGTTGGCGTGAGCTCGCTGCGCGGGTCTGCGGGCGACTCGGTGTGGCGTAACGACTCGAGGTGGGGCAGCCAATGGGGCCCATCGCCGCCATAAACTCCCTGGTGAGGGGAAATAATTGCGAAGAAGCGTTGCCCTATGTGTGTTTCCCACAACGGAGGCTACTGGAAGGCAGCGTGCGGAGTTTCTGTGGTTGTGTTGTGAGGGTGATGCGGAGAGCTGCAACGGAGAGTCTTTTTTAGTTTCCTTTTCGCTGTACCAGAAGTTGTGTTGGATAATAGGAATCGTGAAGGGAACGTGATTGGCTACTTTGGAGCACTGCTGTGGGACGTGTTTTTACACAGTGGCAGGCACCACACGACAATTTCGTATGCTAGGGGAGGGGCACCATCTATTCTCCGCTTTCTTGATTTGTTCTCCAAGGGATGTGTGTAGGCTCAATGACCTCTTCTCTTCTCTCTCTTCAACGTCTGCCTTTCCGTTGTAGTTGACGCGCACTTCTGCACAGAGAAATCCTCCGCGCCCGCACCGCAACACAATAGAAAATGTGTGGCCGTTTGCCCTTTTTGAATGGACCACCACCAGACTTTTGGTAGATCTTCGCACACACATACAAAGCTACATATACACTCCATAGACGCACAGTTGTTATTCCTATTGTTGCTATTCCTTTTTTTTCCCCCTTTCACTCCGTTCGTAGCACCCTTGATCCTTCTTTGACAATAAGTGTTTTTGCAGTAAGGTGAGATACCTCCATTTTCGTTGATCCGCTGTCTACCGGCTGCTCGTTGCTTATGGGATCACTCCTCAAGGATGTCCTTCTCCGTCACCAGCAGTGGGAAGAGGAGGTGGAGAGACAAAGAAATGTCTCCAACGTACAGGAGACACGAACAGCTCCTACAGGAAACGATGCCGTACCCAAGATCCAAAGCTCCTTGTCGAACCTGTCAGATAGTGACGCTGCTGTCTCCACGGACCTCGCTCATCACGGTGAAGGAACGAAGAATCGAACCCGCCACCGCACGCGGCCCCCCGGTTTGCGTGCGTCGGTCGCCGAGGTGAACGTCAGAGACGACGGTGCTTCTCGTGTGCCCGCAACGGCCTCACCCGCCACAACAGGGGCAGCAGCAGTAGGCTCAGCAACCTCCTTCACAGCCGCAGCGTCGCAGAGCTCTAGTGCGTCCATCACCGTCTCACCCTCTCCATCACTCTCCGCCAGCCTTGCTCTGCCCTTCACCCCTTATCCCGTGCAACAGGAGATGTGCGCCACAGTTGCGAATGTGTTGAAATCCTGCAAGCCGCACGTCGTCCCTGTCGCGATTACGGAGGTGCCAACGGGGTGCGGCAAGACCATGGCACTGCTGTCCGGCGTGCTGCGGTATCAGCAGGAATTGAAGCGCATGACCCCGGGGGAGGCGGCCACCTTTGTGCACGCCCGCAGGCCGCCGTGGCAGCACGCGGCACAGACCCAGAAGAGCAAGAAAAGGGGCGGCAGCAGCGGCAACAAAAACTCCTCGAGAGGCAAAGGACGGGCGGCAACCGATGGACACGCAGCGACGTCTGTGGCCGGGAACGATGCTGGTGGCGACGACAGCGACTCCGACAACACCGAAGATGGGGCCGATGCCGGTTGGACCGTTCCGCGTTCCTTCTTCAAGCAGTTCTCTGTCAACTCTCAGCGGAAGATCCGCGCAGAGCTGGACGTAACCGGCTCGCAGGAGCTGCGCCGACGCTTTCTCCCGCCGCCGTGCACGGTTTACTACGTCACCCGCACGCATGCGCAGCTGCGACAGGCGGTGCGGGAGCTGCGTCACCTGCACGGCGCCTCCGGTGCAATCCGCATGAACATTCTCGGCAGTCGTGAGCACTACTGCATTCATCCTAAGGTGCTCCAGGCAAAGGCAAACCACACCCTCCCCGTCGAAGGCAACAACCTTGGCGAAGTCTGCGACAAGCTGGTGTCGATGGGCCTGTGCGAGATGGCGGAGAAGTGCGACGAGCTGTCCTGCAGCGCCATTGGCGGCGCTATCGGCCACCAGCGCGGACTGATCTGGGACATGGAGGACCTCGTTCTGGAGGGCGCTGCGCGGAATATGTGCCCCTACTACGCCGCGCGTGACTTGGTGTTCTTTGCGGACATCAACTTCTGCACGTATCCATACCTGCTAGATCCGCTGATTCGCCATGAAACGAAAATGGAAGCCGCGCTGAAGAACAACGCCATCGTTGTCTTTGACGAGGCACACAACGTGCCGGCCGTGTGTCAAGATGCGCTGTCGCTGGAGTGTCCGCGTGGTGTACTGGACTTGATTCTCTCAGAACTGGGGCCTCTCCTGTCAAATAGCCATGCCCTTGCTCACCCGGCAGCGACGCCGACTTTAGGGTCGGGCGCAAGTCACAGTGAGGGCGTTGCAACGCTGCAGTACCCGCGCGAGCTGCACCTCGGCTCCTACACGTTGGTGGAAATCTTCTCCTTTCTCCACACCCTTTTCCAGTCCATCAGCGCTTTCGTGGACAAGGTGGCAGGCGCTGAGCGTGCCGGTGCCGCCGCGTATGCGACAACCAGTTCGGTCAGTCACCGTGGCGAAAAGCGTCCTCGGGACACGGGCAGAGAAGGAGGGGCGGATGCAGCGTACATCCAAGGGGCGGTGTTGGAGCATCACCTGCGCAGCGACATGGAAGCCTTTATGCGTACGCTGAACCGACAAGCGGACGCGCGTGGTGGATCGCCTGCGCTGAGTTCTCTAGACCTTTTCCAGCGCTCCTACGGCGTGATCATGTCCCTCGGTGTCACCTTCAACCCTTTTCTTTTTTCCGTATTCGGTCTCTCGATGCTGAAACGGTGGCTGCTGCTGCTGCGATTTTTCCTTCCAAAGTCGTGCGGCTTTGTGCTGAAGGTGCGGAGCGACTCGCCGGCGGAAGGGGCTGCACCGGCCGCGACCTCAACGACAGCACATCGGGAAGAGACGACAGATAGGAGAGGCGGCGATGACCGATCTGGCTCCGCGCGCTGCTCGCTTCCGGTGTCCGGAGGCACCTCTGGCGCGTCTCGTACCGTCGTCGAAGTCCGCTGCCTCGACGGAAGCCTTGCGTTTCACCACCTCCTGCGATCGGTGCACCGCGTCGTGCTCGCGTCTGGCACTCTGGCCCCTTTTACTCAGCTCACACAAGATTTAGGACTCACACCTTCACAGTGGCGGGGGCTTGAAGGGCTGCACGTTGTGCCCGACTCGCAGCACAGGCTCACCGCGCTTACCTGTCTCCCGTCCTCTGCCACCTCGAGCGCCACCGTGCCATTGCGGTGCACTTACGCCTCGCTGTCAGACCCGTCCTTTCTAAAAATTGTAGCACGCTGTGTGGTGCAGCTGGCACTCACGGTGCAGCGGAGCAGCAGCAACGGTGGTGGAGTTCTTTTCTTCGTTCCCAACTACGCGGTGCTGCACAGCCTCGCCAAGATCACGCGAGAGCTGCTCCATATCTCTGCCCAGGAGCGTGGCTGGCAGTCCGACGCACCGCCCATCCCGCTGTTTCTCGAGCCGCGCACGGCAGAGGCGCTTACACAGGTTTTGCGTGAATTTGAGTGCCGCACGCAGGGCCCTTGCGGAGGAACAGCACTCCTCTTCTCCGTCTACCGCGGAAAGGTGAGCGAAGGCATCGACTTCACCGATAACATGGCGCGACTCGTCATCTGCCTTGGTGTCCCGCTACAGCCGCTCAAGTCATGGAAAGTGGCCGCGCAGCGTGTGTTCAGCGGCCCTGCGTGGTACACGTCGGATGCCGTGCGGGCAGTCAATCAGGCGCTGGGCCGTTGCCTGCGGCACGCTCGCGATTACGGCGCGGTGGTGCTGCTGGACGAGCGTTACGCGCAGGCAGAGTATCAGCAGCGGCTGTCCCGGTGGTGCCGCGCCACGTTACAGACGGAATCGTCGCTGGCAAACCTCTGCCACGAGTTGCAGGGAGCGTTTACGCAATGGCGTTGGGAACTGGAGACGCCGTTGCTGATGCCGAGCGCCGCAGGTGTTGCGGAGGGTGGCCCGAAAGGAGCCGAGGTTGGCGAGGACGGGATAGAGCTGGGCGACACAGCCTCAGCATCCGCCGCGTCTTCTTCTGCGCTCGCCTCGGCGCGTGGCTTGGAGCTGGATGCACAGCTGACCCAATCGCAGGCGCGAGGAGGTGATGGCGCGAGAGTGCGTCTCGGAACCGATCAGCTGCCGTTTCAGCTTGTGCGACGCACTGCGCAGCATTGCAGGCACCACGCAACAGAGAACGCTACGCCGTATAGCGCAAACGACGTTCATGCAGACCGCTTCGGCAACGGTAGCACTACGATTGACTCAAAAGCGGCAGGTGCGGTAAGGACAGAAGCGGTGGCCGGTGAGGGACTTCTTCATTCACCTTTTGCGTGCACAGCCGTTAAACTGCTTTACGAGACGGCCTGCTCCACAGGCGATGTCTCGAGGCGGGACCTGCACGCCGCCATCGCCCTTCTTGCGGAGAGTTTTCTGGTCGACGACGTGGAGAGCAGTAGTCAGGAGTGAAGCTGTCTTGTCACGACGATGTCACGCCCTTTCACGCGTTTATATTATTCTTCCACTACGGAGAGCCGAGAGGGCATGCAACGTTGAGGGAAAAGCGAATGCATCGCTGCTTCAAGTAGCAGCCGTGCAAACAGAAAAGATAACGGGCACTGCTGCGTTTTTGAGAAGTTTGTTCCTCGTCTGCATCTGACTTGGCTTTTGCCGTTCCGCGTTGGTCTTACGGATTGAGCATGTCGCGTTGCTCTTCTTTTTCTAAGTCTTCCCTGCACCACCTTGCATGGCTTTGCGAGCGCTATGGAAAATCAACACCAACGTCCCAACCCAAAACTCTTCTCTCGTTTCCTCTCGATGGCTTCGACAGCGTCAATAAAGTGTAGGATAGCAATTTAGTAATAGCTGGCCTAATGAGGCTTTCTTGGCAACACATCTGCTGCAAAGGATAGAGGAGGGAAGAGGAATGAAGAGGAGAGGAAGCGGTTGACAAAACGCTGCTTCGCAGCATCAGGGAAGTACGTGGGCGGCGTTTAAGGGGCGCTAGTGGGGCGGAACCTCGATTGTGTTCGCCCTCAAACGGACGGCACACGCGCATGCTACTTCGTCACTCCCGACGGTCGCACTTCATCCGCTGCAAGATTTACGGTGGCATGACACCGACTCCCCCATAGTACTCCACCTGTCCGCTCCCTTACGGTGCCCGCCGTCCTGCACTTCTGCCTTTCCTTCACAGAGCGGAGAGAAGCGTGTTGCAGAGCAAAGTCAAGGCCACATCGTTTACGGCCGTGCGAGCCGGGCTCCCACACTGCCGCGGCTCGCAATCCCCAAAGTTCCTCGACAACGTATCCGCGGGGTTCATTGGTCCGGCGATGCAGAAAAAGACAACGCTGATCCCTCGTTCGTAGAACACGTCATAGGCGTACTCGTACAGTTTGTTCAGAGACAGCCCTCGGCCTATCCCTCCGAAACCGTTGAGTTGCTTTTGGGCGTGTAAAATGGGAAAACGGACCGTTACCAGCGCTACCTTCGCACCGTCCGGTAAACCTTCCGCGACGAGTTGCCGCAGCATCAACTAAGCTGCGCGCGGTTCAGCGTGCGCCGAGTGCTTTGCCATGAAATACGGTCGATCGTCGGTTTCCGCGGAGTCGCGGCCCCGAAGGGGTGCACGTGCCCGTGGCCACCGTGTCTGCTCGAGCTCATTCACCCAAATCTGCTGATATGCGGTGATGCTCTCAGCGTCATCGAGTGGTCCGACGGAGCCTGCCTCCCTTGACGTGTTGCGCAGGTGTTTGTGGGCGTACGCGCCCCACCCGCCTAAGGAGGCATCCGTGAAGCACACCACGTCGTAGTCGTCTTCCGAGTACGTGGCGGAGCGTTCCCTGGCGATGGGTTGCCACGGGTTGTGCACCAAGGGGGCTCCAAGCTCGTGCAGGGTTGATCAGTGTGGTGTGCAACATGTAAAACATGAGCGACACAACCGACGCAAAGGACCGAATTGTGAAGGCGGGCTTTCGTAACGCGACGATCAACTTCGCCACACTCTTCGCCGAGTTGCGCACTAAGCGCTCGCTACCGTTCCACCTATACTCTTCCCCGAGAAAGGTGTTCGGTTCCTTAGCCAACGACAACAATGACGCGTCGTCCATGGTTGCCAAGGATTCGCGATCGGGCGATGTGAGAAGGTTGGCGCCGCGTATACGCGCCATAATCCTGCGGACAGCCGACAAAAAGTCCTCTTCCTGTCCTTCGTCCGCTGCAATCAAGATATTGTCAATCATAGTCATGATCGTTACTGGTGTATCGACGTCGACTATTGTTGACGTAATACCCTGACCCACTGCGACACTCCACCGTGCTTCTGTAGGCAGCGTGCAGAGACGGAAGTAGGCGCCGTTGCGGGCGCGAAAGACAAAGAAGTTTCGCAACTCACCAGGGAGCGGGGTGGCGTCATAGTACGCTTCGAAATCCACTTGAAGCATGTACCGCTTGTTCCGCAAACTCTGCCTTCGCTCTAGGCGCGTTGGGTACTGGACTTTCGGCATGTCGCTCGTCTGGAGGCACGCGTTTAGGTGCGGTTCGGTGATGAGTCGTCTCCTGCCCTTCATTTCCGGTACTGCGAAAACGTTAACGCCGTGTACTCCTTCTGGGAGGTGCTTACCCTCGATGTTGTCGGCTGCGGGGCACAGTTCCATCTTCCCCATCTCCACTGCTCGGTCGATATCTGCCATCGGCAAGTGGCATTTCTTAATTGTCCTCGATGTCCTAAAGCCGGTGAAGTGCTCAGGCGTGAAAAACATCCCCACTCGTCCGAGGAAAGCCCGTGTTTCTGGCTTGGTAGTTGTCATGTCGCAAACTGCGTTCCAGTTCAGCGGAGTTGTCTTCTTGAGGTGTAGCGGCCATTGTCCTGGTGGAGGTAACGGCGGTGCGTTGTGGGCGCCCTTGAGGCGCTGAATCTCTCGATATACCTCCGTGGGGTCGACAGCTAAGTCTTGCGTTGTAGGTGCGGTTAGGCCGAACTGTTCAGTTCGTAAAGGGCCGCGCTGGCGTTGGCCTGCGCGGTTGCGGCCTCCGTCGTGAGTTGGTGGCCATAGCCCAGGTACCTGTGGAGTGTGTCGGCGCGTCGGTGACCTGACATGATCATCAGTTCGTGCTCTGCCATTCCGTTCGCCGCCATGCAGCGTAGCGCGCCCTTGCGTACTGACGGTAGTGCTGCCAAAGGGTTCTCGCGGCGCAGGGCCGTGCGGATGGTGTCGGTGATTTCGGTCGGTCGAGCAAACAGGTGCTGCGTAGGTCGCCGGCTGCGGAGGAGGTGCGCGAGAATCAGCGCCGATTCGCGCGGCAGGGTTGACGGAACAGAATACGGCCCTCGGAACCGTGCCCCTTTGCCGCGTCTCATTGTCAGGACTACGCCATACCGATCTGGCCATATTGTCACACCTCCGTCCACAAATGGTGGCGGTTCCTCCCCCGTGAAGCGTACATCCCTGCACTGCAGAGTCCGTAAATCGCCCGCGCGAGCCGCAAATGCCCACATCATTTCGAGGAACAGAGAAGCTTCCTGATCGCGCTGCCGTAGTGAGTTCCGTTGCGCCGCGTCCTTTTGTTCCTGAGTGATAGGGGACGGCGGAGCCGCGACACTCTCCCGGTCGAAACGCTGCGCGGCGGCCACTGTCTTCTGCCATTCCGGGTAGCGGTTGAGATGTATCGGTTCGCGTTGATTGGTGTAGAGGGGCAGTTGTTGCAGCGCACCACTGACGGACGCCAGGGCCTTCGCGGTGGTCGACCATTTCCATTGTCTTGTCACCGCGATGCGGCGTACAAACTCTACCACTGCCGCAGCCAAATTGCGCCTGCTCAGTAGGTCGGCCGGTAGTGCGCGCAGCTCGTACAGCCACCGCCGGTGTACTGCCCGCGTACCTTCTGATACGGCGGACCAGGCCATTTGGCTGATGTGCGGGGGCTTCCCTGGGTGGATATACCACGTTCTCGGGCAGGCCGGACCCCCAGGTAGCAGCCCGCCCCTGTCGTTTAAAATGACGTCAAACACGCTTGCAAAAACCTGGACCAGCGTGGTGATAATCAACGTTACACGGTAGCTCTGCTTCGAGAAGACGCGCGAGAACATGTACACACCTAAGAGACCGGCAACGTTGCCGATGACCGCGCCGACGGTGTTGTAGAACGTCTGCGAGAAGTGGGGGCCATCAGGAAGACAGTCTGCGTCTGCCATGTAGAAGTTGTCCGTCGCACCGGTGATAATGATGTAGGACCCACATCATTTGACTTCGTTTTTCGACTCAGCATCACAGAGACACATGCACACACACACACAATGGACGATGTCAAAATGCAGTGGGTGGAGTGCCCTTTGCTCGATGACGACGGCAGCGCTCTCCACCCGCCCTCCTGCAGCGATGATGAGGACGAAGATCACGTGGTGGATCGCCTGAACCGGCGTGAGGGCCACTGCGCCACAGTTCTGACGTCTTCGGCCGATGGCGGCGTACAGTCATCGTTGTCGTCGTGGATTGTGGTGTGCGGGGGGTACACAAAAGGCGTCGTTTCTGCGGTGCCCCTCGTGGCGCCCGCGTCGCTACTCCCCGCCCTGCAATGGAGAGAGCTGCCGATAGTGGACGTGTTTGAGCGCGATGGGGCGTCTCTTACGACTGTAGAAATTGCGCTGTGTGTCGCGGGAGCACAGCATGACACCGCGATGGGCAACGCATCGACGGCGTACCTGTTTGGCGGGTTTGACGGTGACATGAACCTGTGCAATGCGCTTTACGCCGTTACTCTGTGCGGCGAGGGAGATGAAACGGGGATCTGGACGCCGACTACGATTGGTGTGAGGGAAGTGACGACCACTGGCGATGTGCCCACTCCGCGTGCACGCCACGGTGCGGGCGGGCGTGACGGCCGGCTCTTCCTCTTTGGCGGCGAGACCGCCACGCAGGAGCAGACAAACGACCTGTACGTGTGCGACGTGCGCACCGGGGTGTGGCGTGCCCTCACCGCGTCGTCAGTCTGCCCCGCACCTCGACTCCTTTCCCTCAGCTTGGTCTTCACCTCTCCCACCACGTTTGTCGTGTACGGCGGCGCTCACTTTGTGGAAGGGGCCGTGCAGAGCTTCGCGGATGTCTGGAAGTGCGACATCGACACGGAGGCGTGGACACCGGTTGCGGTGGTGGCCGGCGAGGAGCGGGACCTTCTGCCGCACTCAAACGGACACGCTGGCGGTGCCGTTGTCTTGCCTTCAGCGCCGCGCCGCACCTGCGCGGTGTTTGTGGGAGGTAAGAACGTCGCTGAGGGCGACGATCGCGTGCGGATGATTGGCTTTTCGCCCCACGACGGCAGTGGTGAGGTGCGCGTGCGAGCTGCTTTGCCGGCGGTCGACACTGGAAGCTTTCCGCACTGGCGCTACACACCAGCTGTCGTGGCCACGCCAAAAGGGCTTTTGCTGCTTGCAGGGCAATGCCGCCATGCGCAGGTGCCATCCAGCTTTCTCCTCACCTTTGCGTGAGAGGAACGCCGCCTTTCCATAGCGAGCGCCTTTTGCCGCACCCGTGAGGTCTCTCTTTCTCTCTTTTTTTTTTCTCTCTCCTGTTGTGCACGCATGGCATCGCTTCACTTTGCTGTCCTGTTGCACGTGCGCTTTTGTGCTGAAAGCGTTAGATGTTTCTCTGAAGCCCGTCGTGCGCACGAAGCGGAAAACCCCATCTTTGCGTCTCGTTCCCCCATCTTTGGGTCTGCCGGAGCGTTCGTCCATGCAGGTCGAATTCTTTGCGAGTCACCGTTCTCTCTCTCTCCTTTCTTCTCTCCTGTTTTGTTTTATCCCGGTGGCGTTGTGTTCCATAAACGAGCACAACCGCCAAAGTTTTTTTTGTGGTTTCCACGTTACGCTTTTCATTGGTTCTTTCGACCTCAACTTCGACGCATCAGGCGTGGTGAGTTCTTCTTCCCTTTCGTCGTTTCCTCCTGCGTCGCCTCAACTTTTTCCTTCTCCTTTCCGCCGCAACGGCATCCAAAAAAACACTGTTTACAACACAGCACTAACACATATACACCGTAGTTGCAATGCTCCGCCGTCGAAGCCCTTTGCTGCAAGCAAGCAAGAAACTTTCGCCGCAGTTAGTCGTCGATTCGCTCAAGAGGCGCGGCACGGGAGCCTTCTTTGGCTGCCCTGACTATCATCTGCGCCACCTCACCGCTTACCTGTCTGACCACACCAACACGGGGGAGTACGTTACGGCAACGAACAGCGGTAATGCCATGGCCATGGCGGCGGGCCACTACCTGTCCACACTGCGCACCCCCTGCGTGCTCATGCAAAATGGCGGACTGGGTGACGCGATGAACCCGGTGCTCACGCTTTTTAACCAGGATGCGTATCGTCTGCCTTGCCTCATGCTCATCAGCTGGCGCGGCAAGCCAGAGACGAGCGACGAGGAGGCGATGCCTGGGTTGGTGGCGCAGGGCCGCATGACGGAGCACTGCCTTACCGCCGTGGACATCCCTTTCTCCATCATCGGCGACAGCGCTGACATCGAAATGAACTGGGACGTGGTGATGGACAAAGCGTACTATCACATGAGCAACGAGAAAACGCCCTTTGCGATTCTCGTTGAGCCCGACACGTTGGAAGAGTACACGCCGCACCGGCCCGACGCCGATCCGCTGCCGCCGGCGCCACTGGAGCTCGACAACGTCGTCGATCAGGTCTGCCGGCAGTTTAACGCGACGGACGCGTTTGTGTGCGGCTGCGGCAGCGTGCAGGCCGCCCTCCGTCGAGCTCGCGGCCAACGTGCCGAGGCGGCGTCTGCCGGTGCGTCGCAGGATTTCCTGCTCGCGGACTCGGTCGGCCACACGTGCGGGGTGGCGGTGGGCGTCGCCGTGTCGCGGCCTGGGCAACAAGTCGTGTGCCTCGAAGGCGACGGCGCGGCACTCACGCACCTGAATGGGATGGCGACAGTGGGGGGTCTCAACGCGCTGAAGGACGCCAAAACGGGCGCGGGTCTGCTGCGCAACTTGAAGCACATCGTGGTAAACGATGGCGTCTACGCGTCAGCAGGGGGCCAGTCCACGGCCGCCTTGGACGTCTCGCTGACCGGCGTCGCCACGGCGTGCGGCTACTTTGCGGTGCGGGATGAGCCGGTTGTGGAGCTAGGCGACCTCGTGTCTGCCCTCGCCGAACTGCGCCAGTGCGACGGCCCTGCGTTTCTCGAGGTGGTGGTGAACAAATCACCCACAGCGAGACCGAAGGCGGAGGCGAGGCGCGATTTGCTGCTCGAAAAGCAGTCGTTCGCGGACTTTATGATGCGATCGAGGCCGTGAGGACGCGTGACTTCTTTGGTGACACATCCATGAAGCGTGAGAGGCGAAAGAGGTGTGGGTGTGTCCGATGTAAGGAGCAACGGCCTGGGCTTGGGGTCATTCTGGCTGATGCTGGATGAGTGGGGAGAAGCGAAGCAAGAGCGAGGAGTGAAGGGAATTGTGGAGCGTAGCAATCACACGTGCATCTTCTTGTTTTTGTTTTCCTTTAGGGGGGAGAGGCAGGGTGCGCTCGGGTTGTACGGCTTCCCTTTTGAGTGGCAGAGAGCGGGTGAAGGGCGCTGCTGAGCGTTGTCCACCCCAAAAGCCACCTACGCACAATAGGCTGTCTCGCACTATGCGGTAGCGGCCGTGTAAGGCGACAGCTTTCACGCACCTGTCTTGTGTAGGTGGTTGCCGTGACGTGTGTGCGAGGGGAGAAGCCGACGACGACGGTCCTCCCCTTCGCGGTGAGATCGATTTCGGTTCCTTTTTTTATACTTTTGCTCCGTTCTGCTCCTTGGGTTAGTCATGTGAAGTTGAAGACAAAGGATGCACTTTTCACCTTACGGCGAGACAAATCAAAATGAGAGCTTTTCGTGTCGATGCCGCCGCACAAACAACGCGGCACCGGGCGGTGCGGCGCTTTGGTTACCGATGGGCGCGTCCTTTTTTTCCCTCATTCTTTTATTGATGGTCTTTGCCTTTGCTCTCTTTTTAGATGCTCCCGTACGTTCCTCGCATCCTCCGCTCTCCTCGCTGACTTTTCTCTTCTCTTCTCCCCTCTTTCCACGTGATGGACGGAGCAAACGAGCTGTTGCCTTCCTTCGCAGCGCACGCTCCCCCGCCTGCGCATTCCCAACGCCCCCTTTCCCTTCTACCTCTTCTCGGGACGCGCGTACAACACACTCAACCTTCAATTCTCACAGCAGAGTCAAACTGTGCGGGAGGCACGCTTGAGCTCTACCAACGAGAACACGCACTGCTGTCAGCCCACAGGCAAGGGGACTCTTTCATCGTTTTCCATCTTCGTGTTTTCTTTCTCTGCTCAAACGGTACTGGACGCATGCTACTCGTCTCAAAGGCGGTTCTGAAAAGGGGAAGAGTTTTTACTGGTTGAATCGTGGGGACCCTCACCACGACGGAATTCATTTTATTCGAGTGCCTTTCACATGAAGTTGCCCCGACCCGGTGTTCTTTTTTTTCCCCGCCGACTGCGTTAAGGATGGCGCTGCGGTTGCCGCGGGTTCTGCGCACCACCCTCCGGCGACGTTGGGGACTTCGTTTCATCCGGCGCATTTTCCCCGGCAGACGTTGACGTTCCTCCCTCGTGGACGACTTCGTCGCGCTCGTGCGGCGGCTCCTCCTGCGCAGGAGCAGAGGAGGACGCCGCTGGTGGCGGATGCAACGGCCGATCGCCCCGCCGCGCTAAGATCGGCCCCTCCGCACGCAGTGCGCGTCGTGCCCACCGCTTCACACTCGTCTCTGTCGCCTCCGGCCACTGCGCGCCCCACGACTGCATGCTGAGCACCACATCGCGAAAGGACATGGTGGTCGATGATGGCTGCATGCCAGAAAGGTGCGCGGGGCGTGGTGGCGGCTGTGAGGTGTTGTAGGGGTCCAAATCCTCTCTGCGCGGCAGGCCGCCGTACGGGTCGTACACGAACGGCAACGACTCCACCGGGACCTGTCGTGGCCTGATGTAGCGACTGCGGTCCAGCATCGGCGGTGGCGGCGGCTGGGAGGCCGAGAAGGGCGGCGGTGGAGGCGGCGGCGGCGGCGGCGGCGGAAAGACGGAGGGAGGAAAGGCTGACGGCGGAAAGGGTTGCGGGGCGTCTCCGCCAAAGTTTCCTCTGCCTCGTCGCCGCGGTCGGTTGTTGTTTTGCCGGTCGTTTCTCCTCATGTTGACGTGCGCGTACGTGCGGTGCAGCTTCCAAAATTAGAAGCCGCAGAGCCAAAGAAGACGAAGAAGAGAAAAGTCAGCGGGACACTGTGTGCGTAGCGGAAGCAGCAGCTAGCGTGGTGCGAGCGGTAGGTGCGAAACGAACAGCACAGGCAGCGCAGAAAGCACGTGGGAGGCAACGGAAAGAAAAACAGTACTAGTAACGGCGGGCACAACTTTAGCTGAACTACTTCCGATACCGCCGCACCCTTGCGTTCGCGAAGTGCACAGAGACCCAAATGACCAGAGGGAGAAGGAGGGGGGGGGGGAATATATACGAAAGAAATTGCTTGTGCAGCCTTTCCAGCACACGTTCTGTAATACGTTTGCGCCTTACCGAGATTGATAGAGGTACAGAAAGAAAAGCGCACGACAACGCAGCACCCGTGAATCGTTAGGGAGTGGCAACGGCGTGAGGAGGAAACAAGGAAAACGAAAAGATGAAACAACGGAGTGGAATCTAAGAAGCGCACGTAATTCACAACACGGAGAAAATAATAATAATAAAAGATGATGTAAGGTGGAATTAATTGGTACGCTGATGATGCGCCCACCGAGAGTTAGGGAAGAGACGGATAAGAAACGGCAGGAAACAACAACAAGAAAAAAGAGAGACGAACTTTGACACAACGCAAGTAACGGTGGTGAAGTCTGTGAAGAGGGGATGTGAGAGAAAAACGGGTTAATGAACGGAAACCGAAGACAAAGTGAAGGAGGTGTAATGCTGCGGTGCGCGCTTCAGTTGTCTACGTACGTCCAACGGACACACACACGCACACGCAAAAAGAAAAAGCAATAATGTGATGGATTAACCGGAAGGTTCTGTCTGTGAACAGCTGCTACCGTTGATTTGTCTAAGAAGCGGCAGGTGGTCGAAGAGTAACGCAAGAGAAACCGAGAAAAACGAAGGACTTTCTTTCTCTCTTCCTCTGGAAACCCCAAGTTTGACGAAACACGTAGAGTGAAAACAACTGTGCCAGTAAACACGCAACGGTAAATAAAGAGGCGAACGAAAGGGAAAAGATGAGAGGAAATACATGTCCAAGAATTGTGCAGCAACGATGTCCTCTCAGCTAAAAGGTAGCGGACATTACTTCCTGCTGCTGTGCACTACGTGGCACCTAATGGGAGATGAGCTCATTAAAAGCAGCAGCCGCTCCTACCCCTACGATCCATCGGAGACGCACTGATGCTAGAGTTACCTCGCAGAGAGCAGATTCACGCGTGTGGGTGTGCGAAATCACACTTCCAAGAATTTCTGTTTGTTGTTGCTGTTTTCTTTCGTTATTCACCTCGGTTGTGCGGCCAGCTGGTCCGCGGCCACCCGCCTACTTGGCGGGCCAGGCCCTGCCTCTAGCTGCGCCCGCGACCGCTAGCCGGGTTTGCGACCGCTGCTCGGGCTCGCGATCGCTCCTCCGCCAGCTGGCCCGCGGTCCTCCGCCTGCTCGGCGGGCCAGGCCCTGCCTCTAGCTGCGCCCGCGACCGCTAGCCGGGTTTGCGATCGCTGTTCGGGTTCGCGATCGCTCCTCCGCCAGCTGGCCCGCGGTCCTCCGCCTACTCGGCGGGCCAGGCCCTGCCATGAGACGGGTTTCCGATCGCTACTCGGCCGGATGTCCCGCGGTCGGTGGCAATAGCGCCGTCGCAGGCCGATGGTGCTCATTTCGGCGCTCACGAGTCCAGCGACAGTGCTGTGTTTGTGTCGAAGGTGTCGTTTGTTGCCGGTACACGTCGACCCGGTGAGATGTTTTGTATATAGATATGAGTGTGTCTGTAGATTATTTGCGCGCCCCGGCGTGTTTTCATGTCGCGCTTTTTTGCTGCTCGTCGGAGGTGCTTCCTCAGAATTCGCGGTACGCTTGCCTCCACCGTAGGAAGCAACGGGAACCAGAGAGCGAGCCACCTCTGCCTCGGGGTGGCAGAAGAGAAGGAAAGGAAAGGAAAGGGGAGAGACGGAAATCTGCGAAGTGCAGCTCTGGACGTAAATGCCAGGGAGCGTAAAATGGTGTACGACACGTGGTCTTGTATCACGTCTGGTGCGTGCATTTGGTCGCTAGAGTGTTGCATGGGATTGCCGTCGTGTAAGTTGACGCTTTTCTACTAGAAATGGGGGAGCTGCTACAGGCAGGGCCGAAACTAGGCACGACAAGAAGACGCACTTTTGGTTTTCAGTTGTCGTGGGTCATCACCTCCAGTGTAGGAAAGCTGCTGAGACCGGCTAAACACGCAGATGCGCAACGAGGAGAAACCCACGAATGCCTTGCAAAATAATAATTTCATCGTGAAATGCAAAGAACAATATCGAATGAGAAGGAAAATAGAGAAAAAAAAAGAAGCGGCAAAGCGCTTCGATGCGCTCGTGGGTTTGAGCACTGTGGTGCGAGCCGTCCGTGCACGGGGAGACCGCAGCGGTCGTGAGAGCCGCAATGATTTGTGCTCGCCATCTTCTTCTATCTTGGGAAGGAAGAAACGAAAGAGATCATTTTGTCTACCGCTTCTCCAATACTGCGAAATAACTCTATAGCTCATGTTTGACAGTTGCGTAGCTCATGTTGAGCACGATCTCGTCTTGGAAGAACGGCATCAGCGTCAAGGGAAAGTCGTGCCCTAGCTTTGGGAAGATGACCAGCTTGGCCGCCGGAATCACGTCGGCCAGGTGGTGCCCGTTCGCCACTGGGATAAGCGGGTCCGCGCCGCCGTGCATCACCAACGTGGGACATTGGACCTTCTTCAGTCCCTCTACGCGACTCGGTGCCCGCATTACCGCCGCCGCCTGCCGGGGCATCCCGCGGTCGTCGTGCACGCCGTTGCGCTCGTACGAGTACAGAATGTACTGCCGCACCGCGTCCATGTGCAGCAGGTAGGCGCCTTGACTGAGGTAGTTGATGAACCAGATCATGTGGTCCGCGCGGTCGATCGCGCTCTGGCTGCGCGGCCGCTTCAGAAAGCGCGCGTAGTGAAGCAGATTCGGGTCCGTCTTGTCGCGGCCGCCTGCGTGCGAGCAGAGGATGTTGAGGCTGAGCACGCGATCTGGGTGGTGGATCGCCATGAGCTGCACCAGCATACCGCCCATGCTCATGCCAAAGCAGTGCGCCTTGGAGATGTGCAGCGCATCCAACAACCCAATGCCGTCTGCCATGATGTCGTACAAGTTGTAAGGAAGGCGCTCGCCGACGGAGAGCCACTCCGGCAGCCCAAGCCGGATCAGCGCCGGCGACCCAAACTCGTCGAAGTGGGTGGACAGCCCTGCATCGCGGTTGTCGTACCGAATCACATAGTAGCCCTTGTCGACGAAGTGCTGGACGAACTGCAGGGAGTAGCCGAGGAGGGAGGTGCCGATGCCCTGGACGAGCAGCAGGCAGGGATGCGAGGGGTCGCCAAAGGCGTTGTAGCAAATCGTGACGCGCTTCCCCGTGCTGGCGCAGGTGCCCACTTCCACGAATTTGTCCTCGAAGTCGCCAAGCAGCGCTCGCGCCGCGTCCGACAACGGCGGCGACACGTACGTGTCCTCACACGTCGACGCCGGTGGGGAAGAAACGGGCATGCGCGTTCGAAGCACGCTCAATGTTAACAACAAAGGAAAGCGGATGTAGGAGGTGCTGTGAAGGCAGGAAAGAGCGCCCCGGTACTGGTATACCTTTGCACGAAAAGCATGCATCAAGAATGCGGAAATGAGAAGCGACGGGAGAAGAGGGAGAAGGAGCCATCAAACGGAAGAGATCCGCACGCTTTGCTTCTCCGGCAAGAATCCCAGTCCGCGGAGTCATCAATGAAGAAGAAAAACAAATTTACGCGTCTTCGCATGGCCTCCGCTAGCGGTCAAATACGTCACCTGCTGCCACCGCGGGCACACGCACGCACACAGAAGACGAAACAAAAAGGCAACGAAGCAACGAAAGGAGGACAGTAGCGGAGGGCATCAACAGCGTAGAGGAGGCGAAGGGCGCCGCGCCTTTTTTTTTTGAAGGAAAGGAACATGTATCAATGAAAAGCATATGTAGACCTTGTCAAGGCATCCTCCACAACACACAAAGTGCCTTGGCAAAACTCGAAAAGAAAACCACGCAATCAAGAAAAGGAAATAAGTAAACAATACAGAGAACAGAAACGGGGAAAAATATATATCCGTAAACATCGTTTACGAAAAGCGGAAGAGAAGAAAGCCTTAATGAAAGCAGGACAATGACGACATGTGCAACCTTTCCAAGCTCAGCAGATGGGGAACGCTCAGCTAACCAGTGATGCCACTGCCCATGGCACCCTCGCAAGCGCGCAATGCACGTACCCATATAGCTCCTTGGTTGCGTCTTGGTAATTCCTTTTCGTTTTACCATTGGGCGCGACGGTCACGCAACGGGAGGGACGGCGCGACAGGCGGCACGCTTGTGTTGCCTCCTCCGTAGCTGTGTGCGTGCTGCATCTCCAGATCCTCGTACCCGCCCGCTGAGGTATACGCTGAGCTGCGCTCTCGGCGGTGCTGCCGGCTAAACACAACCTGAATCACGATGAGCACCTCCGCCACGACGGAGGCCGCAATGCCGATCACGAGACCGGCAATCCACGCCTTTCCAGCCTTTGTGTTCCTCTCCGGCCACTCTTCAACCAGCACGATGCCCTCAATGCGGCCGTCGTTCGCAGCCCTCACGAAAGCGTCCAGCACCGCCCCATCCGTCGTGACGGAGACAAAATTGCGGTGGTTGTCGCTGCCTGCCGCACTGACAAGGGCCGCGACACGCCGCAAGTGGTCTTTCTCGCTCTTCACCTCGCCGTCGCCATCGACACGCGTTACGGTGGCGTCGGCACCCTTCTTCGCGCAGAACGTTTTGATAATTTGAACTACGCTGTGCTGAGCAACGCCGCTGCACACCACCGTCAACCTGCGCGTCACCACGCCGGTGAAAATGATGGTTGAGTCGCTGGAAGAAGAAACCAAGCCATTGGAGCTGCTGCTGCTGCTTGAGCTCCATCCACTCCCAGAGGAGGAGGAATTGGAGCTGTCGCTGGCGCTCCTGCTGCTGCTGCTGCTGCTGCTGCTTGAGCTCCATCCACTCCCAGAGGAGGAGGAATTGGAGCTGTCGCTGGCGCTCCTGCTGCTGCTGCTGCTGCTGCTGCTTGACGCTCCA